TGAACGCCAACTGGCTGCACGGATCTCTGCCCCTGAATCTATGGCAAAGCCTACAGCAACTCCCACCCAAAGAGACCTTGGATGAGATCTTCGAGGCCCTCGGGACATCTCACATCATGAACGAAGACATCAGGGCATACCTGAGGGTGGTGATTGGAGGAGAAACCCATGGCGACTCCCCTCCAGCCGAAGCGTTGCTAGCAATCGTCCGTCAGACCATCCGATTTTACGCAAGAGGTGTTGAGCCCGAAAGAGCAAAGCTTGCCACCGAGATAGAGCCACTACGCCATCATGACCCCAAAGTATATGACGCCTGTATCGAGCGAATCTTGAACGAGGACATCGTCCTCATCAAGGATATGTTGCCACTGGTCCGGTCAGAAAGCCATTCCTCGTGTGTCGAATTTGCGCGCCTCTTGGCCCAGCGTCAACAGCTGCGCTGTTACACTCATGAATGCTGGCATCATCTGTTGTTCTTCCGGTTACTCCAACGGAGGCGAGACTTGCTGGCGTGGTCAGCCGCGGAGCTTCCTTTGCAGAACTTCGTCCAGTGGGTGCATGATCTCAGGGCTCTGTTCTCTCAACAAAGAGTTGGTGGTAGCAGTGGCATCTCGAGGATGTCGTTGTCGGATCTTGGTTTTACGCCGGAAAGGTATCAATGGTGGGATGTGCTCCAGCACCAGTATGGAAGAGCAGTTGGTATATTGGCATATCTACACCAGGAGGGCAACGGAGATTTAAAATGGCTGTGGCTGCAAGAGATACCAGATACAACTGTGTTATTGGACATTCTGCAAGACGAAAACAAAGTGTTGCCGCAGGACTCGGTGCTGATGTCGCTTTTTCAGCCGAAACCAGACACGCTGAGTCTCATCTGTTTGGCTTTGGCTGGCTTACGTCGCGCTGCCCCTCAAGGGAAGGTGGCCCTTGAGAGTATCTGCGCTCGGGAAAAACAGCTGGATGCTGGGAAGTGGAATCGTCAGGCCACGCAGGTGCTGAGTTACTGCTGGAGACGCTCGCCAGACATCAACACCGATGACATGAGTCGCAATGCCCTTTGGGCTTTCACGGCTTTGTTGGGGTTAGGGGATGATGTTGACGACCAAGGTCTGCAGGTTGCCGGAGAATGTCTCATGGCCGACTACGCAAACCTGGTTCTCGCGGCCAATAACCTTCTCGATATGCAAGTTCTACTTCAAAGTTCGGATGCGGCCCGAACAGCTATGCTCATGGAGGAGCTCGGCGTAGAAGATGCCCCTCCTGTTGAACCCTTCACTCCAGCTGCGGCCATGATTCCTACACACCTCACCAGCTTCATCGAACCAGTCGGTGAAATGCAATGGGAGCTTTGCTTCCCTCTCAAAAAAATCTCCGCCCAGAAGAGACAAGCCATCGGCATCGATCCCTCCCCACGCTTGCTCCTCGTGAGGATATCCCTTCTAGACCAGCAACCAGCTTTTTGCATCCACTACCACCCCAGCACCACCGACGACAGCAACACCCGTCCTCACGGCTTGTGGCACGTAAGCGGCCTCAACATGCCAGACGGCACCAACTGCTTCGCCAAACCATCCCTATTCGCCTACCTCCTAAGCCGCAGACTCTCCGCCTTCCTCTCCTCGCTGTCTCAAGATAACCACATCAGCGGCACCATCCAAGAGCAACTCCAACTGGACAGAACCTACACCTTCATCTCATCCATCCTCGCCTCTCCCCTGTCCCACTGCCTGGCATGCCTCGAACAACTCGCTCGCCCCGGTCCAATTCCTTCAACTTGCGGATCTCAGTTCTGTGACGAGACCTTCTTGTTTGCTCCATTAGAAGTCAGAGCACACCACCTCTTGTCCGACCCCCCGGCGTTGGACTTCTTACTATCATGTGTCTATTCAGCCAATGTCTCTGTTCCAGAACTGAGAAATGGGCTCAGAGCGGTCATTGACTCTTTTCCTGTCCTGGCGGGAGTTAGCTCCTCGCCAGGGGAGACGTTATCCCGGATTTTAAGTCGGGAAAACCCAGGGTCAGATGATGGCCTCTCAGCAGATAGAGAGACTTTACTCTCTTGGATGAGCGGGCAGTTTGGGGGCAGTAGTAGTCTGATTTCTGCGCCGGGTGGGTCGAGATTACCGGCTATGCAGGGGGTTGTGCAGTTTATACTGAGAACTGGCGACTTTATTGGCGGTGCGGGGGGCTCTGGGAATATCAAGTTTATTGGGTCGGGATTGGGGACTAGGAGCATGTGGGAGATTTTGTGCAAGGGGTTGGTTGTGGGCGGTGACGGGGAAGCGGAGGAGAGAGGAGAAGATGAGCCGCCGATGGATTTGAGGACTTGCCGGAAGACAAAGACTACGTGGAAGAGCAGCCTGCTGATGGACAGGAGGGTGTTTGTTGCGTGTGAGGATTTTGGGGGTGTGAAGGGGGTGGTGGTGAGGTATGTGTTGTTGTGTCCAGAGGGGTTTGTGCCACCGAGGATGAGGGTTATTGGGGATGCGCTGAGGCAGAGTTTTGGTGCTTTGAGGGCTGGGAGGTTGGTCAAGGAGTAGTATCAGGTAGGGTTGCAATCATCACCTATACTGAAATAGAAGACTTTCTTCGAACCACACACCAGACACAAGCACACATGACACCTGTGACATGGACTCTATTGAGAAGCGCCTCTGTAACCGCTCAGTCGAGACAGCTGAGTTAGCAGTTCAGCTCCCCTTGGCAGACACTTACACCCCAGGTAGGCAGACTGACAGCCTGATCCAATGTGGCGCGCACTAACGAGCTGCTGCATAGGTGTACATGAGGCTGCCCCCCCTCTCTTTATGATTTTTCATCTTCATGTTTGTCTTCTTCACCTGTCCACATCATTTATCGAAGCCACATAATAACACAAAATGGCCTCCCTCTTCACGCAGCGCAGCGGCGTCGCTCCAACCAAACACTACCCCAACCAACACCCTCATCAGCCAACACCAACCTCTCCCGTCACACCTCTCTCCAATCCCACTCATCCTGGTCCCCCGGCGGTCTTCCCCAGCGCTTCCTCCCTCCCCAGAACCCCCGACCGCAAATAGTAACCCCAGAACAATTCACCTCCCTCTCGCAGCAATTTTCAGCCCTCCACGCAGACCTCACCACCCAAGCAAGTCTTTTGCTAGGAGAAATCCTCGCCCTCCAGCAAACCCTTCCCGGCGTCCGCCTCTCAGAAACCTCAACCAACCTAGACATAACCGCATTCCTCCAAGCCCTACTTCACGGGAAGCTCTCCTCCGCCCTCACCCCACCAGTCCTTTCCCAACATGAGGAAACCCCCAAACCCCCCCGCCCCATCAGAGCCCTCTCCAGAGAAATCCAAGCCTGCCTCTCCAAAAACGACTACTTTGCTGCAATCGGCACAGCAATCGACGACCTGCGCCCCTCTGCCAAAGGTGACTCCCCCGACGCCGAGCAAGAAGCCAGGGATCGAATGGACTTGCTCCGATCTGCAATGCCAGAAGGGGAGACATACGAACAATTCTGGGCCGATGTTGCTATGCATCTTGATCACGAGTTTTCTGTTTCTGCTGAGGCTGGGTATGTTAATTCGACAACGTTCAAATCTGGGGTGGGGGTGGGAGAGATACCGAGAGAAAGGTTTTTGGCGACGAGTGATGGGTTTGCTTGGGATGTGGAGGAGTTGGTTGAGGAGATTGTGAGGGGAAAGGGGGAGTTTAAGAATCCGGTTACGGGGAGGGTGTTTGTTGGGGGGGATGTCGAGTTGATTAGACGGCATCCATTGGGGAGAGGGGTTGATGAGGCTGTGCTTGCTCTGCAGAGAGAGCAGGGGCAGATGGAAGGAAAGGCGGAGATGGATGGGCAAGAGAAGGCCGGGATGGATGGGCTTGGGAAAGGGGAGGAGAGGTGGGAGGCAAAGTTGTCGGCTCAGTGGGCGAGGCAGATGCATGAGAACATAAGGGAGAAGGCGGAGAAGGAGAGGAAATTGTCGGGGTTGATGTCGGGGTTTGGGAGGTTGAAGCTGGAGGTGACATCGCCAACGACAGCTGCTGTTGAACTGCCAGCAACAACGGCAGTGAGATCAGACGATGTGCCCTCAAAGACAGCTAGTCCATTCATTCCCGGGGCGTTCCCTGACTACACGACCCTTGCGGAACTGCCAGGCTCCAACGAGCATGACAACATCAAGAAGGAGGAAGAGGGCAACAAGGCGAATGCTGGAGAGCCAGATTCCAAGTCTTTTGCATGGTACAATAAGTACTTTCACTCCATGTACGGTCAACATTAGAGCATTGATACCGCCAGAAGGCAAACAAACAAATCTTCAAAGTCTTTTGATCGGCCCCTTCCCGGGAGTGATCAGATATTTGTGGCCATCTGAACTGTGAGCATTGCGACATCGGCCTCGGTTGAGGCATTGGGTAATCTTAAGTTTCCAATAAGGACATCTGCAAACAATGGCGTGATTCTGCCAGGCACCATCATCAGAGGGAACGTGCTTCCATCACCCTCCCGGAACGTGACTCCACTATTCCGGCCAATCCGGTGCTCACAGCCGGAAGTCACCCTCTCGATATTCACACTGTGCCGAAAATTGGTCCGCTCTTTCCGAAAATGTGGTCCGTGCACGCCGAAAATGCGGCTTTGGGAAGGTACGGAGCACGGAGTCCAGAAGGAAAGAACCATGCCAACACTAACTCACCCCTCTCGACTTTCCCTGTAATAGTGAGTCAGATAAGCTCTCCATCTTCCTTTAAATTTTCTCACCCTCATCATCTTTTCAGGTCTAAACCCTCCAAGCGACACACGAGAGGGGTAGCCGGGCAGACTTCATCTTGACATCGTCCCAGTCATTGTACTGTTGGCCGTGTGAGGTTGTTAGTCACCTCACTCCCTCAACAGAACGGCCAGTTTCAGCTGTCACTCATTCAACAACTGTGTGCCCTTCGTCTCTTCCCTTTTCAAAGCCAGTTCCTACACCTCACTCGCCACCTTTACTTTGAACAACCAGCTCAGACATCATGACAAGAGTGACCATGGACACGAGCTCTTTCAGCTCATTCACTCCCCGGGAGCTTCAAACCGACCGCCCTCCAAGAGAGCCGGCCCCTCCCACTCCCTTTATCTCTTTCATCAAGCCTCAAGGCCAGCTCTGGAACTACAACCGGCACAAGACCCACGAAGACCAGCCAGGCAACATCCCCAAGGCTTTCCTCGATGCCATGAGCGTCAGAGAGAAGGTCTACGTCGAAGAACAGGGCGTTGCCTTGGAGAACGAATTCGACAGTGACGACCACCGTAGCTGGTATCGTCTCCCCCCGTTTACCCTTTTTGAATTCATAACTAACACCCTGCTCTAAAAGCCACTGGGTAATCTACGCCTCTGTCCTCACCACCATCCTTCCAGCCATCCTAGACCCCCGAACCGGCAAGCTTGTCCGCCCCCGCGTCACCAGGACCACCTCCCTCCCTATCGGCACCCTCCGCCTAGTCCCCTTCCCCCACTCAGCCCACCCCCGCGACGGCGGCATCTACTTAAACGGCCTCCTCACCAACGTCGGCGACCCCGTCCGCCCTAGAAGCAGCGAGACGGTCCAGGCTCTCCAGCCCCAAGAGATCCAAGGAGGCAACCGTCGCAACTCCCTCTACATCCGCGACTTCCCCACCACCTTCCACAACGGTCAGGAGCCGTACGTGAAGCTCGGTCGTCTGGCTGTCCTCAAGGAGTACCGTAACAAGGGAATCGCGGGCCAGCTTGTGCGCGCCGCAATTACCTGGATGCAGACGAATTACACCATCTTCAACCCTAGCCCTTCCGTGTTGGGCTTTGACAGACTGGGCATGGACGTGACGGGCCAGCTGCCTAAGTGGCGGGGCCTGTTTTGCATTCATGCGCAGGAGGAGGCGGTCAAGGTCTGGGAGAGGTATGGGTTCAAGGTAGACGAGAAGATGGGAAAGTGGTGGGAGGAGGGGATCCCGCATGTGGGCATGTGGTTGAGGGTTCCGGTTGGCAAGGGGGGTCATACTGTTGCCTGAGCTGAGGAGATGGAGGACTGGTGTGGTTTTTATTTCTTTTTAAGAATGGCGAGTACAAGTGTCTCTCGTCCAGGCTTGATGCCTTTTCCCTGTATTCTGCTGGCCAGGCATGCTTTTATTCCAAAACAGAGAAACTCTTCATGGCTATGGCGTTTTTTTGGGAGCAAGAGGACAAGGAAAAGCATCTGCTGGCTCGGCTGGCTTATGATAATCCCCTGGCAAATGGGTCATTTACCAAGCACCTCTCTGTTCATCTGTCTGAGATCGAGGTCATCTTTGCAATGTGTATGATAGCAAGCGTTGGAGCACCGGGGCACTGGAGGTTCTTTGCTTTTTACTTCGTAGATTTATGGGGAAACGGTCTCCAATCACTGAGACACAGATTATAGCCCCCCATCTCTATGGTAAAAAAAGACAGAAAAATACAAAGAGATGTAGAGGAGGCCACACACACAAGAAAAGACATGTGCACATGTGGCATGGTATTTTTGACACCGATGACGCCTTTCGGAAATTGACGATTTGCTCCCTTTTTATGAGAGACCCCTATTTGTGCCTGTTTAACAAGAGTGCCGTGCAGCCATCCCAGACCGTAATGGGCAAATGCATCCCTGCAAAACAAGTCGTAAAATCCGTTCCACGCCGAACCACATGCCTTCCACCAGAGACACCATTTACCGGTTGCTCTTGGCGACACGCTCCAACTCATCCTTCTTCTTGATGGCATAAGAGTTGCTGGAACCCTTGGCGGCGTTGATGAGCTCCTCAGCAAGGCACTCAGCAATCGACTTGACGTTGCGGAAAGAGGCCTCGCGGGCACCGGTGGTGAGGAGAGAGATGGCCTGGTTGACGCGGCGGAGGGGAGAGACATCGACGGCCTGTCTGCGGACGGTACCAGCCGAGCCGATACGGGTGCTGTCTTCGCGGGGACCGCAGTTGACAATGGCGTCAACGGCAATCTGGATGGGGTTCTGGTCGGTCATCAGGTGGATCTGTGCGTGATGGTGTCAGTTCTCTCAGATCCTCCAACTTCCTTGGGTGCTCGGTGATGCTCACGATCTCGAAGGCATGGGCGACGATGCGGACGGCCATCATCTTCTTGCCGTTGTTGCGGCCGTGCATCATGAGGGAGTTGGTGAGACGCTCAATGATGGGGCAGTTGGCCTTGCGGAAACGCTTGGCGGCATAGCGACCGGCAGAGTGAGGGAGGTAGACGGGAGCCCGGATCTGGATGTAGTCGCTGAAGCACACAAATTCCCGTTAGCCTCCAATTCCCCAGCCAGAGAGAGAGCAAGAGCCACCATGTGAAGCCTGCGTTCCGAATCTCGAATATCTTTCGGTGGTTCGATCGGCGCGCGTAACTTCGCAATCGGGCTTCCTGCTCGGGTTCTGATCTTGCGACAAAGGTAGAGGGCTCTTACGTTAAGGAGATATCCCGGATCTCGACATCATCGTAGCTCCAGCGGTCTGTAATTGACACCAGTCAGCGTCTGAGTTCCCCATCTTCGAGTTTTGACGGTTTTTGAAGTCGTCCCGCAGTCGAAATGGGGGGTCTGCTGCATGGGGCAAAATAACGTACTGAAGAGCTTGATGCTGCCAACCTCAGCGGCAACCTCCTTGGGGAGGACCTCGTAGGCCTGAACTTCAACGCCGGCGTCAGACATGATTGCTGGTGGTTGGCTGTCGTGGTGGATGGATTGATCGAAGTTGGCGTTGGGGCGGGCTGCACAGCAAGTCTTCTGAGTTCGGGAGTCGTGAATTTTTTGGTGGCCCCGCTTGAGGTGGTCAGGGCGGCCCACCAGCCACTCACGGGGCCGCATTCACCTTAGGGCTCGGTTGACCTAAGCTTTGCCAGAGAGCAGCGAACCTCTGTCAGAAAAAACTCCCCGCCTTTGACATTGCGACCGCTGGACCTCGACCTCTGACCCGTTCACCAAACCACCAGAACAGACATCCAAAATGGCTCCCGCGGCAACTGGTGCGAAGAAGCAGAAGAAGAAGTGGTCCAAGGGAAAGGGTAAGCTTCATTCATGTCGAAAATTTGATGCCCTGATGCCTCTGCAATTGGGGTTGGGGCGATGGCGATAGGCACGGTCGCAGACGCAGATGGCTAACCTTTGGCAAAAACAACAGTCAAGGACAAGGCCCAGCACGCCGTCATCCTCGACAAGACCACTTCCGACAAGCTCTATAAGGATGTCCAGTCCTACCGCCTCGTGACTGTCGCCACCCTCGTCGACAGACTCAAGATCAACGGCTCCCTCGCCCGGAGGTGCCTTGCCGACTTGGAGGAGAAGGGCCAGATCAAGCAGGTCGTCAGCCACAGCAAGATGAAGATCTACAGTATGTTTGGTTGATGGTTCGCGACAGTAGCGGAATTGTGCTGACACGCTCTAGCTCGCGCCGTTACCGCCGCCGAGTAAATATTTCCCACCAAAGACTTCATTTCAACGGACCTGACGGGCAGGACAAATAACGACTTTTGTTAACGGCGGTTCGCTTGGGGTTTACGGTTTCATCGGGTTATTTACGGCTACATCACTGGGAAAGGGGTTCTTTTTTCAGCACGGTGTAGCATAGGGATCGGAAGCGCTCCAGGATTCCTTAGATCGGAATTGCATCAAGATACGAACAGAAAACGCCGCTCCGCCCGGCAGCCCGGAGCATGGAGATGTGATACCACACAATAAAGTCAGCATGCCCAAAAACTGATGACGTGACGAGAACTTTCTTTGGGATTGGAAGCGGAATGTGATGTATGCCGCGGAGGGCGCAGGAACCACGCAGCTCAAGACAGAAATCGAGACTGATTCCCAGTCCAACTGTGCCAGTGTCTCTTCGTGTGCTTGTGCTCGTGCTGGCCGAGACGCCCCCCGAGTTGATGACATCACTTGAAGACTACGCGATCACGCGTTAAGTGCAATAGACTGGCCATTGAGGTGTCGACGACGAGGAAAAGATATGCAAAGTGTGTCGGTGGAGTGTGTCGATGCCTTCTCCAATCCATATGGTATATTGCTGCTGACTCTTTGCCGCGCCGAGCCTCTCTTTGTCCTGGTCTTCTTCGATTGTTCGAGGGTTGTTCGAGCAAGCTGTTTGTTGGAAATCTTATCTCAGTCCAACATGTAGGTCTCCAAGCAAGCCCGTCATGCCGTAATTATCGCCAGTATATCAATAAGGCAGTTGGGTAATATTCATGCAGCTGCTGGTTCCAAGACACCGGATCATTCCGGAGGTTGGAGGTCTCGGCCCTGAGATGAGTTGGCAAAGAACCACAACATTCTATTCGTCCACCCAAACAGACGTTGGAAGGCACAAATAACAACCAAAATCCACCACAACCTCAGGGGTTTGCCGCATCTCAGAATCGTTGATGCCTTTCCATGTCTCCGTATCTCAAAAGAAAAGCTGAGGATCGTTGCCCTGTCCGGCAAGTGCCGTTTGACTCTTGCCACTGGTATCTTGACGCTGCCAAGGCCGGGAAGCCTGGGGAAAGTGTGGGATGCCGACAGGCCGGGAGGTCAGGACATGGGAGGATGATGCCATCTGGATATCAAAATCGAGGGTTCACCTTGCTTATAACCTGTCAACTTGTCAGTTCTTCAGGGTCCTTTCCCAACTCCAATTCGAACAGACATAGCAATTGGATCCGGCCGATTGGTTGCTGTCGGCGGCGTTGATCGGAAACTTTTTATTAGCCTCGTGGAACCTTTACAGCCGAACGGGGCTAGAAGAGTTGGCAGCGATCCTTGTGAATTTTTTACCATGATCGAAACCCGGCCCGGCGATAAAGCACTTTGCACTTTTCAAGGGGGAGAGGGGGGCTTGAAACTTCGGTTGAGAATCGGTCTATGAAAGTTTACACTTTGAAGGCGGCGGGCTGGACTTGCGGTGACAGCTGCTGCATGTGAGAAGCTGGAAGGAAGCCCACACACAACGCACCCCGGGCGGCCGTTGATGCAATTCCAGGCAAAATCCTGCCACAGAAAAATGGCTCCCCTTCGGCCGCTCACTACCAGAGAAAGAAAAAGACTGGAGCCTCGGGCTTAACCGGCAACTGCGTTGCTGTTAGCGCTACTGTGCCGGCCAGTGATAAGGCTGGAAATTGAGCAGAAAGGCAGTGGATGGCTGGCGATGGCCCGTGCCCGCACTGACAGGGGCGCCGGGAAGACTCGCAAAGCTCAAAAGCTGGTCTCTTCCAAGGCCCACTTGTCGAATTTTTTTCCCTCTCCCCCCCCAAACCCTCTCGTCCGCAGAATTTAATTCTCGCGACCTCCCCATCTCTTCCCGTTTCCAATCTCTCACCGCAGAGATCTCTCCACTCATTCTTTTCTAATCGAGGCCGACTTGATCAGAAATCTTCAAAATGTCTGACGTTAAGCCTCACGTTTTGGGCATGCCCGTAAGTTCAACCTCTCTGCCGCCGTCATCTCCGTTAATTCCCTCGGATCCGTCCACGCCGACGCCCACGAAACCCCTCGGAGCCCTGTCGTCATGACTGCCATCACCAATTGACCCCGACGACTCGGAACAATGGTCTCTTGGATGATGGCCTTCAAGATGGCATCCTCACGAGTGCTGTTGGGCACCGGCTGTAGCGGTTACCCCTCCAAACGGACGATATCAGAATTGTGCGCAGTTTAACTAACATGTTTTGCAATAGCCCTTCGTGGTGGACTTCTTGAGTACGTAGAACCCGAAATCAACGACCGGACGAACATTCACATTCTCTTCTCTTTTCCTTGAGAATGCTGGGTGTCGGATATCCCTCGCTGCGCCGCAGTTGGTTGGGCCTCGCAATTCACAACAGCATGCTGACAACATACAACAGTGGGTGGTGTCTCCGCCGCCGTCTCGAAGACCGCTGCTGCTCCCATCGAGCGCATCAAGCTTCTCGTTCAGAACCAGGTACGTTGTTACCGGGCACACATCTGCCCTCCCTGACTGCTCTCTTGTGGGCGGGGCAGCTGGAATTGCTGCATATGCTACGGTGGATCAATCTGATCTCCGCTGTCACGTGCCAGCAGCTACAGTCCTCCCTGGAGAGCGGCAGGTCCCGCAACCACACATTTCTGACGGATCACTAACAACCCTCCAGGATGAGATGATCAAGGCCGGCCGCCTCGACCGCCGCTATGCTGGTATCACCGACTGCTTCAAGCGCGTCACCGCCGACGAGGGTGTCATGTCCCTCTGGCGTGGCAACACTGCCAACGTCATCCGTTACTTCCCCACCCAGGCCTTGAACTTCGCTTTCCGTGACAAGTTCAAGAAGATGTTCGGCTACAAGAAGGACAAGGATGGCTACGCCAAGTGGATGGCTGGTAACCTTGCCTCCGGTGGTGTAAGTTTTGCTCTGGATCTACTATTCGCCCGAGGCCTGTGCTGACATTGATATCTCTAGGCCGCTGGTGCCACTTCCCTCCTCTTCGTCTACTCCCTTGACTACGCCCGTACCCGTCTGGCCAACGACTCCAAGTCTGCCAAGGGTGGCGGTGCCCGTCAGTTCAACGGTCTCATCGACGTCTACAGAAAGACTCTCGCCGCTGACGGCATCCGCGGTCTCTACCGTGGCTTCGGTCCTTCCGTTGCCGGTATTGTCGTCTACCGTGGTCTCTACTTCGGCATGTACGACTCCATCAAGCCCGTCCTCCTTGTCGGTGACCTCCAGAACAACTTCCTTGCCTCTTTCGCCCTTGGTTGGTGCGTCACCACCGGTGCCGGTATCGCCTCTTACCCCCTTGATACCGTCCGTCGTCGCATGATGATGACCTCCGGTGAGGCTGTCAAGTACAAGTCCTCTTTCGATGCCTTCCAGCAGATCGTCCGCAAGGAGGGTGTCAAGTCTCTCTTCAAGGGTGCCGGTGCCAACATCCTCCGTGGTGTCGCCGGTGCTGGTGTCTTGTCCATCTATGACCAGCTCCAGGTCCTCATGTTCGGCAAGGCCTTCAAGGGTGGTTCCGGCTAAATGCACTTAGCCATTGTACAAACACAACAATGACAGGGGAAGGATGGTGGCGGTTTTGGGGAAGAAGAGATGGGTAGACAGGGTGGATCCGTTCGTGGCCGCATGGACGTGCTGGGACGGTGGAAAAACACTTGCGGGTTAAAATTGGGCATGTCTGGCGTTATGGGACGCGGATGGGCCGAGGGTTACTCGCTGTAATTTATACTCTTTCAGCCATTCCTGGTGTATTCCTCGTCACGATGGGATTGCTTTGCCACTCCTGGCTATTTCCTTTGGTTGCATGCGAATCATAGATCCTTGACAGTACTGAATTTGCGGTTTAGAGTGATTTTTCTCGTCCTTGCCTACTTTGTGAGATGTCATTTTGTAAAAGATATACCTCCTTCCATATATCAACACCAAGGTTGCCGGTGATATGGATGGAAGACCAGAATGGTGATGCTTCACCTGACAAACGGTCACGTTACGTAATTGGCCAGTTGCGTCACGCTTTCCAATTTCAATCTTTCAACTCCAACCTTGTTCAATTAATTAAACGAACCCCAACCGCCCCAGATTCCTACCTAACGTCGAAATCACCTTTCATCTCAAGTCTTAGCAGAACAACTATTCGACTTGCTAGATATATCAGCATGCCACCAAAACAGTCTACCGGTGCGGGCGACCGCGATCGACCAGCCGGGAGTGTTAACAAGTCCAGCGCTGCTGCAAAAACGGCAGCCAACTCGAGTAAACGCCCCACAGCCAATACCACTACTGGTGCCAACAAGAAGAAGAGAAAAGCCACACTCTCCGACGAAGAGAACGACTCTGGCAGACGACGAACCCAGCCAGAAGTGGAGGAGGAGGAAGAAGACGAAGAGGACGAAGAGGACGAAGACGACGAGAGGGAGTCGATCCCGCCTGAGCTACTCTCAAAGATCGTTCACGAGCTGTTTGAGCACAAGGAAACCAAGATCACCAAGGACGCCAACAATGCTCTGTCGGGGTATATGGATGTTTTTGTGAGGGAGGCGATCGCGCGAGCGGCTGCGGAGAGGAAGGGGGCTTTTTTGGAGGTGGAAGATTTGGAGAAGGTGGCGGCGCAGTTGGTTTTGGATCTTTGAGGTTATGGAGGAGTGGGGACAGTCAGCATATGGGCAAGAGCCAGGACGGTGGTCACCGACGACAAGGCTGAATGGACAGTGGGGCTTTGGTTGTGAGGCTATTTGTACGGCATCTTCAGGGCAAAGGCAGGGTGGATGGCCGCCGTTGAGTTGGTTTATGGCGGATGGGTAGCGGATAGTGTTATGGAAAGGAAGAGAGGGGGTTTACCAACACGCAACATCCGGCCGATCATCTTTCAGATGCCGGCCAGGAGACGGAACGGAACAGGTTCGTTGTTTAAGTCGGGCCAGTACCGATGCAGGAGGGTGATGTTTCTTGGCCCTGTGCTTTGTTGTTCCTGCTTTTATGGGGTTGGGGGCGTGGGATGGAATAGAATACAAGGCGTCTAGGAAAAGGCAGATGGAGTCGGACTAAGTCTACTGAGGGGATTGATGAAGGGAGTCCTCCTCTAGGAAGGCCTTCTAATACAAACAAGTCTTTAGACATGACTCTGATGTTGGCACATGACATAAAACGACAAGAGAACATGAATCGAAGCGTCAGTTCGGACGATGAGTTAGGAAGATGCTGCGAATCCGCCACCACCCCCATCAGCTTCTCCAAAAGTTGGTGCGTATGCATGTTTTGGTAGATCGGGCTGTTGAATCTTGGAAAGCTATCAATGAGAAACAAAAGCGACGCTACGAATAATAGTCCTCCTTGCGTTTGCCGTGGATGTTTCGACAGGGTGAATGCTTGTTACGGGACCTGCACTCCGTAGGGGAAAAGCCAAGATATGGATGACAGAAAATAAAAAACCCCAAGCAGCAAGCGCCGACCAGAAGATGTCGCTGTGTGAGCCGAGGCGCTTGGGGGAGAAGGCTGAAACCGAGAGCTGTTTGACATGCGTCACAGAACCCGCACTCTGTGGCAGAAGAAGCCCGTGCATAGGTCTGGTGGGCGGCCCCCTGCCAACCCCTGTTTTTTCTGGAGAGCCTCCACGGTCACCCGCTCTTCCAGCGGCGCGAACTGGACAACAGCAAACCTTATTTCGGCTCCATCTGTGTCCGAATCCACTCAATTCGACGTCAACCTCGACTTCTTCTCCATGCTGGCCACAGCCGCCCCAGGGCCACGAGGGCAGCAACCGCTGTGGCTTGCTCCCCGGGGCTGTGGCCGGCGATGGCACTGGATCAGAGGCTTCATCGTCAGCCGGCACTTGCAGCGCTTCCTGTCAGCTCTCTTCCACTAGGACTTGGCCACGCAAGAGAAGCAAGCCCAAGACCTTCAAAGCCACACGGAAGACACAGACATCCGGGCGGCTGCTACGAATATATACTACATTGACAAGGTGCTAACAAAGTGCCATAGGTATTGGTGCAGCCAAGCGAGGGGTAGTTGTTAGTGAAACGCCGCATCGAGGCGGGAGAGAGATGGCTTGTTCCCAGCAGTCTGGGACCAGTGAGATTCTCATCCATGTCCCCCAAAACACCATCTCAGGATAGCTTGCCACCACACAGACGAACCCATGATGCGTTCGCAACAACATCAATTGCCAGCTGCAAACACGAGCAGGACCTCTTTCAGCATTGATCCTTGATATAAACCAATTTCCTTTGGTTTTTCTTGGTGGCATCGCAGCTTTCCTAGCCTAGCGCCGAGAGGTTGCGGTCAAAACGTCGAGACGTTTCAAAGACCTCACCTTGGACCCCCCGGCCCTTGCAAGCACCCCCTGTCCCCCCTACCATTCGGATGTCTCGAGATGCGCTGCAGGTGGATGCGTGCGAGTGCACCTTCAGACGATCCTTCACTTTCCCGCCGGGACCATATTCATGCTTTAAATCACGGCACGTCCCAGACCTCCTGGCCTGGCCTTCTCTTTTTTCCTCTTCATCTGTCCATAGTCTTCAGTTCAGGTGTCGTCCTGTTTTCTTAATCTTTTTCCTCTCTCTTCTCTTCTTCGCCGTCAACCATTCTTTTGACCCTTTACCAACTACCAGGCTAGACCTGTAATATTCACACAGCGCCAGTCGCTTTATTATCAGAAAACAACTTAACAAACACTCTCTTTTTCGACGAGCCGGACACTCGCTTCAAACCTCCCCTTTTTATTTTATCACCAAACAACACAAAACCACATACACATATACCTCAAAATGCAGTTCAAGACACTTGCCCTTGCCGCTCTCGCGAGCTTGGCCTCCGCTCAAAGAACCTGGGTTGTCACCGTTGCGCAGAACGGCAGCCTCACCTTTTCCCCCGACAACATCAAGGCCGCCCCAGGCGAGTTTGTCCAGTTCCAGTTCCTCGCTGGCAACCACACCGTCACTCAGTCCACCTTCGACAAGCCATGCCAGCCCATCGCCATGCACAGCAACGCTACCGGCTTCCACTCCGGCTTCCAGCCCGTGGCCGCCTCTGCCTCGATGGGCATGATCCCCACCTACACCATCCAGATCAACAACACCAACCCCCTCTGGCTCTACTGCGCTCAGGGCCGTCACTGCGAGAACGGCATGTCCATGGTCATTAACGAGCCGTACGTTTTTTTCCCCTCTACCTCTTCAGACTGAAGATATGACAAACTAACACATCAAAACAGAGCAACCAACCCCAACCGCACCCTCGCCAACTACAAGGCCCTTGCCGCCCAGGCTCAGACCATTCTCCCCGGCGGCAGCGCCTCGGGCGGCCAGACCGGCAGCACCGACTCCCCCACCACTCCCCCCACCGGCACCACCCCCGATGGCGAGACCGCCCCCGGCACCGAGACCTCCGAGAGCGCCTCCCCAAGCGTCACGGCCGGTGCTGGCATGCTCGCCGCGCCAGGAGCCTTTGTGCTCTTTGCCGCCGGTGCCGTTGCCATGCTTCTTTAATGTCCATTTTTACCACCTGGGTATTAGAGTGATGTCTTTTTCAATTTCAAAAAGCAGGAGGAGGAATTTAATATTTTTTGGGACTTGTTTCAAAGGGATAAACAGGAGGCTACCTATCTAGCCCTCGGGTTTTGGGGCTGGGTGAGTGGGGATGATGATACCAAAGAGAGAAAGAGCCTGGTGAATGGAGTCGTTTTATGTTGTTCAATTCTAGGGGGAGATATCTTGGTGTACATAATTCTTTGTTGTGGTTGCATGATATCGCCCCGGTGTTCTTTTTTGTTTTTTTGACTTGGGGCTTTTTGCAAAAGGAAACCAATGTGTTTTTCTATTGCATTTTTTAGCTGTATCAAAAATTTATATGTGGTGTTGTTTATGGTAACCTTTTCGTTCAAGAATATATGCCAAGTGTGGTGATCATGAAAAATGCAACGTAATATGGCTTGAAGCTTTGTATGACAAATTTGACTAGACAGAAAAGTCCACGTATATGATACATCCATAATTTTCCCTTCCCCAAAAAAGCCCGGAAAAACAAAACTCGCTTCTTGACTATACCTATATAGCTAATAACCCTATTCATCCTTCTGCCCCGGAATTTTCCTCACCTTCCTCCCCTTCGCTGCCGCCTCACACAACGGCCTCCTCGGCTCCGTCCCCGGCCACCCCTTGGGCATCTTGACATAGCCGACCTTTCTGTACTTGTCGCTCTTTGCGAAAAAATCAACCCAGTGCTTCAGCCCGTCGTGCACCTTTTTCAACGCCTCCTCCCTCTCCTTCTTTTTCATCTCCTTGAGCTCCGCGCGGGAGAAGTGCTTGTCTACGGCTGGGTCGTCCAGGGGGAGGTACATCTCTTCCACCCCCCTCATGTCGGGGGAGCGGTCTTCGGCAAAGCAACCCGTGACGTAGGCGCGGGCGGCGTCGCAGCCGGCAAAGTAATGGTAGGAGCCGCCGGGGCCGTAGGTCCGGCGGTTGGAGGAGACGTCGTAGATTGTCCAGTTGATTGCTAGGTAGATGGGGAGGTCGGGGTTGGTGCCGTCGTAGAGGGAGAGTTCAGCTGGGGTGAGGTAGATCGGTCCTTGCTGCGGGGGGATGTTAGTGACGGAAAGGGGGCGGGTCGAAAGGGGGCGGGGGAAACGCACGAAGAGCTCCTTGTAGTAGGCTTTGGTTAGGTACTTTGGGGGGTTGGACATGCCCCAGAAGAAGGTCTCGCCGTTGGAGACGAGGTAGCTCAACCCGCAGGAGGCGAGGAAGAGGAAAGAGATGACACGGAGGGCGTCGAGAGCGATATTGGCGGTGTCGTACTCGTCGACATCATCTTTGGACTTTTTCTTCTTGGACTTTGGCTTCTTTACGGGTTGGGATGTTTTCTTGCTGGTGGATTCTGATTCTGAGGAGGAGAGCGTCTGAACTCGTTTGAGGGGGAGCTGTTGTTCGGTTTCTGAGGCAGAGGAGTCTTTGGCCTCGGGCTTGCGCCGCCGGACTGCGGGTTCGGGGGAGGCCATCAGGAGGGTTTACAAGAGGGATTCAGGAGAGCTTGGGACAAGTAGATTCAATTGGGGTGTTTAACGGTGGACAAACGGATATTGTACTCCGTACAGCAAGAGGTGGTATGTAGGAAGAGAAGTCCGGTATGGCCAGATCTCCAACGTTGTTTTTAACCGGCCATGCGAGGCTGAGAAGTGGGATGCGACGGAGGGATGGGAACTGACGGTCCGCGATTGCTGTAATCAATGAGTGACCATTAAACCCCCCCCCCCACTGTGCTTCTGCTTCGGTGAGCCGTTCCGCAATCTCGGATTGGAGCGAGGCTGCAGATGACCGAGAGCCCCGCTTTGGACCGCGAAGCTAGCTCACGCGTCGCCCATAGCAACTCCCCACAGTACGATATGCCGGGCTGTGGTTGGTCAAAATGGCCTGAAGAAAGCACTGGGCAGGTCAGTGGTAAATACAGGAACCCTGTAAAATTAATAACGCTCTGGTCTGTCTCTCCCTCAGTGGGACGATTTCCAGATTATCAATCCCAAGATTGCGATCACGACTTTTATGACTGACCACCACCTGCCATTGCATTCACCCTTTTTTGTCGCACATTTTTCATGGTGCAGGTCTAGCACACTTTTACACACAACCACAACCGTATCCTACCCATTGTATTTTGGGCACGACACGAGCTTTTATCTTGATCCGAACCCTGATAACAAACGAGAGTGAGGGTATAAATAGACTTCGACGCACGGGGAGAAGCCACCACCCCCTCCACAAGACAAAAAGACAAGACAACACCCTGTCGTCATTCGGCAAACCACCTACCAACTGCGCAAACCCAACATCAGTCCTTTACAGAATCGCTTTGCATGACACCACAATAACATATACCTTCAACACTCGACCATGTCTATGCCGTCGAGTCCTGCCGGTGGCGGCACCACCACCACAACACCCCTCCAGCCCATGTCGCATAACCAACAACGCGAGCGCGATCCCGCTCTCCTCTCGCCCACCCAGACTAGAGGTCGCGGCCTGACCCTCGGAGCTTCCACGGACAATGCGCGCGACAGCTCGGTTCACGAAAAGATTAACCAGTTCAACTCGCTCGCCGTGCAATCAAAACAACTCGAGCGCAAGACCGCCGATGCCGCCCTCAAGCGCGCCATGCTTGGCCGGGAGGAGGCCGAGAGCGAAATGCGCCGCTACCGTGACGAGTGTAGAATGCTCAGGAGGGCGGTAGAGGAAGGGAGAGAACGGGAACGAAAAGTGGGCGAGAGACTGGAGACAGTAATGGTATGTTTACGGTCCTTTTCCGGTAGCTAATCCGGGCGCCAAGCAGACAAAGACTAATGCGGGAATAAACAAAACAGGAGAGCTATGGACGCGCAAAGGAGACACACGAACACACCAAAGAACTCTGGGAGAAGGAGATCCGTCGCGCCCGAAAGGAGACCTTCAAGACCCAGAGTGCCTTTGTCAAGCTTCAGGAAGAGCTCAAGAATTCTCGGAACGCCCACAGGTCGACCGAAGAGGAGCTTCATCGCGAAAAGCAGCTATGCTCTGAACGGGCACAGGACGCTTTTACCGCCAAATACCAGCTTGTAGCTCTTCAGAACCAACTTGAGCAGGCTCTCGAAAAGATCAAGACACTTGAGCAGGAACGTGACTCGCTCAAAACGATGGTCGAACAAGAGAAGCAGCTCCGGCTAGTGGCCGAGGAGGGCAAACGCCCCGCATCCGACGACGAGAGAATTACGCCACGCAAGCGACCACGGACATCCTCCATCAGCTCATCATCGTCCGATGTACCCGACTTTGAGGAGATTACCCGGAAATGGGAGTGGGAGAAGCAGCGCGCCGACAGGGCAGTGCAGCAAGTGCAGTTCCTCGAGACCGAGTGCCGGTTGAGGGTCTGCGCCGCGGCCAAAGCCTTTCGTCGAAGCAGTTCAAGCCGAGGGAGCACAAGCACTAGTCGTCGATCCAGCCCCCGACGCAAACGACCCAGTCTCTTGAGAATCGCAGATGCTGCCGACGCTGTCATCATTGGAGGCAACGCCGAGCCGTCTCCTGATCTCGCCTCACCAAAGCGTTCCAAGACCGACATGCTCAGGGAGGAGCTGGGCTCTCGGAATGACAGGTTCTTTACACCGGTTGAGCAACCTGTACGTTATTCTCGCACGCCGAGCGTTGACCCGCTAGATTTCGCGATGCTTGATAAGGACAGGACATCGCTACTGTCGTTGCTCGACGCCCCCCATAGAGAGGAGAGCCCAGCGTTGACGTTTAGCATTCCCACCGTTCCAGCACCCGCCCCAGCCGCAACAGTAAAGCAGGTTGTTCGGCAAGAAGAACCGGAATCGGATGTCGAGGTTCATAGATCGGTCCCGCATCCTGTGCCAGAGCCTGTTGTTCCCGTCCATCAGGAACCGTCCCCCCGTTCTGCCGCGCCTTCGACCGACCCTTTGCCATCTGTCAAGACCCTCAGCAACGAGCTACCAGCCCCTGCTCCGCGTCCTCACACCTCGAATTCGTTTCATCGGTTCCGGGAAGCCGCCGCCAAAGCCGCGCTTACTGTTGTGACAACCACGACAAAGGTGCCACTCAAAGACGAGAACAAGGACCCGAACCTCGCTTCCAAGATCATGAAGATGCAAAAAGAACAGCAATACCAAACTCCCAACCGAGGGAATATCTCAGCCGGGAGTGAAAACGAGTGGGACAAGCCAAGCTTTGACGTGACGAACCCGGCGCTGACGCCGACCATGACGAGGGAGGAAGCTCTAGAGCAGATAAGAGATCGGAGAGTCCGGGCTAGGAGTGTCGGGCGTCCTGGTGGTGCTGCTGGATCTCAGGGAACCCTGTCGAGGAAGGTGTCGACTGAGACGATGAAGAGTGGCAGCGGGCCAAGGGGGAGGGAGCAGGAGAGGAGGGATGTTAGCGTGCAGAGCGCGCCAACTGTGATGACGGGAAATAGGGAGCCCAGCAGGGGGGCGGTTGTGGGGGGGAGAAGGGTGAGGAATTGAAGTACGATGATAAATGATTGGAAAGTGGCAAGGGAGAGGAGGAGGAGGAGTCAGGATATGACATGATATCCCTTACTGTTTGACTTTTTTTTGTCGGCTTCGGATTTGTATACACCCCTCTCAGCACACACACACACACACACACACACCCACATACACACAACACCCGGTTTGCGGGTTTTTTCGGTTCAGGTTTACAGCAGCATCATCATCACATGGAAAAAGGAAAGGGGTGGGGGGGGTAACACAGGACATTTTTGCATTTCTTCAGGAGTTGCGAGGTTGTCTCTTTTTTTGTCTTCTCCGGGTCTGGATGCCAATGGATGGAAACTGCAAAATCATGATTACAACTCTGAAACTGGACAAAAACTGGGGAAACTTTTCTTACTTGGCGCTCTGGTGTTTCTTTTTTACTGGACGGACGGACGGCTGGCACAAACTTCTATAATACCCCTAACCATTTTGTGTTTTTTCTTTTTTTTCTGTTTGGCTCTTGAAACCATTTTCAAGGAACGCATGGGGTTGGGTGGGAAAGTCTGGCCAAGCGTTTTGCGTTCAGGGGTTGCTGGTTGGGTACTGTCGACGATATCGGGGTGGTGGTGGTGCTGGCTTGACAGGCTTCACTGGTTGTTTAATTGACATTTTACATTGTTCTCATCACAAATTGCTTCGAATGCTGTACTCGACGGTTGGTGATGTATCACTACTTATTTCTTCTTGTCATGAAATGCCATGTAATTAGAATCTGATCATGTCAAAAATCATCAAACTGTCATTGTCATCACCATCATCACCCCAATCCAATCATCGTTTAGACCAAACATCAGTCCATCATTGCGATACTCTCGGTCTACTCCTCCTCAGCTTCCCTTTGGCCCATTTCCAACTTGTGCGGATAAAAAAGACACAGACCGACCCGTGGCATTTCCACTCTCCCCAAGGGAATGACCAGCAACCGACATGGCCCTCGACTTCCTCCTGCCACCTCTGGCAACCCTATGCTGGTCCTTTGTAGCAGACAGCTCCCTCTGCTCCATCATCGCGGCGGTGATCTCTCTGGCACTAACAAAGTACCCCGAAGATAATATCGCCGTGTCCCTCACCTGCTCGGTCGTTACAGCTGGCCAGACCACAAAAACATCCAGAAAATATGTGGCTTCGACCGGTGAATGAAGAGGAGGAGAAGACGTCCCGCTCGATGCTGCTCCCTTGTGGATCCCTTTCAAAGCAGTCTTGTTGCTGCCATTGGCGTGTGATTTTGAAGGAGATGTCTCGAGCGAGCATGAAGACTTGGCGCTGAGCGGCAGCCAAAACTTCTTGTTGTTCAAATCGTCGTCCTCTGGGTCCGTCTCAAATTCCACTCGTCGTTCAAGCCTCTGGATGTACTCCCACTCCTTGCAAGCCTTGGCACAGTATGTCTTCAACTCGGAAACAAATGGCTGACGTTTGGCCTCCAGCACAAGGCTTTCGAAGCAACTTGCGACGGATCTAACCACGGAATCGGTGCATTCGGTGCTGATGGAATCAGTGATGTTCCTGTACTCGGCAAGTGTCCGGAAGAGTACTGAGCGCAGGTGAGCCTCGACCTCTTCGTTTTCTTCGGCCAGATGGTCGAGGAATTCATTTAGCTCGGAGGATTTGTGTAGGAGATAGATGGGCTGGAAGATGGCATTGCGCAACTCATATCCAAGAATGGCGAGGAAAGTGGCTATTCGCATGTGTTTGGCGGTTGCGGAGTTGGAGACGGGGAGAGGGAAGATCCGATCAGTGCGGCTCAGAGCAGGGTGGCTCTTGATCGTGGTCCAGTTGACACCATTCAGGGGCAGGTCATCACAAAAGTATGTCTCGGCCAGTTTGACGGCGGAGTTGCGGATGGAGTCCATGATACTGCAACTTCACCCTTCCGAGTTAGCAATCATATCATAGTCAACTTGAACAAGAGTGAGGAGGACATACATGTGCTTGATATTTTCCGTAATGGGAACCAGCCTGGCTGAAAATGTTGATAATCTCTCAAGCTTGGCTGTCTCCTCACTCAGCACCTGCTTCACGGAGTCAATCTGCCGCTGCATCTTCCCCCTTTCGTCGCCCAGCTGCGTCTCATTGTCGGCGAGCTTCTTCTTGGCCTCGAGGTATTGGCACTCAAGAGTTTGCTTCTGCTTCAAGGCATCCTGGAGCTTTTTGGAAGCATCATCACCTTGCTTCCTAGCTGCGTCTAAACTTGTCTTGAGTCTCACAATCTGGCTGAGTGTATGGGTGTTGTCACGTTCGAGATCGCTGTATTCCTTCCGGAGTTTTTTGTTCTCGGCGCCAATGGAGGCAACTTGCTTGACGACCGGATGGGATGCCAACGTAGTAAACAAATTCTCAATGTCGTCCAAAGAAGGCGGAGTTGTTGAAGCGGTGGTGTTGGAGGAGGAGAGAGTTGCCAGTTTCCCGGTGGACATGCTGGTCAGAGTCAGCTAATATTGTGGGGTTTAATCAGGTGGTTGATTAAGGGGCAAGGCACGTTGGAGAGTATGACACCATGTGGGACTGAAATTTTGCCTGTTCGAATGTTGGGAAGGAGGCATTATGGCGGACAACCACCTTCTTTTTAACTTGCTCGACAGTTTCATCATCTGCATCATTGCTTGTCAAATCTCTGGCTGATTCTCTCACACCAACATCCTGTGCCACCCATCTCCTCTCGTGGCCAATAATGGCACGATGGGCCTCAGTGCGTTGATTGTCCAGCACCTTCCCACATGAAGCTCAGCCTTCCATTTCAAAGTGAAGCTTGTGGTCAGACCCCAAATCTTCATCAGGATTCTCACAGAAAAAACACTTTGATCATGATATGCGATGAGCCAGTGAGGCGAGCAGGTCATCACCTCCCCCCAAGTTGAATGCAAGCCATAAATCATGTCCGGGCCCGCCACCAATCAATGTTCGGTACTGTCTCCGGATAGACAGCCAATTGCCGGTGTCTTTCCGGAGCAAACGGGCTGATAGCATTTGATCCATATGCCTCTTTCCATCGGGTTGATGCCGTGGCATGGAAACTTGAAAGTTTGACAATGGAATTGTGATAGAAGAGCCAATGCTATTTTTATCTGCTGAGATGGCCAGTCATGACGAAATGCCGTTTTATGTTGAGTCGCAAACCAAAGCCTCACTCTGCGGTTCTCCGTGGTCAGGTGGGTTTGATGAGATGGCTTCACATGTAGGTTCTTTTGGAACAAACGGATCCAAGTGACCTTGGCCCTGATCTTGATAGCTGTCAGATTGTGATATCTATGTACCTAGAGCTATCAAACTCAATATGCTGTGCAACCATGCAACCATTACTCCGTTTGATAAAGACTACCTGCGGCCCTTATACAACGCATATCTCCACGCCCAACCTCAACAACTACAACACAAGGACAGCGCGATTAGTTCAGTGGTTAGAATACTCGCTTCCCATCTCGCTCTTGGACAAGCGAGGGACCCGAGTTCGAATCTCGGATCGCGCAGCTGATACTGTTTCGCTTCTTTTTGGTTAGCTTTGGTGCTAACATGGCAGGCGTGGTCAACTTCTTTATGGCAGAAGGAGCGGAGGTGAGTCGGGAAGGGGCGGTGGACCCCTCGGCCCGAACTGGGTACAGTTCAATGGATTCATCTGAGGTTACCTGGTCGAGGACTACCAAAGAGTGGAGGTATGAGAGTGATGCTCAACTGGAAACAACGGTTGATGGGCATGTGTTTTGAAAACGGATTAGGTACTTCAGGGTTGGGACTTGTGTTAGTTAGATACCTACCCAGTTCAAGACTCGCGAGGAGAGGTAAATGTGACTCCACTGCTAACTCGGTGACAACATTGTAACGGGTCTATTTGTCTTGTTAAATTGTTTAGACCATAGACTTGCTTATGTTGAGCGGTTGGAGTAGTTGTGGTCTCTGAGAAAGACGCTGATTTCTGCGTGCCCTATCCATATTCACAAACTTGACGTCCTGAGGCGAAGTAACGACTTGAAAGTCACACATGTTGAGGTGAAGCAGCATGGCATTGCCGTTTAACACACGAGGCTGAATGAAGCCTTCATCGAACGAGTTATATGAGCATCGGTGGTATTAGAAACTTGATGCCACTCGCCATCTCATTGGCTGTAGTACTAATTGCTATCACAGAACAGAGGTCTCCAATCTCGCGGCAGCCGATGCACGTCAGACTTTTCCACAACCGACACAGCAGCTGTGCCTCCCATCTGTCTTGCGGAAAAGGAAGCTCCATGGTGATGCGGCCCGAGCTCCTTTTTGTGAAACGTCACGAGTGCGGAAGAGACGAAGGGCACGAGCCACCCTGCGCCGCGAGCCACGCATCCGGCAACAGAAGCGGAAGCTTCCCGAGCGAGAAAAAGAGAAACGGGAACGCTTTCGAAGCACACCCCTGTCATCATCCTGCTGACATTTAAGGCTTCAATATTTCCAACTGCTGAGCCTCCTCTGACAAACTGATGTAACCAGCCTGTATTTGATCATGGTGCTGAGAAGGCGCCTTTACTGTGTCTATTTTTCTTTCCTTTCGAATGCAATGAATGAATGAATGGATGGATGAATGAATGAATGCGCCGCCAATCGATGAACTCCGCCGTGTTACCATCGTCTGTTTACCCCGAAACCACTGAGAGCTAGGAACCGGATCTCACTCGGCTCCATGGCCAGACCGGCCGGCGACCAGCTGAACGCTCACGCAGCACCAGCAACAAATGGCCATATGGGCATCTCGCAGCCATCCTCCTCTCAACCGCTTTCCACCACCCAGCTTATCAGCCACATTCCCAAAATCCTCCCTCACGAGCGCGTCTTCCCCATACAGATAGGGTCTGAGCTCTTCAAACTATCGGGTGCATCGCTATCATCCGATGGTATGTATATCATCTGAGTGGGTGGAGGGAATGAGCACAAACTGACTGACATGAACAGCGCCGTCGTACTTTTCCCAATACTTTCTGTGTCAGCTAAAACAGGCCGAAGAAAATGGAGAAGACATTTCCAACGCCATCCGGACCTTGTCCATCGATCGTGACCCAGACACGTTTAAAGACATTGCTCTACACCTTCAGGGGTATCATGTGAAACCGCGAGATGCAACGCACTTTGTGCGATTGTTTGCCGATGCACAGTTTTACAGACGTGAGACAACGCTTCTATTGCTACTTGCTGCAAGGCCGAAGACATGTTGGGCTAACGCTGTGTCTTGCTAGTCCCCAAGTTGATGTCCCAGTTGTACGAGGAGAGCATCTTTACTACTATTGGAGAGCGCCAGTTTGAAATACCGCGAGAGCTATTCAATGACCCAGGGAACTCACCCAACTTTTTCTCGCTGGGCTTTGCTGTCTTCTTTTCCTCACCAGACGAGCTCTTTCCTGGCTTGGACAGAGAAGGGCTTCTTCGGCCACCATCGATTGTGCCCCCTGCGATCCCAACACGTAACGGGGATATTTTTGCCGAGCTACTAAACCTTCTCCGAGGATATCCGGTCAATATTCGCGATGAAGGCCATCGCGCAGAGCTACTCCGAGATTGCCGGTATTTCAACTTCAAAGGGCTCGAGCAGCGTCTGATCCCGCATCAGATATCCTACAACCTGTCACGTAGACGACACGAAATTGTTCTTCGGCTCAGGGACATACTCAAAAGCGGCATCACGGTAGCTTCCGAGCCCACCGCACTCGATCCAGCCGCCGGATGGGTCAACTACGCCCGCCCGTTCGTCGACGAGAAATCTTATGAGCTAGTGCTCGAGATTGGCGATGAGAGCACCAGGCTACAGTTTGGACCGAATGGATCGATCCGAGCCGAGTTCTTTGGGGAAGTCAAGACTCGCGTGGCGAAACTTTTCGAGGTCATCTCTACCAAGCTCAACTTACCGCCCACAACACAGCCCCTCGGGTTGCTAATGACACAAGGGGGTGCGAGCAGCCAACCAGCTACGCCGGGGAATACACCGCTTAGCGAGGATTTGGTAAGGGTTGTGATGGATCCCGAGGCAAGCGTCACGCTGGACGGAAGAGCCTGGAGCTTGGAAGAGGCGGGGAATAGCTCGGTGCCGTCATCGGCTGGGGGACTGGATGGTGTGAGTGGCGGTGGTGAACAGAACTCGCCCTCGGCGTTACTGCTGTCTGTTCCGGCCTCACAGCCGTTTTCGAGGAAGAGGAGGAGGGTGGATATGAATGGCGGACTGGAGGAATGGATTGTGCGGACTGGGCAGTGGCGGCTGAGGATTCAAGGGGTCAAGAATGGGAAGGCGGCGGTAGAGTGTTGTTTGGTGGCGGTCAAGCTGGATGCTATGAGCTCGGAGCATGCTAGGAATCTGCAGAGGTCCTTTTTGGGAGGGTGACTTTGGATATGCTGGGAATGATACCTTGAGTTGTTGGATATGAGGGTGTTTGTATGTCGTTGTCATGTTGGAATTCATGGCATGGGATTATTGTGTTTATCCTATTACAAACTCTCTGTTTTTTTATTAATCAGCAAGCATATTACTTTATGACAACAGGCTGTGACAGTTCAGTGAGGCAACGAATGGATGAGTGTTGCACTGGCACTGACTGGTGATTCCATGTTCCAGTGGGTCTCTTGGCCATCAGATGTTGCTGGCAAAATATGGATCCCTCCCAAATTGAGATTGGCCTATCAATCTGGACCATGTAACCGTCAGGAGGCCCGCTCTTTCACTGTCCAGCCATCTCTTCCATGTCCCTTGGGGTGAGGCTTGCTGTGATGTATGCTGTATAGGACATATATGTATGTAGGTCGGGTGTCTGTAAGGTACAGACATAAACTGGTTGGGTATCTGTAGGGAGTGAAGCAAGTCGGGGCTCAGACGGCGAGACTGCCGGCATCCCGGACCCAGCCAGCCGGGCAGCAGACCGGACTGGGATTGGACAGACACGACGCTCGGGCCAAGGAGTGATCACAACCAGCGGTGTTTTGGGGGGTGCTTTCTGCGGTGTGCTCAGTGCACGGCAGTGACTGGCTGATAAAGCACGGGCAAGGAGAGGAAGCGCGCTTGCCTGCTTCGGGGAACGCTTCTGTCAACAATCAAATTTCCCCACCACTGTCACCCAAGTTCAACCTTCAGGCTTCCGAAGAACGACCAACCTTCAAATTTCCACTTCTCCAGCCAAACCCGCCTGTTGTTGTTGTTGTCTTGTGACCCAGCTGCTGTCTTTGGTTTTGCTGACAGGCTATATTCATATTGCACCTCTCTCTTTTTTTTGCAGCAAAGAGTACTTCTGCTACCAAGTCAAGATGCGTGAGATTATCAGCTTGAACGGTATGTTTTTTTTGCCCCGACCTGAAGCTCCTTTTTTTCTCAGCGTGGCGCGCGTCTTTGGCCTCACCGCATCGGTTGGGGGCACCTCGATATCGGCGCATACCACCGACTCAACACCCTTTTGGACGACTTTTGTGTTGATACTGACTTTCTCTGTCTATAGTCGGCCAGGCCGGTTGCCAGATCGCCAACTCCTGCTGGGAGGTATGTACAGCATCACCCCTCTCTCGACTCGTCCTCCTCCTCCCCGGTTGCCCGCATCGTCATCAGAGCTGCCTCGCCTCGTGACAACACACCAGGCGACATCATGACTTTCGATCTGCTCTGCTCGGCACCGATGAACACTACATTCGATATGCTTGATGGAATAGGGACTTTACTGACCTTACATGTTTAGCTGTACTGCCTTGAGCACGGCATCCAGGTATGCTCTCGTCCCCGATTTTTAGCGGTCGGAATATTGTGATACTGACCCGTTCATATCATTAGCCCGATGGATACCTCACTGAGGAGCGCAAGGCTGCTGACCCCGACCATGGCTTCAGCACTTTCTTCTCTGAGACTGGTGCGTACTTGGGACCTTTGATGATGTGTGCCCTCATATCTTTTGGCCCAGCTGACGGATGTATGCCCAAGCAGGAAATGGCAAATATGTTCCCCGGACAATCTACTGCGATCTCGAGCCCAACGTCGTCGATGAGGTCCGCACTGGTGCCTACCGTGGCCTCTTCCACCCCGAGCACATGATTACCGGAAAGGAGGACGCCTCCAACAACTATGCCCGCGGTCACTACACTGTCGGCAAGGAGCTTATTGATCAGGTGCTCGACAAGGTCCGCCGCGTGGCCGATAACTGCAGTGGTCTTCAGGGTTTCCTCGTTTTCCACTCCTTCGGTGGTGGTACCGGTTCCGGTTTCGGTGCTCTGTTGATGGAGCGCCTCTCGGTTGACTATGGCAAGAAGTCAAAGCTCGAGTTCTGCGTCTATCCTGCCCCCCAGACCGCTACCTCTGTTGTTGAGCCCTACAACTCTATTCTCACCACCCACACTACCCTTGAGCACGCCGACTGCTCCTTCATGGTCGACAACGAGGCCATCTACGATATCTGCCGTCGCAACCTTGGTCTCGAGCGCCCCAACTATGAGAACCTGAACCGTCTCATTGCTCAGGGTATGTTTTTCCAGAGCACCAGAGGTATTCTTTTTGACACCTGCTGACATATCTTCCAGTCGTTTCTTCCATTACCGCCTCGCTCCGTTTCGATGGCTCCCTGAACGTCGATCTCAACGAGTTCCAGACCAACTTGGTCCCCTACCCCCGCATCCACTTCCCTCTGGTTGCTTATGCCCCCGTCATCTCGGCCGCCAAGGCTGCCCACGAGGCCAACAGCGTCCAGGAGATGACCATGTCTTGCTTCGAGCCCAACAACCAGATGGTCAAGTGCGACCCCCGCAATGGCAAGTACATGGCTACCTGCTTGTTGTACCGCGGTGACGTCGTCCCCAACGACGCCCACGCTGCCGTTGCCACCCTCAAGACCAAGCGCACCATCCAGTTCGTCGACTGGTGCCCTACCGGTTTCAAGCTTGGTATTTGCTACCAGCCCCCCCACCAGGTGCCCAACGGCGATCTGGCCAAGGTTAACCGTGCTGTGTATGTATACCCTGGCTGTTATATATTTTATTTTGTTACAACTTGCTAACTATGCCTCTAGCTGCATGCTTTCCAACACCACCGCCATTGCCGAGGCCTGGTCCGCTCTCTCTCACAAGTTCGATCTCATGTACTCCAAGCGCGCCTTCGTCCACTGGTATGTTGGTGAGGGTATGGAGGAGGGTGAGTTCTCGGAGGCTCGCGAGGATCTTGCTGCTCTTGAGCGCGATTACGAGGAGGTTGCTGCCGATTCGATGGAGGGTGAGGATGTCGAGGCCGAGTATTAAGTGTGGAAGCACGGAAGCTACGTGTGTGGATACTCCGTGGTGGCAAAGTTTGGTATGTTGATTGTGGGCGAATCACCTTGGACGAAGGGTTGTTGTTGTTGCACCGAGTCCTTTTAGTCATCCCCTTTAGGCCTGCGATATCCCGTTGGCGAAAAGAGGCTCTCTGCGTTTTCATGGGTATACTTCCTTGGCAAGCGCGGACCCAGTGAATTTTATTTTGTTAGACGGAAAGTGAATAGTGAATTTTAATGGAGAACAGCAGAATACCTGGAGGGATATTATAATGTTGTCTTGTTTTGTTTTGTTTTGTTTGGGGAGTGGGACAGACTGTGTACATAGGAGAGATCCCCCGGAGTACAGTATTTGTTGTCACACCTAAATGGTACTTTTCCAAGTGATGCTCAATTATCGCGCATGTCTGCTTTCTGAGACCTGTACTAGCGAGGAGACGGGGTTATGTCTGCAACTGTCTGCAACAAGCTGCCATCTGCACCGTTGCTGCAGTTGCCGTTGGCTGTTGAGCTTGGGGGTTTACTGCAGCTCTGGCAGGACGAGCTTGGTTGGACCCTTGGGACCCAATCAAGGGTTGGGTTGCTGCCAAGGCGCTGTGACAGATCGAGGCATCCCCACTCTGCGGACTTTCCCGCCAGCTGTTTGGCTTCCAGGTTCCTCTCTGCTGCCCAAGGGAGCTTGGGGGAGTCGCAATCCCAGCCTCACGAACGTTGCCAGACCAGACCAGACCGGACGGTTGATTTTCCCCCACTCGACCACTCAACCAGACTCGACATCGCAAACTACGAATGCGCATATGCCATAGTCCACTGCTATGCCCGCATGATTCTTGTTCTTTTGTTTTCTGATTCCTACTGAGCGTCTCTTTCGTCCATTTCCCTCTTGTAATACACGCATTTCCTTTTCCCGCGCACGAAACCGCGACTGCCAGCGAGCGACCCGACCAAGCACGAGAAACAGACATCAGCCACCACCACCACCACCACCACCGAAGAAGGACGACTGAGCAAAAAAACATTTGGTCTCTTTTCGCAACACACGGCACATCTGGTTCTCACCATGGCCGAATCATCTTCTGCCGCCGCCGCCGATGCCGGTACGTGTTTTAAAAAGCAGTGGCAGACAGACCGGCGACTTTTTGGGCAACGGGGGCACGGGCTAACCGGAAATGATGGCTTTAGGGGCACCGAACCTCAACCTCACACCGGAAGAGAAACGAGTCTACGGCCAGCTGTTCCGAGCAGCTGATACAGAAAATGTTGGAGTTGTCACCGGAGAAGTTGCTGTCAAATTCTTTGAGAAGACAAGGCTAGATTCGAGAATCTTGGGCGAGGTTCGTGTTTCAGGGGCTGCATCCCCACCAGCCGATATTGTGACCTCACCAACAACGCTGACACTCTTGTTTTGTGATATTTCTACAGATTTGGCAGATTGCGGATAAAGAAAACAGAGGCTTCCTCACCCCGGCTGGGTTTGGCATCGTCTTGAGGCTCATTGGGCATGCACAGGCCGGCCGGGAACCAACTCCCGAGCTGGCTCTTCAGCAAGGTCCTATTCCACGATTCGATGGCTTCACACCGACCCCTGCCCCTATTCCACCGCCGCCCGCGGTTCAGGCCCAGGCCACGGGCGCCCCAGGTCCCATTCGCATCCCACCGCTGACTCCGGAGAAGGTTGCCCAGTATGCTGGCTTGTTCGAGAGACAGCCTCTTCAGGCTGGCGGTATGCTTCCTGGAGACCAGGCCAAGCAAATCTTTGAGAAATCTGGTCTTCCCAACGAGGTCCTGGGTCGTATCTGGATGCTTGCCGACACCGAACAGCGCGGCGCCCTCGTCTTGACCGAATTCGTTATCGCCATGCACTTGCTTTCTTCCATGAAGACTGGCGCGTTGCGCGGCTTGCCCAACATCCTGCCTGCGGCCCTTTACGAGGCGGCCACTCGCCGTGCACCGCTTGGCGCAAGCATCCCCAGACAACAGTCCCCCACAACGGCTACACCACCCATCTCGGCCGTCCCACGACAGCTCACCGGCCCAGCGCCCTTGCAGCAGATGCGCACCGGAAGTCCCCTTGGCCGCCCCCCGATTGTTGCGCAAACGACTGGAGACTGGCTGGTTACTCCACAGGACAAGGCTCGGTTTGATCAACTGTACGAGGAGCTCGACAAGTCAAAGAAGGGATTCATTACTGGTGAAGAAGCTGTCGGGTTTTTCAGTCAGTCCAATCTTTCCGAGGATGCTCTGGCCCAGATTTGGGATCTGGCCGATATCAACTCTGCGGGCCGCTTGACCAGGGACGAGTTCGCCGTCGCCATGTATCTTATCCGACAGCAACGCACCAAGCCAGGCGCCCATACTTTGCCGACCACCCTCCCCGCCAACCTCATCCCACCGAGCATGCGGGCGCAGGTTGTTAGACCCCCAACAGCCACCGGCGCTTCAGCTTTTGACGCACCCCCACGACCTCAGCCAAAGCCATCTGCGCTCGAAGACTTGTTTGGGCTGGATGATCCTCAGCCGCCAGCGCCAGCTCAGGTGGCTTTGGCTACAGGCGGATCGGCTGGTGGTGATCCCTTTGCTACTAGCATGAGCCCTGTTGCCCCTACGTCACCAGCCAGACCGTCTCCCAACACCTCGACATTCAAGCCTTTTGTTCCGTCCTCTTCCTTTGGCCGCGGCCTTACCACACAGCCTACCGGTGGCTCCAATGCGTCCGCTGCAGGTTCCGTGACTAGTCTCCCGATGAGACCTCCTGCTCCCTCCTTTGAAGACGACCTGCTTGGTGATGCCGAGCCCGAGGTTAGCAAGAACTTGTCGAGCGAGACTACTGAGCTTGCCAACCTGTCCAACCAGATTGGTTCTTTGACCAAGCAAGTGCAGGATGTGCAGGGTCAACGTGCGGCTACCCAGAATGAGCTCAGCCAGTCCAGCATCCAGAAGAAGAACTTTGAGCAGCGTCTGGCTCAGCTGCGCGCCATGTACGAGAAGGAAGCGCAGGATGTCCGGTCGCTCGAGACGCAGCTTACCGCCTCCAAGAATGAGACCAAGAAGCTCCAGACCGAGTTTGCCATGATTGATGCTAGCTATCAAGACATCCAGAACCAGCACCGAACCGTTGTGGCGGCCCTGCAGGCGGATCAACAGGAAAACGCAAGCCTTAAGGAGCGGATCCGGGCAGTGAATGCCGAGATTGCGCAGCTGAAGCCTCAGGTCGAGAAGCTCAAGTCCGAGGCCAGACAGCAAAAGGGGCTTGTCGCTATCAACAAGAAGCAGCTCGCCACCAACGAGGGTGAACGGGACAAGCTGAAGACGGAGGTGGAGGAGCTCACCAAGAGCAACGAGGAGCTTGCCCGCCAGGCCAACAGCAGTTCGCCTGGTTTGGCTCAAGTCGGAAGCCCGGCCCTTTCCACCACGAGCGCTAATAACCCTTTCTTCCGGAGGACGGGAAGCACCGATATCACCGGGGCTTTTGCCTCGCCCCCCATTCGGTCCTTTAGCAACCAGAGCTTCGATGATGTCTTTGGGCCCAGTCTGAACGTCCGTGATACGAGCACCCCTCCTCCTCAGCCCGCCAGTGCTATTCCAGCACAATTCACCGGAACCTCCACTGGCAGCGGATCATTTGCGACACCTGGCTCGAGCAGCCCTAATGTTAGCCGCCAAGCCACCGTCGCGACCGACTCACCTACAGTCCCGGAACCTAGGCAGATCAACTCTACCTTTCTGCCATTTCCCGAACCCACCGACTCCCTGAGCACCTCCCGCCAGGCTTCGCCGGCCTTGAGCCGCCCCGAGACTCACCAGGAGTCCCAACCCATCAGGGCTGCTTCGCCTATTGAGGCTCTCAAGACGGGACAGAGCTTTGCCTCTGGCTCGGGCTCCGACCGGCCAAGAGCCCCCTCGGTCGCTTCGGATAAGCCTTCCAACGTCTTTGGTTCTGTTCCCGAAGAGACGATCCAGCGTCCCGCCACCAGTGGTAACGTGGACCCCTTCGCCGTGGACCAACAAAAGGCCAAGGAGGACTTTGAGTCGGCCTTTGCCAGCTTCAAGCAGGCCAAGGCTGCCGCTCCCGCCTCGTCGGGCGCGGATGCGACCAAGGCATTCTCAACCTTCAACAACGAATTCCCTCCCATCTCGGAACTCGAGCGTGACGACGAGTCGGACAGTGAGAGTGAGCGCGGCGGGTTCGACGATGACTTTGCGCCAGTTTCGCCGGCCACCAAGCCGGTCGAGAAGAGCATCGAGTCTCGATCTGCCTCCCCAACTATCACCACCAAGTCTGCACCAGACGCTGCTGTGGCCGCGGGATCCTCCCAGAGCCCAGCTCCTGAGCAGCAAGCTGCGAGGTACGACCAACGTCGTTTAGTCTCGTTTTCGCTCCAGCCCACCCTTCATTATTACACAGAGACTGACATTATTTGCAGCGAGAAACCTGCCGCCGCCACTACGGCCTCGTCCACTAACCTGACCAAGCTCTCCAGCTCGAATGTAGACGACATCTTTGGCTCAGCTCTCGCAGCCCAGCCTGCTGCCGCTGCAACGAACAACCGCCCGAGCACTGCGACTGCTCCTGCGCCCAAGGGTGCGTTTGACGATCTTGATGACGATTTCGAGGGTCTCGAGGATGCCAAGGAGGGTTCCGCCGACGATGACTTTGCCAACATCTCCCGGTCCGGTCTCGACGACTTCAACCCCGTCTTTGACAGCAGCCCGCCGCCAAGCCAGCCCAAGAGCGACTCGGCCGCCACCAGCGGAGCCTTTGGTGGTGAGAGCAGCTTCGACTTCGCCTCACTATCGACCACTTCGGCCGCCAACAGCACGGCTGGTCCCGCGTCTGCTTCGGGCCCTGGCAAAGCCAAGGGTGATGCCCACGACTGGGATGCCATTTTTGCCGGTCTAGATGAGACCCCCACTGCATCGTCAGTGACGCTGGCCAGTGGCAACGAAAACGCCAAGGAGGCTCCGGCAAGGCCGGCTGCTGGGAGGACGCTGACGGAGGAGGGGGAGCACGATGATCCGATCCTGAAGAACCTCACGAGTATGGGGTACTCCCGGACGGATGCGCTAGCGGCGCTGGAGAAGTATGATAACAATTTGGAGAGGGTAAGCAGCAAGACCAAGAATGGATTTCCTTCTCAGAGCAGGAGGGTGAGGACGTGAGGCTGACCAAAGGTTTTCTTTCTTTTCTTTTAGGCTGCGAATTATCTTGCCAGTCAGTCTTAGGCACATTTCGCAGTTGGAGTAGTTCCGATGAGAGATTTTCTCTTGGATCTTGTTGCGATCTTGATGGGGAAAGGAGCGAGGGGGGAGGGGCGGATGCAGAGGGAGGATTCGTTGGTTATTTGGTTGGGTGGCTGTCAGTTGGTTGTCTGTCTTTGATGATGAGTGATACCTTTTCCTTTGTCTTTTCTACCCATTTTCTCTTGTTGGAACAAGATGTCGTTCCATCACCACCACTACTCTCTGTCCTGCTGGCCATTTTTGCGCTGCATTAGCTGGATACATCACTCTCTCTCTAAACACACGTTTTTCCTTAATGCTTAATTCATTGTCTCTTCACTTCTCTCTATATCTTGTACTATCTGTGCCTGTCGAGGTACTGTTGGGGGATTTCTTTCTGCAGTGTATACTTTACCTTCTGTAGCGTAGTTAAGTGTATATCCTAACTTATCCGTGTTTGGTCTTTTTCTTCCCTTGAGTTGCTGCCCCGTTTCTTGTGGTTACCATGGTGAATGTTGGTTGTATGTGAGTGATTTGTGTGGGGCTGGCTGTTATGGGAGGTGGATCCAATGAGATGCCACAGAATGTCTACCCCGCGCCAAGACCGATTCCAAGCGGCAGGGGTTAGTATTTACAAAGTCATCATCTTTTTGCCCCTCCAAAACTTTTTTTGTTTGTTTGCCGCAACCAAAGGACCCAAGAACAACAACAACCTTTTCACCGCGACGAAAGCGAGGGAGACAAAATGGCCGACGACGACGAGCAGCTCTCCATCTACGACGAGGTCGAGATCGAGGACATGACGTTTGACGAGGCGCTGCAGACGTACCACTACCCGTGTCCTTGCGGCGACAAGTTTGAGATTGCGCTTTGCGACTTGCAGGACGGGGCGGACATTGCTGTCTGTCCGAGTTGCAGCTTGATGATTAGGGTTATTTTTGAGGTGGAGGATTTGCCCGGGGGAGGAGGGAAGGGGGTTGAAGGGGGGAAGGCGGTGGCTGTTTCTGCTTAGAGGGCTGGGAAAACAGAAGGATAGTAAAGCTGAGAGATTTGGGCTGGTGGATAGGTGACAGGGGCGATCGAGCGAACGAACGGAGGAGACTTCACCGATCGAAACCCGCGAGGCGAGCAGAACAATTTCGAGGCTTTTGTTATATGGTCGGTGGCAACAAACTTGTCCCAGCAAAATTCGAGAACTCAGTGATGACGAAAAAGTGTTGGGAATTAGAATTGGTTGTGGTACAAATTCTTCAACATCTGATTCCTTCACATGTCCTTATGTACAATACATTACAACCCCTTCCATCACTACTACTGCCGCTATCATCACCACGACGATCCCTTCCCCATCTCACTACCATCACAACTACCACCACCAGCATTGCCTCAAATTCACACCAACCCCACAGCCATAACAGCAAACACGACCAGCCCCGCCAGAGGCCCCTCCAGCCCAGCAACGTTGCTACCCGCCGCGTTGGTAGGGACGACAGAGGCGGTTGCTATTGTTTTTCTACCGTCAGCTTGGGTCTCTCAACGGCGAGCTCATATCTTGTGGGGAAGATGGTGACAACAACAGTGGGCAACGAAACCCGAGAAGAAAAGGGCAAGGAGGAAAGGGGAAAGGGCAACAGACTGGTAACAGCCGGCGTGGCGGTGGTCGTCGTGGAAGACGGGAAAACGGTCGTCGCCGAGGTGATGGTGGAGACGGAGCCGGTTTCGGTGCTCGTCGTGGTTGTTTGACCTGACACGAGGGCTGCGGCGCCGAGAGCGACGAGTCCGGAGGAGGTGAAGTGCATTTTGTTGAGTCGGGGAGGGTGTTGGGTTGGGTTGGGTTGGGTTTGGGTTTGGGTATCTAGGGGTATCAAGAGGATATTTTTGAGTAAAAAAAGATTGGGGATATTTATTACAGACACAGAGTGAGTGAAGATGTCAAGGAAGAAGAGAATAGATCAGTGAGGGGACTAGGGGACGAAAGGTATTTGAGGAGAGGGGAAAGAAAGGGTAGGTGATGATTCATAGCGATGGAATGGGAGATATCATCCGAAGACTGCAGATTGTGAGTAGAGGGAGAAAACATCATGCTTCCGTTATGAGTTGGACATATCCCTGTCAAGTCTGACAGTTTTGGAAATAAAATCCCTGATATTTGACAGTCGGAAAGACTCCGTTTCCCTTCCCTCGCATCCAAGTCGATAGAGCGCATGCAGCACGAGGAATTCCCAAGACTTGCCTCTCCCAAGACTTGCCTCGCGGGGGTCAGCTCCGGCACTAATAACTCCAAGCTTCCGCAGCTCGCAGGGAGAACAGCCTGTGATATAGCTGTGATGTCAAGCGGTGTCTTTGACCCCTTACCACATTCAAATCCAGAACTCGTCATCAGACGCACACCCTTCTTCCAAAATCTGGATAAGAAAATTGTCAAAGCGAGTCTCTTTTATAACCTATCCTAGGCAATGCCGCGACCAAAGAAACTTGAGACGCTGAACCCCGTCATAGCGCTGGAATATGACTCCTTTTCATTTCCCATTTTACCATTTTTTCTTACTCCCGCCTACACCTATACGTTGGTAAAGAAGAAGCTTGGCTGGCCGGGCAGGGCAGCTTCGGCAACAGGAGCAGTGACCTCCACCTCCGCACTATTGGCAGTCAGGTCCTTGCCCTGCTTGCTTCCCTCCTGCACGGCAACGATCTGGACTGACTCGAGACCGGCAGCGCGCTTGAGACCTGGGACCATGGCCTAGAAATGAATTGTTAGTTACCTTATCTTTCTTCCTAGGCAGAACGAGGGTTTACTCACCAAAAGAGTCTTCTTCTCATCAAACGCCAGCTTGCGCTCCAGCACAGCGCTGGCAGGCTCGCCATCTCTCAGACGCTTCTTCAGGGCCTGCACAAAAGGCATAGCCTTCTTCATCTCGCCCATCTTGCCGATGCGGCCGTTGAGCTCCTTGTCGTCAATCTTTTGGCTGTTGGTAGCCGGATCCCAGACCTCCTTCAGCAGCTCAATGTACTTGGCCTGCCACGTGGGGAAGTCCTCAGTCAAGAAAATTGTGAGCTTCTTGGGCTTCTTGGGGTCAAAGTCACTTTGTCTGCCCTTGGCCATCTTCTTGAGCTGAGAAGCCTCAGCAGAGTTGATGTTGGAGGACGTCTGGCGGACGTACTCGCGGGCCGCCGTGAGGCCAGCGTCCGAAGCAGGCACGTCAGGCCACCTCGCGAACTGGATGGAAGTCTTCTCGCCGAGAATCTCTTGCCAGACGAAGTCGGCCCAGTGGGGGGCAATGGGGGTGAGCAGAAGAGCCTGGAGTCTGATGTACTTGAACACGAGGTCCTTGTGAAGAGGAATACCGGCAGCGGTACAGGCCTCACGGTAGGTGTCACGGGCGTTGAGGAAGTCGTAGTGGCCGGCCTTGAGGGCAAGCTTGTACGAGGTCTCCTCGTAGTGCTTCTTGGCCTCAGCAACCAGGGCGTTCATCTCGTTGTCGAACAAGACGTCCTGGAAGTCGTTGAGCTCACCAGTTCTCAGACTCTCGTCCTTGACAGTCTCCTCGATCCACTCCTTGTTGGTGTAGAATCGGAGAATGGTGTTGTCGGCAACATCCTCGACGAAGTTGGAGTCGGCAATGGTATCGCCAGCATCGGCAAGAGCCACACGGGCGGCATCGGCACCGTACTTCTTGACGACGTCATCCAAAGTCATGAAGTTGCCAGTGGACTTGGCCATCTTGGCACCGTTGAGCTGGAGATGGCCGTTGGCACGGACCGACTTGGGCCAGAACTCGCGGGGGAAGAGGGCGATGTGATTGTAGAGCCAGAAGGTGAGATGGTTGGGAATCAAGTCCTTACCGCTGACACGGAGGTCAAGAGGGTAGAAGTACTCGAAATCTCTGCGCATCCCCTGAAGGGTCTCCTTGGGGATACCGGACTTGGTAACAAGCTCATCAGTCAACTGTGTCCTGGCAAAGACATAGTCCCAGACCTCATCAATCATCTGCTCAGGGGCAATCTTGCCCTTGCCCTGCTCGCGGCCGAACAAGTCGGTGTGAAGCCATGGCACAAGAGTGTAGTAGGCCATGTAGATCGTAGAATCACTCAAACTCTCCACAAGGAAGGTGGGATCCCAAGGAAGCTTGGAGCCCAGGCCATAGGTTCTCGCGCAAGCCCACTGTTTCAGCCAGTTAAGCACTCCCTTGAAGGCATGCTGAGTGTCAGGAGAGTAGGTCTCGAGACCCTTGCCATCCTTATTCTCGACATAGTCATAGGCAATAGTGCGCCATGAGTCCTCGCCATAGTCAATGTACCACTGGTCCATGAGAGCAACAGTGCACTCATCACCAGATCTGGACACCACCTTGTTCTCGGGCTCGGAGTAGGCAAAAGCCTCACCAGCCTTGATCAGCTGCTCTCTGACCTTGGGCTTGGCAGCCTCAACCTTCTCGCCGGCAAACTCGCCGACCTTCATGACACCCTGGTAGAAACCCTCCTTGTACGCAAGCTCCTTGGCCTCCAGAAGCTGCTTGGCATCCTTGGGAGAGGCAATCTTGAGCTTCTTAACGAGGTAGGGAGCCAGAAGATCGGAGGTAGGGGTCTGAATGATGGGGATAATCTCCAACTCAGCCCACTCCTTCTTGATGCCGTAGAAGTCGGCCTTCTTGGCAAGCTCAGTAACCATAGCATAATCATCTGGGGAGTCGGACGGCACGGATGTGACCACACCGGTACCCTTGGTAGCAAGGACAGACTCCATGGGCAAAACGCGAACCTCCTTGTGGAAAGACAGAGGAGCATTTACGACGGTTCCGATAAGGTCAGAGCCCAAGACATCGGCGGCCTTTTCAGGAACGCCCTCCTTCTCGAAGATGCCCTGGTACGCCATGTTTCTGGCAGCACGCTCGGTGATGACAAAGTACTCCTTTTCAGAAGCCTTATACAAACCGTAGGTGATGCTGGGGCCGACAAAGCAGCAGGTTTGACCATACATGGTCTCGGCTCTGAGGGTAGCAGGCACAAGGTACACCTTGGCGTCCTCGGGAATCTTGCCTTTGACAGCCTCGGCGGCCTTGGGAGCCCACTCAACGACCTTGAGCTTGAGAGCAGTGTACTCCTGAGGGAGGACACCCTCACCTTCACTTCGGTCGTGGTCCATGCAGGGCTGGCCGTCCTTGATGGAGTAGATTGTGTAACGCTTGCCGAACTTGATCTTCTCGAGCTCCTTCAAGCGGACCATTTGCCACCTGACGAAGGCATCGTAGTAGGGGTTCGCATCGGTCGTTACGAACTGACGTCTCCAGTCGATACGGGCACCAAAGTTGGTGAGATCCTTCTTGCACTCTGGTGGGAAGAACTGGAGCCAGTACTGAGGGTCGGCAAAGTGGTGAATCTCCTCCAGCGGAATGCCGACAGAGTTGAGGATCTGGAACTGATACTTGGCCTTGACGGTCTTCGCCGCGGCCTTGCCCTTCTTGGCATTGAACTTGGACAAGTCGTCCTTTGGCCCCTTGGCAGCGACAGGAGCCTCCTCAACCTCGTCCTCCTCCTTGTAGTTCTCGAAATCACGACCGAACATTTGGACTTCCTTCACGAGCTTGTCGGCGGAGGCCTTGATGGGAAGACCGGTGCAGTGGTAACCGAGGGGGAACAGGGTACGCTTGCCCTGCATCCTGGCGTAACCGGCATGGAACTCGACTATGCAAGGTTAGTACGCAATGCGCTGAGTTGGATATTAGAGGTTTCGTACTCTTGCTGAAGCTGAAAGCATGGCCAGCGTGGAGACGGCCGTTCATATAAGCTATACGATCAGTCAGTGAACAGTCCATGTATATGCCAGTCCGGGAACAAACATACGGTATGCGATTGTACCAAAGAACTTGGGGAACCTGTCGAGCTGTATTAGTGTCCATATCCCAAACCATGCGCAAACTCCTTTCCAGGTCTGAAATCCCCCCTCTCCTTCCAATCTGATATCTGCCTCTTTATTCCAGAAAGTTGAACGTACTTCTCGCGCAGCTCATCGGCGGTGATGGACTCCAGGGGAAACTCGTCGATAGATGGCGCATCGACCTCGAACACATGGTCCTCCTCCCACTTTTGCTGGTATCTCTGCAGATCAAGGCGCATTGGCCGTGAGTTAGCCCAGCTCCCATAGCCTCCTGATAGGTGTATTTGTCTCAGGTGGAAGGCGCACCTTTTCAATCTCAATAAGGGTATCTCTCTTCTCGGTACCCCTGAGCTCCTTGGTCTTGGAGGAGACAGCCAAGGTCTCCATGGCCTTGGGCAGAGTGGTGTCGGCCATACTGTGGTTGTTGTCGCAAAACTCCGAATCGTTCGTTCGCACCGGCTTGCTAGAATTGGATATGTGTAAGTGGTGGTATGAAAGGGAACGGTTTCTTGGGGGCAGAAATAAACCGGGGGCCCGATTTCGCAACAGCGGCAACAGGCAGGGGACTACACACCTTGGACTTGTTTTGAGTCAGGGACACGGGAACCTCACACACGCTCTCGTAGGCAGGGGAAATTTTGGCGGATGACTCCGCTGTCCGGCTGGCGACGGTACGGCACCATGGAATGGAGGGGCAAGAGCGCAACGCGGGGTTAATTCAAAAATCAGAGTGGGGAATAACCCACCAAACAACTGTGGCGGGCAGGGGTTAGCTGTGGCTTCTACCGGGATTCTAGCCACAGTTCAACCCAGCTTTGCCGTCAGGGCAATTATTTCTCTTGGCATTTTATAACGGTCATCGTCAGTCTTGGAGTCAATTCCATCCAAGTCTTGTCTTCGATAGCTCCCCCGTTTTCACAGCTCAGACATATCGCGCAGCCCACCATGTTCCCCACACTCATCAGACGCCTTGCACAGGCGCCCAAACCGCAAATACTCGAATCCGCAGCCAAAGCCGCAACCGAAGTACCCAAAACGAAGCTCAAGAAAGTCTGGCCACCTGACATGATGACCATGTCCCCGCAGCAGCAGCTCAGGTTTGAGAAGAAGTACAAAAGGAGGCTTAAGATGGCTACCCTCCGACCAGGGTGGGATAAGGGCGTGCGGTTGGCGCAATACTTTACAATCACATGTGGGTAGCTCTCCTTATATGCCCGTGTTGCCAAGTGATATTGTATTAATTGGCCTCTCTGTAGTTGTGCTTGTATATACGGCCCTCTTTATGGATTGGAAGGAAATGCCGAATCCTTATGGCGGAGTAAGCCATCTATCCCACCTTTCCCTCCTGCTCCATCCTTCTAACAGCCTCTCAAAAGATTCGGGAGTCATTTTGGGGATTCTTCGGCTCCTTTACCGAAGATACAAGAACGCTGGAACCTGCCCAGCAGCCCAAGCCCAAGAGACCTTAGACTCTTGGTTCCAACACCCTCCTACCTGTATTATAGTGTTCTCATCATCCGGAGTTCTGGCGTCGGAATACCCTGCAATAAATGGCGGCCGTTTGTATACCAACATATTGATGCTTGGTTCTCGTCTGTCTTTTGGGTGTCATGGAGAATATCACCTGCCATGCCAGACAAAGTTCCCACCCATTCCCTGGAATCCAGCAGCAGCCATAGCTCCCAGTCCTGCTCCTCCGCCACCCCTTGATCCCTCATTGACCGGCCTCTTGGCCACTGCTCCTTGTGCCCTTACACCCGCAACAATGCGCTCCATATTCGTCTCTATTACCACGCCGCCCACGATCATCTCGCCCAGTGTAGCATGTAGCGTCTCAAAGTTGAAGATCAAGTCCAGCTCACAGACGTTCTCAAATAATCTGTCCAGCGCCTCAACATAGACTTGAATAAGATCGATTAGTGCCAGTGGGGACTCGGTGGATGTTGAAATGACAATGAAATAGAGTGTAGCGTAGTGACGGTAGGTTACGAGGGAGGGGACATCATTCTGTTCTGTGGCCGAGGAGGAGGACGAGGAGGTGCCTGAGGCGGCCAGTAAGGGTGGCAAAGGCAGGAAGTTGCAGGATCCGGGGGCGCGGTTGGAAACCAAGGTGAAGATCTCGGAGATGAGCCGTTGCTGGATGGAGGTTTCCTAAAGCAACAAAAGATGCAGAGGTTAGTGGGGTTGGCAAGGCCGGTTGGGCTGGAAGAAATAGAGGAGAAAACATAATTACCAGTTGGGTGTAGAACTTTGTTAGGCGAGGCTGGCCTTGGCCGTTGAAGACTAGGAATGCGTTGATCATGGCTTGTGTGATTGTGGTGCGGTACGTGGTTTCTTGCGACTGATGCGTTTTGCAATGTTCCTGCGTTGGCTGGTGGGGGATGACGTGAAGCGTGCCAGCTAGCCAGGGACCTTGATAGCCCAGCGGACCGTGCGCCTGGCTCTCGGTTATCGTACTATTGGCCTGGTCCTGCCTGCCGCGAGCGGGTTTAAAGGAAAATGTGGGGTAGCTGCCTCTCAAGGCTCAAAGCTCCCGTCCTGTCAATGTCATGGAACCAAGCTCGAATTGATCCTGGCTCCCATCTCACTTCATTAACTTCAAGCTCACCATCTTCGTTGTTTGCATTGGTGACTGTGCTTATTCTTTGGTATAAGCAGTTATCAGCAACTCGCTCTTTGGCGGTTCGTGTATCTCATCTCTTCCACACAGCAAACACTCACCATACAATCACCTGCAATGGTTCGCTCAGGTCTCGCCAAGCTTGCCCGTGTGGTGGCCAGCCGTGGCATCCAGACGACTCGTGCCTCGCGCGCCACTCTTCCCAGCCTTTCAGCAGCTTCCACTTTCGTCCCAGCATTGCCACGGGCCTCTGCCCTCTCCGCCCGCTTCATTTCCAAGAGCTCGGCCACCCACCACCAGGGCATCACCCCGGACAATCAGGATGTCACTCCAAAGGAGGAGACCCCGAAGCCCATCCGGACCCCAGCTGAAATCACAGACTCAGAGTACCATGCCCTGGCCGATGAGTATATGGACAGGCTCTTGTATCACCTCGAGGACCTAGCCGAGAGGAGAAGTGAGATGGATGTTGAGTACTCTGTGCGTTGCTTCCGATCTCTCCCATATGTTACATCCAACACAGCACTAACACGCAATCTCCAGGCTGGTGTCATGACCGTAGACTTTGGCCAAGACACCGGCACCTATGTGATCAACAAGCAGCCCCCCAACAAGCAAATCTGGCTCTCGTCTCCCATGTCGGGCCCCAAGCGTTACGATTACGTCGTCCTTGGTGAAGGTCAACATGAGAAGCAGGACACCGCGGCCGGAGACTGGGTGTACCTGAGGGACGGCACCACCTTGTCCGAGCTTTTCAAAAAGGAGATCGGTGTCGATATTAGTATGTCGATCGGTCAATATGGCGAACAGCCTCATTAGCATCGTTAGTTGGTGTGTGAGCATTTTGACGATTTTATGAATAGGGGATGACTGCAGGCATGTCAGCGTGTTTTGACTGGCTTTATTCATGTTAGCTACCTCTGGTGTTGTTGGAGCAGCAGTTAGGATCACGAGGTAGTCAATGTTTTGTACAATAGTGTATGATATGGCAATTGATGAGGGAAATGCCCAAATCAACAGTTTCGTCCGTAGGGACATTCAGTGCTTTGTTCAAACTCTCAAGTGCGTCATTGCCAGTTCAGCTTGGTCAAATCATCATTCGTCCTTGCAAACGCCACATGATACTTCTGCGGGTGACTTCGGTGCTATGTGCTGCCAAACTGATGCCCAAAACCATAAAATGTTTGCTGGCTCGGGGACAAACAGAACACAACAGTCTAGGCTCAACATGAAGGCGTTTTGCAGAGGGGGGACAACTCAAATACAAACCCACACGTTTCATTTCAAAGTCACAGACACACACAATGGAAGCCTCACCCCACATGCCCCGAACACCTGTCCTTAAGCGCGAGAACGCTGTCCTTCTGGAGCCAGAGGCGAAGACTACACCGTTGTCCACCTCGATCAGCTCGAGCTCCGAGACGGATAGCACAACTTTCTCGGCCACCAGTAGCAACAGCAGCACAACAGATAGCTCAGCAGGGCCAAGAAAATGAATATTCAGGAGAGAGAGTTGAGTTCTGTGTCAAAAACAGACAAACTAGCCAGATACTTGGAGGCCAGTACCACGCTCACTGGTATCGTAATTCTGTAGAGTAGCTAACAGCTGAGCTTCCGCAACTCAGCGTCTTTGTAGAACTGCCAATATATCTTCTCAAGTGCACAAGGAACCCCTTCACGAAGGCATGAACAAAACATCTCAGACAAAACATGGCATATAATTAGCAGGGACCAAATTGAGCCGCCAACTCCGCCCCCCGTTCTACCTCCCAGTGACATAAAAAGACAAATCCTCCATCTCAGTCCCAAATACCACCCATGTCCATTCCCAAATCCCCTACACTCCCCCCTTCCCATTATTACCTCTCCCCCTTACAACCCCAAATCCTTATCCGCAAACCCTACCTTCCCACCCCCGATATCAAAAACAGCATACACTGCCTTCAGAAAGATATCCCCCAAAATCCCAAACTCCTCACTCATGAAAGGCTGCAAACCCCCCATACACCGCCCCGGCAAATCATCATACGTGGTATAATTCATATACCTCCCAGGAACCCTCGCCACCCACCCATTCGCAAACCCAATCTCGAAATCCGGCAGCGTGGTATTGCAAGGGTAGTGCCACAGCCCCCCAAAAGACCTGTCCGAAGTCGCGTTGGGCACCGCGTCGTAGTACATGTTCACAATATCCGGAGACAACAACATGAGCGTCGTGCCCGTGTCGGCAATCACCCGCCACTGGGAGATGTACCAATAGTTATGTCCGACAACATGCAGACCCGTAAAGTTAAACTCCCAAAAGGTCGAATTGGGCAGGAGGGGCGTGTAATTGATCTCCCCAATGTGTCGGTGGTGGTCGATGTAACCAAACGTGTAGGCTCCTTCGTCTGATTGGTACCGCAAGTCAGCTGTGAAGACCGGTTTGTCGAGGTGACTTTTGAGGGTTGAAAGAACGGTAGGCTGCTTGGGTCTGACCTGGCTGTGGAGGTCATACGCCAAACCAAAAATGCCGTCAATGTCCTTGTCCGAGGAGAGCGATTGGGAGACGTCCACAGCGGATTGAACCACCGCGTTGTGAAGAGGGATTCCCCCAATGTCGATGCTGTCGTGATAGACGTGGCCCCAGGCGTAACTACTGTCGCCGTAGGTGATCCTCCACTCGCTTCCGTTCACGAGCTCGGCGGTGGACGACTTTTCCAACTCAAAGATGTCTTCGCGGCGCGTCTTGGTCTTGGTCTCGGAGGAGTAGACCCAGACGTCGGCGCTGCCGGTGTCGAGGTCGACGTTGAGGTACTGGAAGGGTGTTCCGAATCCGACTCGGCTGAGGTATTCGCGATCACCCATGATGCTCTCCGCGTTGACATCGCCCGCTAATCGACACGGGTTAGTCAAGATACCTTCTTCATGAAGGGGGGAGTTTGTTTCAACTTACTTTCTCCTCCTCCTCTGAAACTGTTTGTCGCATCATCCAGCTCGTCATCCATAGGCACACCCCATTTCTTGAGAGCGCGAGAATACTGCAGACGGCCATTGGGAGCATACCCAGGATTTCGGGGCAGGTCGACAGTAACCGACCTTTTCGTCACTTTCTGGCCGGCCGAGGTAGGAATGGCATGAATGAAAGTCGAAAAAATGCTCATCAAGAGCATAAAGAATAAGGTGGCCATCGTATCGATGCCCAAAAGGGAGCGGGAATGGGGATCGAGTGAAAAATAAATGAAGAAAAAGAGAGAGTGACTGGTAAAAGAAAAAGAAAAAGTCGTGAGGGAGCGAACGAGTCTTGTTTTATTGAAAGGCAGGTGAATAAATAAAAAAAGAGTGGTGCGATGTGGTGCTGTCGGTCAGGAGCCGTGCCAGGTTGACGATGGCAGACAGGTGTCACAGGTTGAGTGAGGTTGCTCTTCCCCGGCGGCTACCGACAGGGCGTACCTACCTAAGGTAAGGAAATAAAGAATCTGGGATGCGTGGAAACGGTCGAAAGATGCAAGCAAGCGGAGCGTGGAAATAACTGAGATCCCTGGCCATGTGTCACAGGAGGAAGGCACCACTGAAGGTGAGGGGACCATCCACCGCTCAACAATGCTTATTTTGGAGCAACATAATGGGATCAAAAAAGAACCTCCACTGCCTCATGTGGGGTCGGTCAGCGTCGTCATGTTGTTTATTGTGTTCCTGTAACCATTCTCTCTTTCTCGCAAACGCTCCCCCTTACCAATCACACCCTCTCCCTCGCGCCTTTGGATCCCCCTCCGACCTCGAGCCGCCTTGGAAACACTCGAAAAATCTTCTCCTCCGAGGTCTCTCTGCCCATCCAAGGTCATCCCATCCCCCATCAACCCCTTTATTTCCCTCTGTCTCAGTCCCCCCTCGTCCTTCGAAACCAAAAATTTATAACCAATTCTCCCCGTGTCACCCTCAGGTCGTCCCGCCTCTGTGTCAAACCTCACCTCCATCCCCATCCAGGACCCTTCCACAAAAACCGGCCATCCACATTATTTCCACGACTCACCTTCACTACACGTTGCCAACACGCCCCCATCCCCCCCCCACCGACCGCTTACCCGCATGTACATTACATTACCTACCTCTCCCCATCTCACAGAAAAGACCTCAGCAGCAAGACGTGTCCATCCGCTGTCGTGCCCACCACTCGTTTCCACCGCAAGCCTCTCTGTACACTACAAACCTCGCCCGGGATACCTTAACTTCCTCAATCCAAACTCCTGGATACTTGCAGAACCCATCACACGAAGCACAAAAAGAAAAGAACGGAGAATCCCGACCACCTAAAACCCAGATGATTGGATACTCGCAGTCCATTGCCCATCTGGCACTGGAAACACAGAACACACACACACATAACAAAACTCACACATGACCTGCACTCAGCCCAAAAAGGAGAGACTCGGGTGTCACCCATGTGGATATAGCTGAACATCCTGAGAGTTGTGCACAACACCGGAAAAATGCATGATTTTTTCATAGTTATTCGTTGTGGTAGTTTACTTTCCAGTAAGTAGTGCAAAGACAACTTTCCATGATGCCGACATGCTTGCTGCTGCAATGTGAGATATGCGTCTATGTACAATATGTCCTCTCTCTTCCCCTATCCTGACCTCAACACTCTCTCCTCTTTTCCCCCGTCCCTCCCATCGTCTGCCCACCCTCCCGAACCAGATATATCACCATGTATACTTATCTGATCCATATTCCCTTGCACACCGTCTTCATCTCCCCTATAGTTTCGTTCCTCGTGTCATTATTCTGCAGTCAAATCGATACCCAGAGGTTGTGTAAAAACCCAAGTTCATCCAAATTATTGCGAAGAGAATGCCCCAAAAAAGAACAAGAGGAGAAGAGCTACCAAGGGAGAATAAACAAAAGTGCAGTCAAGAGAAGTCGGCGGGCAGATGGAGGTTTGGACGGCGGGGAAACGAGGAAACAAGGCGAGCTTGGCGTGCATACGCCTTCTCCACATGGGCGCGTGGAGTAAAACGTCAGGGCTGCAGCTGCTCGTGTGCTAAGGTCGAGGATGAAGCAAGTCAAAATGCCGGCGAGAAATTGGTGAAAATAGGGGTATTATTAGAAATGTGGCTGGGCAGCGTACGTGGCGTGGTATGGCGTCGCGGTCAGTAAGAGGGTATTATGCGTGGTGGAAAAATGTCATCATCGATGATATATGTGTGGCTGTATGGCGTGTATGATATGGTCGTCGCGTAAAAAAGTGATGATGGCCGTGATGCTCGCATGAGGTGGAAAACAAGAAACGCAAGGGGGAGAGACAATCTAGGAATCCTGTCGTCTTTCACGGTCACCGTCTGAAAGGTCGGGAACAATAACATAGTCAGCAAATGTTGTACTCGAGGACATGGACGACGCGGTCAAGGATTTGATCGAGTCGGCATCCCCTCCGACTGGCGCAGGGACATGAGGATGAGGCATGGAACCTCGCGCAGGTGCCGCAGAGGGGTACCCGTGCAGGTGCGTTTGCGATTGTGCGTGCGCATAGCCTGGTGCTGCCGCGGCTCCAGTCGATCGGGGATGGTGGTGATGAGGACGGAGGACGAGATGGCGATATTCACCTTCGCTTTCCACAGGTGTGGGCGGGAGAGCTCCCGGAACGGCCTGCTGGCCTTGCCGCGCTGTTCCTGGGCGGCTGCCTCCGCCATACTTGTGTTGGTCTTTCTCGGTCGCCGAGGCTGCTGTCCTCGAGCTGTCGCCAGCACCCGTCTGTGGCTTGCCTCCCTTCAACCGCTCTTCCATCTCACGAATGCGCCGCTCGAGGGCCTCGAGCTCCGAAGTCTGGCTGTCAATCTCCTTCTTCCTAAAGGTGGGTGCCGTCTGTCAGTGTCCAGAACTTCGGCATCGTGAGGGGTTGAGGTGCTTGCTGCATTGCGCGCGCAACGCCCAAGCTCCTGGTGGGGTTCAGGGAGAGCTGCCTGCGACTGACCGTTTATCGACCTGCTCGTCGAGGTCTGCAACACTGTTGTCGATGCGGAAAATGTTCATGAGCTCTTCCGAAAACACTTTGGCAATAGTCCTGCATAATTGGGCAACAGCTGTCAGTTTTGGACCCTTCGATCGGCGGGCATTAGGGAGAAACGCACGATTGCGGGCGGCGGCCATTGGGCTTCCAGTCGCGGTCGAGCTCTTCGTCAGTGGGAGACATTTTGGCGACAGTTGTGAGGGATAAAACGGTGTGACGGTTGGAGAAAAGCCGTTGGGAACGGGGAGACAAGATGGCCGAGGTCGAAGAACGATGAGGTGCTGGGTCGGGATCGAGTCGAGTCGAAGGTCGAGTCGAGCGAGGTTGCCAGTTTCAAGGCAAGTCCCGTTCATAATTAAAGGGTCCCAGCTGGCTGGCAAGCGGCAGGGGGGTTTAGTGGCCTTGTGCTGTGCACTGCGACCCAAGTGTGTCACCAGCCCAAAAGCCTAATTTGGGATGGTCGCGCCGATAGCCAGGGGTTTAGTGCCGCATGGACAATGCAATGAGTGTCTGGAGATCCAAAGCATGTCGGAATAAAGAAGAGGTGATATCGGAAACGTGATGGGTGTCGTCTCCCCGGCATTGACCTTTGTTGCTATCTAGATCCGTCCAGATGACGAGGTGTTGCTGTCCCTCCTGACTCAACACCTCACTGAGGAACCGACAGGCTGCCTTGATCTTGATGGAAACTGGCACGGCAATTCATATCCGGCGAGTGTCTCCGCGATGCGGTCATTCCGAGTGGTTTTTCTCTTCCTTAATAAAACAACGCTGCGCCAAGAGGCGTCTGTAATGTGTCTCTCGACGAGTGGGCGGCAAATGTTTGTGGGATCGCTGAGATTTGGATCATCTCCACGAAGCCCCACTGTGAGATTAGCATAACTTTGAGAGCGATTTGTGCTCATGGGCGCATGAATTTTTCATTTCTTAACATCTGATGCAGCATATATACTTTGTATTCACAGGATCATCCTTTTTGGCCACAAGAGAACATCACGGGTCGGCCGAGTTTGAGCTGCTGGGCGCTGCATTAGGCAATAATGGGAACGAGATACGATTTGTTTGATACCAAGGCGAGGGCACTAACAATTACTGCGAGGTCTCTAACAACTGGTTCGGCGCATGACCTGTCCACAGTCATCATTCCATTCCAAATGACCAGCTAGGTTGACCATTCAGAAATATGGGAACTCGGTGACTCAGTATGAACTTGTAGCTCCTTCTACACAGAATCTCACGAGGTTTATTTGCGTGGACTACACTATAAACCCTTCTATCACGTACATCTCAGCACCCTCATGCCAAGATTTCAGGGGTGGAAGTATTCCCCCTGAGAGCTTGAAAGCACAGACCAGCATTCGACTTGATGCGATCATGATCACAACCGCTTCAAAAATTGCTAGGAAACTCTTGTAGAGGGCAGGAGGCCCAGTGTTCCAGTCCGTAGTCGGAAACGTACTTCGCCTTGAAGTGTGTCTTTGTAGCCTTGATGTGCTTTACGTTGGTGGGGGTAAAGAACTTGGTCACTGGCAGTGGGCAATGTAGTCAATTTGACATTGTTTAATGGGCTCTACCGCCTGGCGTGTCTAAACTTGAACATCTTTCCTGACTGCATGGGCTCATGGCTGAAGTTGGTCTACCATTTCCTTGTTTGACAGCCCGAAAAAGGACAGTAGCTCCGGGCAAATTGATGGGGAAAGTCTAACTGTGGGTGGGAACCAGGAAGTGTTGCAATGACGTTCTGATCTTATCTTATCAGGAGAGCAAGGATCAAGGCTATCTCAAGTACATAATTCAATGTCGAGTGAATAGCGCTGACTTCAGGATAGATGAGCCAAAAATGCAGCTATGGTATAGAAGTACGGAACCTGTTTAAAAACATTCCACTGCACATCTGACGCTTAAAACTCTTCTTCAGCCACAAACTTGGGATGGGTGTATGTTCAAGGTTAGGGTTACATACCGGCTTTCGAGTTTTATCAGTGCACTTATTCACCCACGTGACAGCCTGAGCCCGGCCTTGGCTTCCCGTCTGGTGCGGCGAGTTCTGAATTGGATTCCCCTCAGCGCGCCTCAAGTCTTTTGATTGCACCACCAATACACGGCATCACAGCGCTCAACCGCATCAAGAATCAAGACAATCCACGACACCAACCGCCAACTCACGTGATTGTCCTGTCGCGACCGGAAAAATCATCTTCAGCGACACAACCACGACAACACCACCAGCCAAGACCCGCAGACAAGAACCTCGACGGCTGCACGCTTCCCCAATCAAGTTGGCCATTTAACCCACATAATCGCTATCTTCGATACCCAGAGCCTTGAGCTCAGGCTGCCGGTGAGTCTAGATAGTCTTGGCGCACCCACGCGTATGGTGACGCGCGATGGAAGCTTCTACAGAGCAGATCAGAGCATTGCATCGCTGACCTTGTCCGTAACCACAGATCGTGGCGCCTGTACATCTTCTCCCCCAGAGGCGTGACAACTCCTTGGGCCCCCCACCGGGTGGAGTCTGGGGCATGAATACTCCGGCGAACCCGACGACATTCCCAGTATCGTCCTTCACATCGCTCGAGCTCGTGTTCCTCTTCCGAGGTGTCAACAAGTTTGGCATCGACCCCGCTGCCTTTCCACAGATCTCCAATGTTCTGCGGGACAACAGCGGCCTCAAGAGGCAGCCGACCTTCGATGCCCAAAGGTTGAGCCCCGAGGCTCTGCAGAAGGTCTTTCTGTATCTTGTTGGTCAAGAGATCCGGGCCGATCATGTCGGCAGCATGCCTGGGCCAGATGGCCCTCTCTCTCCTGCCTCCAAGAAGAGAAGGCTTGATACTCTTCCGCTACCGAGCTGGAAGGATGTTCACCAGCACATCGATAAGGTGCAGCAAGCCTACGACAAGGTGTTCGACTCCTACATCGAGAGCGCTGTTCAAGAGATCGATCATCTGGAGGAAGCATACAGAAAGACAGAGGCAGAGCTAGAGCAGCTCCAACTGGCCGAATCACAAGCTAGCGAGGAGGCCAAACAGCAAAAGGAAGAGGCCATCGAGGATAAAGGGGTACAAGTGAATGGAGTTGGTGATATCAAACCGAAGCCAGGCCCGGCGGTCGTCAATGGCATCCATCCGTCTCCAAAGGCCTCGCCCAAACCATCACCACAGCTACCGCAGTCTCAGTTACCGCAGTCTCAGCTACCACACCACGCGCAATCCCAGCCCCGGCAACACCTTCAACAACATCCCCAGCAACAGCATCAACAACAGAATTTGCAGCAGTCTATGCAACAGCCTTTACAGCGGCCACAGCAGCTGACGCCACAGCCCCATGTGCCTCAAGTGTCTCAGCTATCGCAACCGCCGCAACCCCCTCAACCACCACAGTTACCCCAGCTGCAACAGCTGCAGCTACCACTGCAATCACCACAGACACTGCATCAAGCACAGCCGCCACAGCATGGACATGTACCACAGCAAACACATGTGCAGCAAGGGCAGCTGCCACAGCAAGCACAGCAAGGTCTCCAACAAGGGCAACGGCTACCGGGACAGGGACAACCCCCACAGCAGCTGCATCAAGGACAGCCAGCTCAACATATGGCTCAAGGACAACCGCCACAGCAAGTCCAGCCATTGCAGCAACCAAACCCATTGCCACACGTCCAGCAGTCACAGCAATCGCAGCAACCACAACCACCGTTGCGGCCACTGCAGCCTCTGCTCCCACATCTTGCACCCCGTCAGGATGTCAGAAACGGACTTGGCTCTCCACATTCCCAGCATGCTTCTCTCGATAAAGCAGGTCCGGCCCCTCGTCCTCCCACCTTGAATCACCAGCCCACCACTCGTTCACCACAGCTTGGCCATCCCGACGTCTCAAGGGGTCCTTCTGCCCGACCTTCAGAGCCGTCAAAGTCGCTCGGTGGATCGCCGCAAGTTCTCCAAGCACCACAAGGGGTGGCCTCTTTCCAACCATTGTCCCAGTCGCCTGCTCCAACTCCTGCCGCAGACGGCCTGCAGAGGCCAGATGGCGTTGCGAGAGCACATCAGTCTCCGGGCCCTCTGCCAGCGAGCCCGCATATGCCGCCGTCGCAGTCACAGTTGAAATGGGAGCCCCCATATCAACCCTCTTCTGGCGCTCGGCCCCCGATGAACTCGCCATTACAACACGGTCCTAATGTGTTTTCTCCCCCTCCGCATATGGTGGCTTCCCAACGGCCACCACCGATCTCGTCTCCTTTGCAAGGGCAAGCAAACAGGCCGTTGCCACAGCAGGTTTTGCACCCCCCTCATACTCATACGACGGGTCAATTTGTGCCTCTTCAACCAACACCTGTTCGGCCCGCTATAGACGCAGCAAACAGGCAGCCACCGCCGGTTTCGAGCCCAGGGCCGAATAACACGGTGCAGTCCCCTTTCCATCCTGGGCCATACCACAACTATCCCGTTCCGTCGTCCCCTCACCCAACTCAACCTCAGCAGCATGCTCCTAAAGCCCCTCAACATGGCGCTGTCACACATCCTCCTTCAGTACGGAGCCCGGCCGTTGCTTCGCCCGCCTCTGCATCAGGGATTCATCTGCCACGACCTAATCAAGGACTGGCGGCTCCTTCTCAACAACGACCACAATCGCTGCCTCACTTGCAAGCGCCTTCGCCATATCCCCAAGCTACTCATCCTCCTGCTGTATCCTCACCAGCTGGCCCCCAAAATGGAGGATACAGTTCCCCATATCACCCTCCCCGGCCTGCTCCAGTGGAACGTATCCATCCACGTGCGCCTGCGACAACGACGCCTGTTCCACCCGCTAGATTCGGGCCTGCGCCGTCTGCCCCCCAGACGCCGGCTGTTATGCAACAGCAGCCCTTCGTCATTTCGGCTAGGATGACAAGGTGGAAGACGGAATCCACTCCTTCGACGCCGAAGGGTGGACTTGAATTTCAGTTTGGGTGGGATGAGAAGCCTAGTCCACAGACTGAACCAATCAGTCCCGTTCTGGAACCGGCGCCCTTGCCATCAGCCGCCCCCCACGAGTCACCACAGAAAGCACCAGAGCAATCGCAAGCTAAACAGACCCCGAGTTCCTCAGGTAAGCCCGGTAGATCAAGGGTGCCTCAGTCAACCAGGGATGCAACCTCTCCCTCTCCAGTGGCGTCCGGGTTAAGGAATACATCTGTCAAGGCTACCAAAGAGGTGGTGCTACCCATAAATGAGCCGGATGCACCCAAGATTAAGGATGAGGCCATGACACCGCGCCCAACCACCGAGACTGGCGACACCGCAGCAGATGAGAGTATCTCCAACAGACCGAATCCGGCACGCTCAACTAAGCGGAAACGAGACGAGTCTACGCCAGCCTCGGTGCAATCCCCAAGGGGGCGACAGCTGACAGATGCATCCCGTGATGATTCGATGCCGCCTAATATGCCCAATGTCGTCCTCTGGACCCGCTCCTTCCACAAGGTCAGCGGCTCTGCCATGGAGTCGATTGTCGGCCACCGCTCAGCCAACATGTTTGCTGCCCCCATCCGAGAGAAGGATGCACCGGGCTATCATAAGGTGATCAAACAGCCCCAGGACCTGAAAACCATCCGCAGTGCCATCGCCCACGGGAACAAGGCCGCCGCGCAAGCAGCCGCTGCTTTGCCGGGGGGTGACCCAGGCGGTAGCTGCTGGCTCCCTCGGACAGAAGAGCTTGTCCCACCAAAGAGCATCATCAACTCTGGCCAGCTCGACCGCGAGCTCTCTCACATTTTTGCCAACTGCATCATGTACAATCCCGACCCGTGGCACGGACCAGGCCCGGCTTTCCTACCCCAGGAGGATGATTCTGAGGGATTGGAAGCTGGTGCGCACCAGGATAATGTCGTGGGGTACAAGGTGGACGAGTTTGGGATTGTCAACGATGCCCGCGCCATGTTTATCGAGGTCGAGCAGCATGTTAGTGAGTTGCGCTCGGCGGAGAAGCGTAGTGCGCCCCCCGGTGGTGGGCATGCTGCGGGGGCGGAGGGTGTGTTTACTGGGACGAGCACAAGGCAGGCTAGCGTTGCGATGCAACATGGCGATGGCGGTTCCAAGGATGACGTGTCTGGTGCAGAGGAACAGGATGAGCAGACGGCGACCGAGACGGAGAATAATGACGGGAGATCCAAGAGAAGGCGAATGGGGAGAGCCTAGAAGGGGAGATCTCTTGGTAGCAATGCGCTCACAGGATATGAGAAAAGACAAGGGGCACTGGGAAAAGCAAGACCCAGGCAGAAAACGTATGGTGGACGTTGGGCCCGAGACTTTTGCTCATAATGAAGCTTTGTTTGGATTCATGTATCAATAAATGGGCGGGGACCAATTTTGATGTCCACCACCGTATTATAATATAAGAGCATCGCCCTGGGATTTTATACACAACAGAGCACACTCTACCTCTTGTGGTCACTATCTGTGTTCACCGGCACGGTTGATGAGGGGCACGCGAGGGGCGATATCTTTGTGAAAGCACTCAAACACACTCTTGTCAACGTTGAGACAGCTAGCGCTGCTGAGGGAGGACACAGCTTCGATTGACGATGGCTACCAAGTAACTGTACTTTTCTGAACCCTATTCGTTAAAGCGCTGTTTCGAAGCGCTGTTTCGAAGCGCTGAACCCCTCTTCAGTCCCTATCCAAAAGCCAAAAGCAATAAAAAGCACCAAAACGCCCTGCCTCCCCTTCATTTCCTATTTCCCACCATCCCAGTCTCTTCCACTCACCAACTGCAAGAAGCCACCTCATCAAACGCCAACCTCAACTTTAGGCGTATTCGTACTTGACCTCAATGTCGTCGTAGCGCTTGCCCTGAAGATAGAAGACATACGCCATATCGGCGGAGCGAGCTGTAGGGTACTGCTGTTAGCAAAAACCGCAATTACCACGGCAAAAAAAAAAAAAAGCAAAAAAAAAAAAAGCAAAAAAAAAAAAGCAAAAAAAAAAAAAGCAAAAAGAAAAAAGCAAAAAAAAAAAAAAGCAAAAAAAAAAAAAAAAAAGCAAAAAAAAAAAAAAAAGCAAAAAAAAAAAAAAGCAAAAAAAAAAAAAAAAGACCAGGACAATACTCACGAGTAACCTTGATGTCACCCTCTATGATATAGTACATCTTCCCGTCCCCCCTTCTTCTGCACCCTCTCCGCCTCGGGCACCTTTGACACATCAGCAGTGAGCGTGCACAGCGTACCCAGCGTCTCATCCTTCTCCAACATGGCCTCCCGCCCCTTTTTTCTATCCACCATGATCGCAGCTTACAACTCTGTAAACCACCCGTTTTCCACCCGCTGCCGATAATAGAACGGAAACGAGAACGGCTTGCTCTCCTCCATGTCGTCGCCCCGCTGGAAAAACCGAACCATGGCGTCGACACTCTGAATGCCGGTATACCCGTCATGAAATGTCTTGGTCGCCAGACTGGTATGCTTCTTGGTGTCAAACGGCTGGATCCTACTCTCGCCCATGTGGTGGCGCGTCCTTCCGACTGACGACATGGACTTTGGTCAGGGAACCGTCGCCGACGAGCGAGAGGCCCTTCATGATGGCGCCGCGGGTGACAGCCAGGTCGGGCTCCGTGGGTGTGATGAGGGGGACTTCGGTCCGCATCTGGCTGTCCTTCCTCCATATGTACGCCTGCTTGATCTCGCCGCGGAGGTAAGGAGAACCGGCGAAGCCTCCTACTAGGATGAAGGCCTTGATGGGCTTCGTCGGGCACGCGTCCTGTTGCTCATTCACCTTTTTGACAATGATGCCGACGGTGGGCCTGAAGATGTCTTCGAGGTGGTCCGAGCTGACCTTTATCTTGTCATTGTAGACGCCGGCTTGTTCGTTGTTGAGGATGAGGTTGAGGGGGAACTCGTGGGTCCCTGAGGACTTGGTGAAACAGCGCTTGGTCTGTAGTAGAACTTGAGGATTAGTCTAAGGCGAGTGGGAAAGGGGAAAAAAAAAGTAACACTTGCCTCAAACTCAAACTTGGCCATTGCGGGGGATATATGTCTCTCACGCATGTTACGCGAAAGTAGTGCGTACCCTGGAATACACCAGAATCTATTATGGAGGTACTCTCTGAATCTCATGTTGAGCTGGGCGGAGCCGGCAAGATCGCCATCGCGGAGACCAACCTCCTTGACCTTCAGGGGGTTGAGGTTGGTGATGGTGTAAATGACCAGGTCCACAGTGCCGCCTCCCGCATCAATAATCACGAATCTGCCAGTCTTTATCAGCACACGTGTTCATGTTGGCCTATTGCACACTGAGCAATAAACGTACGTATCGCCAACCTCGAGCTTGGTGTCTGTATCAGCAGTGCGCTCAGCCTTCTCATTGATGGCATAGATAGCAGCAGCCTCAGGCTCCGAGAGGAGATGGATGGTCCCGCTCGGCATACCCGCCGTCCTCAAGGCCGTATGGAAAGCTGTCCTGGTCTTCTCCTTGGAGTCATTGTTCCAATTGGCTGGGACAGTGGCCACGTACTCGAAGTCAGTGGGCAAAGACTTGAAGTTCATCTTTGTCTTGGCATACCCCAGGAGCGATGTCAGAAACTTGGTGACCAACGACTCTGGACTTGGACCGGCATTGATGAATTCAAGCTGTCGAGGTGTAAGCCTCCTTGCCCAAGGATAAAGACCGCTGCGTTGTGACTTGGGTTAGGTCGCTATCCTCAAGGTCGTCGAAGGGGACTCACAGCTTGAACCACTCCATCACCTGGTCTGCGGGGGTATCATCAGAGACATCGAAGCCCCATTTGCCCGTCTTGGACAATTTGGTCGGGACTCTCTGGTAATGCCTGATGCCATCGACTTTCCCTTCAAGGTGCTTCTCACCGGGCTTGTTTGAAAGGTCGGCTGTAGGCCACTCTCGGAGGATCGTAACTTCATCCGGTTTGGCACTACTGGCCCAGGCAATGCTGGTAAACGTTGTGCCCATGTCGACGGCGACAATGGTCGTCGGATTGATAGTAGGGGGGGCCATCCTTCGAACTTGCAATGCTTTTCAGGCAACAAATGTGATGAAACTACCAGTTTGAAGATGAAGAGGGAAGTGACAAAAGCTCGAAATTTGGAAAAAGATTTGAAGATTGAGAAGAGTGCTAGGCACTGGGACAACAAGCCTTGTCTTGGGTTTCGCCCATCGGAAATCTTGTTCAGCCATCAGGGCTGAGTGGGTGCAAATAAGCTTTTTCTTTGCAACCTTGTCACCCATGTCTCGATACGAGTGTTGCCTTCCGTACGCCTCAGTGCCACCTCAGAAGCCAGGTTCTATTCGGAAGATAGGGAAGGCGTGGTGCCAGGCCCAGAAATCTTGTTGCACACCGGTGTGTGTCTTGGGGTCGAGGGTTGTGAAGATCAAGCCAACCCTGAGACTTGGTTCCCGTCCTGTTGAAAGGATCAAGGGGATTTGGGGAAATCCGTCTTTGGCGTGAGTATTTGACACAGATTGTGGGAATGTGATAACCTGGAATGCTGTGTTCTTCAACCACGGTAAATTTGACCAAAGGCCAACATTGTCTGATGCATTTGATCCCATACGGTGCGGCGTATCCCAGCCAGCAGAGTTGGCCAGGCACTGGCAAGCAAGCAAACAGGAGACAAGAAGAGACAGCCAGAATTGCACAAGCGTCCCAGCTAAGTTATACCTACCCTGATCGAGAGACCATAACTGCAAACTCATGTCATCCTGTGAGGACCGTCACGAGTGAAAGTGTCATTTTTTGCACATCAGAGGTGGATGGTGGAACATACCCTTCGAATGCCAGGCGCCGTCTACCATACTTGACTGAGTCGACTACAGCACCATACCTGTGGCACGGCCATCTGGAGAAAGCGATCGGCCTACAGCGTGTTTGTTGATTAATCTGGATATGGGTAGATTCGTGAATGCCAAAACCTGGGGTATTGGGCCCACTGCTATCCGTTTGGTCCCGAACCGCCAACAATATTGAGCTGGGTTTCGTTCCCATGGACGACAAGGTGTTCCTACGGGTGACTCAGTACTCCTATAGACGACCGATTTCCCACATACGACGGAGCAGGCTGCTTCCTACCGGCTCCATGTGCCACCCTCAAGGTAAATATGGCTGAGTGACATCCCGCGGGTCGAGGTTTACACGACCTGCTCACCGACACCACATGGCGCGATGGGGGCTGAGGTGGGGAGCTTGCACAAGTGTCTGGAGAGCTGTCTTGAAGCGCATGGATGAACGGGAGCAGCAGATGATGACGGTGGTATACCCCAAACTGGTTTAACAATAACGTTTCACAACGGGGCCGTTGATCAGTCACTCTCGTGTTGCATTCTGTTGAGCCGCTAACACATATGGCTACACTGTGAGGGTTGAGCCCGGACGCTTATCGCGTGATGGTGGCATGCTGAATTGACTTTCTGTTTCTGTTTTTCCCTTTCTTTCTATACCGACATGTCTTGCATCTCATAGGCCTCATACCTACAACCGGCATTGGGCTTCTGGGGCGACCAGCAAGTTGATCATCAATTCTCCCCAAGGTTGGGGCCTCGGTGGAAGAGCTAGGTAGGCATTTTGTCATCTTGCCAATCACCTACCTACCTAGCTACCTGACTGGGGCCACCGCACACCTCTACCAATTCGCTTTCCTGAAGAACGTTTCCGTTTCCGGTGACGGGTTCCTCCGAAGGACGACCTTCCAAGATGGAAAATTGCACTGATCCATAAGTTCTAACTCGATGTTTCTGAGGGTTCTCCATGCGCTTCAGTCTACTGGGTCAGGTATCTTATCAATTGGAGAATGCCTGTTCGAGCATTAACTAATTGTACGAACCAGGCGGCATGAGATCGAGGGCCCGCACCGAAGAGCGTTGATTGCAGTCACTGGCCAGCGGACTTTGCCTCTGTTGCAAGATACGGAAACCTGCATCCCAGTTTTGCCCAGTTACTATAACTGTAGTCTGCGAACACGACCCTCTAGTATGCTACGCGTGCTTGCTCATGGAATCACAGTTTAGTTGCCCATTTGGTCTGGAAGCTAAGAGATGCCCATATCCGGGCTGCGGCAAACCTGTCACTGGCGATGATCTGTGAGTGTTGGTTGCGCGGGTGTCTGCAGTCGAAGACTGATAACGGGATGCCTGAAGTCCAGACTATGTAAGGTACTGACCTTCCTTTTTTGAACAGGGTCATTGTGCAGTTTGTACGTCATCGTTACGAATCGCTGCAGGTCCTATCGCGCTGCAAATACACTCCAGGATGCTGCTGTGAGCCCGACAAAGTAATTTTTCCAATGTCGGTTTTGTTACAGAGGCCCGAGGAGGAATTGCTTGCGCGCGCACGCAGCCTGGATGAGCTGCAATATCCAAGTCCCGGTTGGTCACCAGCCCAGCAGAAAGCTAGAAGCTGTGCACCACCACGCGAGCCTTGTGTTAGCTGGACCGAGGGCACCATGTTTGACGCCCAAACCTTCAAATGGGAGGGGCGTAGGCCAGGCCGAGCGAGATTCCCCGAGCGCCAGCCTGAGGCAGACATGTTCGAGTTTGCTGCGGAGGTTTCTGACCCTAAAGCTTTCTGGACAAGTATGGCAGAGGAGCTGTCCAGGCTTGACTTGGAGGTATTACGGCTGACTTGATTTGAATGATTAAAGCTATGACTCCCTCAGCTCATTGCACGATGTTTGTTGGGGGTTGACTTTACTGGGAAGTTTTGAACACAAAAAGAACAAATCATGAAAAAAAAGGATTAAAACAACAAAAGAAGCTAACCAAAAGAAAACCAAAAAAAATGCGGTGAAAAATGTGCAAAAAGTCAAACTCTCAAAAATTAAGTAAAAGAAAAAACAGCGAGCTGTGGGCAAGAAACTGGAACAACCTATGGAGCGGAGTAGTTCCAAAACATCAACATAGCGAGCGGGGAGGAAAACGCCTGGTACCTGGTGTCTTGGGTTGGTCTTGACGAGCTGAAAATACCCTGGGATCAGTCCCTCGTCCTCCCCATAACCTTTTTGTTCTTTGCAAAGTGATGTGACATGCCAGCATACTCAATTCAGGGGTACTGTTTATTCAAGGTGCGTTGTCGACATGCGGGGTAGGCCCGGCAACTGGCTTCACAGTGCGCCCGCTTTGAAATGGTGGGGTTTGGCACGGTAAGCACAGAGGACAGACACGGATTAATCGCGGCCCCCACTGAAATTTTCCGCGCTAGACCTAACGACCTACAAAATTCTTTCTTTGGCCTCGCGCATTTCTTCCTCGCTTTCCCACTGATCTTCCCACAGCGCTTCCCTCCCCACTGCCCCGGCGGCGAGCTGGGAGATGCGACTTTTTCTGGTGCGACACGGGGAGACGGTCGACAATGTTGCTGGTCTTTAGTATGTTGTACCTCTTTTCTTCCTGTCCTTGTCTCGAGCACCGGACCACATGCTAACCTATTCACAGCGCAGGAGTTCGCGATTCACCGCTTACTGCCCATGGCGTTTTGCAGGCACGACGTCTGGGGGAGCACATTGCGAAGCATCATCGAGTCACCCATGTCTTCTCGTCGGATCTGCAGAGGGCCGTCTTCACGGCCGTGAAGGTCGCTGATGCTCAGCTCTCTCAGAGACAAAGATGCGACACCGACAACGGCGATGTGCCCGAGACCATCGAGAAGCTGGAGCCTGTTCCACTCGTCGACTTGCGCGAGCGCGACTTTCGGTCCGCAGAGGGCAAGAAGTTCGGTACGGCTCATGACGACGCTGAAACGCACGAGGAGATGAGGCTGAGAGCTGCTCGCTTTGTCCAAGGCCATCTGGTCCCGTTGTTGGCAAGCCGAGGGTCTGAAACAGTCGTGGTCATTGTTGCCCATGGCTTGATCCTCAACTCGCTCTTCCGGGTTCTGCAGGCAAGGTTTGGTACCGGGCCTCGCGGGTCGGAAACGTCGGCAGCGTGGAGCAATACTGGCTATCTTGAGGCTGTGGTCAAGGCTGTCGCTGCTGACACAGAGGGCTCGAATGCTGAGGATTCCGGTGAAAGGAAGACAAAGCAGCCACAGCTTACCATGACTGTGGTGGGGGTGAACGTGCTACGCCATCTTGAGGGCTTAAAAAAGACCAAGGGTGGAATTGGCAGTGCACAGTTCGACAAGAGGCAGAGGACCATGGATTCATTCTTTGGCCCTGCCTCCAAAAAACAGAGGGTGGATCGAGAGTCGGGGATATCCTGACACGGCCACCCTTGTCGACTTACAAAAAGGTATGTCTGCTTCTCTCCTTCAGCACAACACACCCCATTTTTATGATGAGAGAAACAAGTTCACAGACCTGTACCGAAAGTATACATGTGGAAAAACTTTGTCCAACCGCTATCTGAGAAATGACCCATCCTCTTCGTTTATTTCAATTTATTTGAGACATGCAGTTGCTAACTGTTCAAAAAGATAGGTCATGTTGCCCTCAAATACTGCCTTCGATTGAGATGGTCGACAATAAATTGACATCGTAACAGCTACCTACCTGTTCCCATTTGCACCGTGACTCTTCCCCTCTCTTTACACCTTTTCCCAACCCTGACGTTCACCCCAAATTGGCCTATCTCCCCATGGTCCTTTCGGGTTCATTTTTTGTTCAGGAAGATCAACGTCTTACGTCCGATTACTCACCACGGATTTCGTTGGCACTTGTGCTATGGAATTCGAGGTCCATATTTTGGTCGACATTTGTTTCATAGAACATATAATAATTATAATCTATTCTTCACTGGACTCTCCGTCGCCATCACTGTTTTCTGGAACCACGCCCGCCGCCTCGTCAGAGGGCAACAGTCGTGGGAACCAGCCATACTCTGCAAAGTCTACCATCAGTTCACCAAGTGCCCCTGTTGCGACGACCACGCCTTCAGCCTGCAAACTTGCGGCTTGGTTGCGAGCCCCATCTGGCTGTGATCTTTGACTCGTCAGTTCCACACTCTATATGCTTTGGGTTTAGTGACCTGCCCACCTCGGAGATATGATCCCTTTCCCGTTGATTACCCTCTGCCAGGGGACATTGTCGTGATGGTACCGGAGGGAGGTGTCGGCGGGGAGGTGCTTGAGGGCTGTGCCTACTTGTCTGGGTCGCTGGGCTGCAGTATGTTAGATGAAACGCAACAGAAGAACATATCCCAATGGCTGTACGTACGGGTGCCTATCAGTTTCGCGATGTGTCCGTAGGTGGTGACTTTGCCTTCGGGGATTTCTTGGACGGCGGCGTAGACCGCGTAGAAGAATGCTTGGGCTTCGGGGGTGCGGGGCATTTTTGTTGAGGCTCAAAGACAAAGAATGTTTTCTAAGACTTGGTTGGGAGGCTTGCAATGAGACGATCTTGGTGGTCGTTGCTGTGGATGAAGAGGATGATGGTGATGATGGTGATGATTGATGTTGAGAGATGGTGAACAGTCGCAGTGGTTTCGCAGCAAGAAATGGCAGGGTGGAGCCCGACTTAGACCCTAGATTGGCAGCTGAAGGTCACCAATTACCAGGGTACATGGTCTAGTGGTATGATTTTCGCTTCGCATCTTGGTCCAAGTGCGAAACTTGTGAAAGGTCCTGGGTTCAATTCCCAGTGTATCCAGATGTTTTTGCCTCCTCATTCATCCAGTCCATTGATTAATTAGCCTTGGTGAATAAAAGTTTCTTTTTTTCTTTTTGTCCTCATCTCTCTCTATCTAAAGTGTTTTGGTGGCGTACTTGATGGGTTAAACATCGTGTATGTTGGTTTTGTTGTGTGTCGGCGTTGAAGTTCTCAACTTCTCTAGACATCCAGATATATCTCCGTCCCCGAACGCCGAATCTGATGTCGGATGCCTCAAGGGCAGGAGGAGTTACATGGAACTTTTCACCTCCTGAAGGTGATCGGGAATATCACCGGTCAATGTCAAGCTTCCTGTCACCGATGTGGTACAGTGGAATAAGCGCCTGAGCCATCATGAACAGAGGCGTCTATCTGCATGTGTAAGTGTTGTGTAACTTGTGTTTGTCAATGTTGGCTCTTTCTGGACCCTCGGACTTTTCGCGGTAAACCACGGCCTTCGGTGCCGTTGCTTCGTGGACAAACCTGGAACTCAAAAATGGAAAAGGCTCTTTCACATGTCACCGTTGAGAGATGGCGCATGCCAAGCCATGGGACGCGCACCAACACGGTGAGGACGCAAGGTGAGATAGATGGCAGGTACCTTGGGCACGTACAGAAAGAAGGCTGGTGGCGAGTTCGGACTTTTTTCCATCCATGCTTACTGAGCGCTTGCAGGAAGAATTCCTTCAACGGTGCCTCAGCCCTATGTAAGATTGTTGGGTCCTCGAGCGTCGCTGTGCCGTTGTGGGCGGCAGTTGGGCTGAGTGGTTGTATTACCTCGACAGTTTGACAGCGGAACTTTCCCCGGTGAATGGTGATGGTGGGGGGCTGGAGTCTGCCCCGGATTTTCGGGTTTGAGATGGATATATCGGAATAAAGCTGAGTCAACTTGGCACGTGGGTTCTGCTTCTGTAGTCTTTTATATTCACAAGATGTAAGATGATTCGGTTATGAGGAGGTGTTTTGGCTGTCTTTGAGGAGTTATGTGATTGTCCCGGGACGCGTTGGCACTTTGCCAATGCTCCCAGATGTAGTATATTTTCGTCTACCTATTTTTCGGTGTTGCTTGGGTATGGTTCAAACAGTTCACGGGTTGTAGATAGCGCTTTTGTATTGCCCAAAGTCAAAATCTATCGATCTAGATGTTTCTTCCCTATTATGTGCATCGGTTCGTCCTTTACGGTAAAAGTACAACGGCGAAGGTCGGGTGTGATCCGCCTCTTGAGATCCAAACTAATGAGCGCCCTAAGAAGCATCAGTTTCCTTGTGCTTGGTCCTGAAGTGGCGCATGATGTTGTCCTTCCTTCCTCGACGCGGACATCCTGGATGAGGGCACTTGATCTCTTCACGCCGCTCGACATTGTTTGCTTGTGCCCACTCCCTGTGTTCAGACCAAATGTGTCGGTTGAGCGCTCGGCTCTCCCGAAGGTTGAGATTGCAGCCTGGGAAAAGGCATTGGAAGATGGGGTTGGGCTTTTTCGTGCTAGTTGGATGGAGGCCTTTTCGTTAGCAATGACACTTGATATCTTCAGAAGACATGTACTCACACTGAGCTTGACTCCTTCTTTTCCCTGTGAAATGGGCCAGGTGACCACTGATCGAGTCCGCCAGTGACTTGATGGCCTGGCTGATCCTGATCTGGGGGAGCAATGTAGAAGAGCGGCGGAAACAGTTCTGTACCATATGCAAACGAATCCAATGTGAAGGGAAGCGGTAACGGCTGCGGTGGTGAGAATGACGACTCTCTTGAGTCTGTATTGTCGAGAACCAATGGCGGATCTGGGGACTGATGACTGGAGACATCATGTAAATTGTCATTGAGTTCAGTCGTCGTAACTGGAAAGTTGTTTTCTTCGAGCGTCAGGGCTGATAGGTCAAGCTGGAAACTATATGAGCGCAGTAGCTGGACACAGGCAATGCTGCAGGTGGTGTAATAGAGGCTAGAAGTCGACTGCCCCTGACAAAACTCCGCGGTAGTTGCTGCTGTGATATCCCTTGGCGAAGGCGTGAAAGATTGACCACATACAATGCACCACGCCCACCGAAAGGCCCCCGTTTGGCTGTCATCTTCTTGGGACATGATGTGAGTACGATTCACACACTCAAAAACTCAAGCAGTATGGAAGAGATGGTTCACGAACGACTTGTGAAGAAGTTATCCTTTAGTGAAGCTGCCGAGTACTATGTAAGCTATATATGTTTCTGATCTACCTACCTATCTGCTCTTTCTGCTTTGGTAGTCCGGTGAGGCGAGTTGCAACCCTGAATACTTCGTCTTCACCTAAGTAGATGATTTCGTACGGATGACTCGAAGTATACTCGGTCATTTCCATAACCCTTCTAGAAAGATTCCTCATTAAGCTCAGCTGGATTAGGTCAGCAACCGGTGAGTATGGTCTTTACCGCCAGATCTGACTCAGTATCTCCGCTCTTTTGAGTGTGTGCGACCAAAATCGCCTCCCAAAGAGGCGGGGGCAATAGTAGGGCTGTAATCTCGTCAACTGTCACTACCTAGGTACCTAGATAAGAAGCTGAATTGCCACACGCCTGAGTTTAGTAAACCTGCATTGATTGAGAATCGGTGCCCAATCAGCCGGCGTTTCCGTGTTTGCCAAGTGGTTGGGACTTGTCCCTCTCCTCTGTTCGTGCACACACCATCATGAACATTTAAGCATAACACATGCGGGCCGTGGCGCAGTTTGAGCTCTAGAACACTTCCATGACGGAGGAAGGTGTACGCAAGGTAGGTATCCTAACCACGACGCTGCTCCGGCTCCGTTCCGTCTCTTTCTCTGGCAACGTGACATTGAATTCTCACTTGCATGCTAGGTACCTACCATAGGCACTGCATGTATGTCTGCCCTTGTTGTGTGATCATTTTCCACCTGCTGATTGGTGGTGTGCTTCAAATACCCGCTTCCCCAGAGGCCTTACGGTGCATGAAACACAGTTGCTTGTGTGACGTCACATTGAAGGCATTGAGACCTAGCTAACCTTTCGATTCTTGTTTAGATTTTGGCAACAGTTCAACACCTTCCCGTGGGACTGTTTATCGTCTTCGAAAGCATGTGTAAGATCTCCGGAGATCCTACCAACGACCCACTCTGCTTCAACCTTCCCTCAAGATGCCCGAAATTGCACTCTCATACAGGTATTGGAACGTGGGTGGGGAGGGGACATCGGGATGGATGTCGTGTAACCAAGAACCTCAGCTATTGATGCGCCAGGATCATGGTGCGCAGATGTGACAGGCAATTAGAGGCGCAGAGAGGACTGCCGCAAGTCTCTCTGTGCCATATGTGAGCTTCCAGGTTTCCAGATGAGAAATGTCGCATTATTAATCATGACTAGTAAGCCATAACTCATCTTTGTACTGAACATCGTCTCAAACTTCAGATCATGATGTTGGGTCGTTGCTGGGTTAACACAGCCCCTGAACCCCTGAGTATGCGACCACTGGACCTTGAGTCTTGGTTCTGTCTCCACTTGACTTTGGACTCCAACAGTCTCTTCACGGTCTACTCTTCCCCGAATTGCGCGCTCCCACTTCGACTGCTTTGTCATAGCCGCCGTATTTACATTTACTAACCTTCTGGAAAAATGTTCAACGGACAAAATAGAGCTGCCTGACGTTGTGCCGCCTGTGCCTCATTCCTAGCGGTTATACCCGCCGCTAGAATTCGGCGAGGCCAAAAAGATCAGTGCATTTGGAGCTGCGGCTTTAACGCTGGCTTGTGGCGGATTCATGGTTCGATCTGCGGCGTATCCACGTTGTACGGGTGTCCTGAAGCTTTATTCCACCCGTGCGGGATCGGTAGAGAGGTGTGTGCCGATTCGCTTCCGATGCTGGCCGAATTTATGTGCAACAAATGCGGAGTGAGTTGAAAGTACGAACCTGACAAACATATCTTTCATGAATTTAGTGGTGCTAGTCTTCTCAATTTACGAATTCGGCTTCTGTCCATATTACTTCCCCAAGGTTCCAGCGCCCAGGTTGATCGAAGCCAGCCTTGGTTAAGCTATTGGCTGTGCTGTGTCTTGTAATGGCGGGGCACATTGTCCTTCCTTCCTCTATACCGACAGCCAGGGAATGGACAAGCCCCCTGTTCAGACGGAATATCATTTTCTTTTGCGTATTCGCTGTGTTCAGCCCAGATGTGGCGATTTCGAGCACGGGTTTCACCGCAGTTGATGGCGCAAACTGGACACTGGAATTTGGGGTTCAAAGAACGACTTTGCTTTCTGAGTACCACGTAGGTGATTAGAAAATAAATAGACATCATGTTCATCACATGTCATCCACTTACGTGGTGGTCTGAGTGCCAGCTGAGGTGTCAGGTCCAGTTTGCGGACACATGGAATACTGATATGCTTCGTCAGAGACAGGCTGAGAAGTAAAATTATCCTCCGAAACAAGCCCTTGCCCATTATATTGAGAAATATCATCTTGAAGATAGAAGGAATTGAGAAAAGGTAACTGAGAAATTGAATCACAATAATACCCTGAAGTTGTGGGAGTCTGCAGAGGAATGTTGAAGGGAGCTGAACTCGGAACTGTTGAAACATCCTGGAAACACGGGCAAGAAACGCCCCCACTGGAATACCGAGTAGGATCCTGGGCGCAAAACCAACAGATCATTTTAAGGTCGTTGCTGTACTCGAGAACTCATGAATAGGTATGGAAGCGCAGTGACAGGTGTTGTGATGTCTGCAGAGCCAATTCATGCTCGAAAGATCCCAAGTTTATGTATTTGTCGCTTTGAGGCTCTTAATGTCTATGGATGTGAGGTTCGTCACTCACCAAAATCTGATGTAGGCCTTATCTGTCTGTCGTTCAGTTCGAGCCCTAGTCCTCACCGCAATGGCAACTTTCAAATGGCTACCTAAGCGCCTCAACTTGATAGGAACATATAAAAAGTGTGCCTGGAAGACTGCATTTGCCCAACCAGAAGGCCCCGAAAGAAGTGGCCTGGGACAAGTCCCGTTGATGCTGACAGGTAGCTAACCGTCATGGTCCATTTTGGCAACGGCTACGCCACATATACACGTGAAGAATTCCCGAGGAATCCAAGATCTCGTGCCCAGTCTATTCTCGGTGCCATTGCGTCCTGGCCTTGTGTTTGGTAGTTCGGGATTTTGGCCCCCAACCCGTGAATTTGAGCCAGATCGGGAAACTCAAATCCCAGATGGTTCTCATCGAGCACTGCGCGTGTGTGGTACCTACCTACTCTCCCATCATAGCACTCTACAACAATTCAGCCAAATTGCTGTCAATTCGGGACCGATGTAGGACGGAGAATTCTAACCGTCACTGCCATCCGCCTCACCGCCGTCTTACCTACGGCACCGCGCAGACCGTGCCTCCGCCTCAGAGCCTGATCTTGCCAACCAGGCACCAGTCAACATTCATTGTGAAGTCAAATGAAAGTCGGCAATATTTGTTGCCATATTTAGCAGCTCAACACCGAAATCTACCTATGTCCGTCAGCCGTTGTATGTTATGACCTTTGATCATGACCTGCCATTTTCAGTACGGCTAGAGACCCGTAGGAAGAGGCACAGGACGTTGAGGTGAAAGTTAGGATCTCGAGACCGTTGTCATTCACAACTTGCAGATATTCACACACATCATCGCAGTGAAAAAAAGAAGAACGTCTCTCCATTGACGGCTACTTATAACTGTGGAGGTATCACGGGTTATAGGCCCACCACGTCTTTTCCCTCAGGAGGTTCCATCGGGCAGAGTTGACTGAAGTAAATCTGACTCCAAAATCCAATAGTCTAGCGGCCATAGCCCTAGTTTCATCCCTTTGTCAACTCCACAGGCCGCCCTACGCCTGTTTCCCTCCAACAACTACGCTTCACGAAGAGCTCCTGGAGTCGCGGAAACCATCTCGATTGAATGGGGTTTATCATTTGCTGGTTTGCCATTTGGTTGAACTCTGCCTTCGACAGGGGAATGTAGAAGATTCTCAGGAATTCCAAATTGACCGGCAACATCCAAATCAGAGCGATGCCCTGTTGTGGCCCATTGCTGTGGTTGTCGATCATCAACTCGAGCTTTCTCAGCCCTACGAATTGCGGAAGTACATTGGTAACATGAATATTGCACGGGGTTTTGCTTTCATAGAAAGTAGAGATCGGTAAGGTGATAGACAGAGTATGCACAATATGCATCAGTGAAAGAAGACTGCGAAAAAGCCGTCTATTTTGCGGGAGACTCGTGGTAAACAGTTCTGAAAGTCCTTTTGACCGTGCCAGGGTCTGAAGTCGCCGACAGCGACACCCTATCGATCTGAAATCGGCTTCCAACATATCATCGACGCCTTAAAGCATGAGAGACCCGAGATGAGGAAACTTATGTCCAATGCTTGTCCTGAATCTCATTACGATGTCTCCATCTGTCAAGCCTTGTCCAAGGTGACCATAATTAAACCCCTCCATAACAAAGTCTGAATATTTCGGCATTCCTTTGTTGGCTGGCCCAGGTTTACCAAGGGCGAAAAGACATCAAAGAGAGGTAATGTTTGGTTAAGAGCCACGTAGGGTTGCCTCAGACGGGTGATACAGGGGTCTGCGATTGTGTTGTATAATCAAGGTGTCGAGCTGGGTAAATCTGGTCACAAGAAACCGAAGCGTGTGACCAATTTCTTCTGCCGTCCGAAGTGGTTCTGCGAAGGGGGTGGCCCTGAAGGTATTCGTGACGTATGGCTTGTTTAGATCAATTCCAACCCCGCAATCGCCAAAGTGTAGTTCGTTGACCAAGCAAGACTTAACCCCGGAAGCCAGTTCTTGATAGTCTGAAGAAGGCTACTGCCAAGGACATCCTATTTGAGCACACCCATGGGCCTTGAAAAGGGAGATTCCCATACATACGATAATCGGACAAGCAGATGTCTCGGTTTCTTTTGGATGTTCCGGCCAAGCCCAATAAATCCTTGCATGATGAAAACGGCGGGTTTAACTGCTCCCATCTGTTGGCATACACCGCCTTCGTCCAGTCCTCACAGAGCCAAGGGAGACGAATACTATTCATTGGCGCTTCGGGACATGCTGTGAGAGGATTACAAATTTGGAAAATCAACTCATTTGGAAGGCCGTCGAGATGAGGATAGCAGGTCGACTCCATCTCCAGCTACAGCAGTTTTCAGCTCATGAGAAATGGATCAAATTTGGAGCTTGACGATAGGCAGCCTCAGAAATCAGCCATCACAAGGTAGGTGCCTAGATATATCTATGCCATGATGAACCACAAACGAAACGTCTTTCAAAACAAGACCTGGGAAGTCATAACGGAAAGCAAACACAAGTGACTATTGACTGTATAGGACATATGACTCCCAGGACTCCCTCAGGTGAACGCCAGCAAGTTTATGTACAAAATAATGAAGATTGCAACTAACCGTTCCGTGATAGAAGTTACTTACTACCCTGCCTACGTCCTCGAGCAGCAGTCTTCATTCTTTTGGCCCACAAAGCGGGCGGATAATTAGGGCACACTGTCTCATCACCCTTCGTGTAATCACTCGGCTCGCCAAGCCAGCCACTTTAACCGATGGGCACGACTCAAACAGGCGACACCTGTCATCCAGCTCATTGTTAATGTTGTATGTAAAATACTGATTGCAGCAGGAGCCTGTGGCTGACAAACAGGTAAAGCGATCGGTCAACGTTTGAGTGACCATGGCCAGAGCGCTGGATCTCATCACACTCTCAGTGACTGTCGCCTTGAGCGCATACCTCGGTCCTATCCTTCTTAGTCACCTCATCTCCAAAGACGTCATCCACCATCATCTCACCAATTTCAACCTATCATTCCTACCAACACCCCTTCTGTCACTCCTCCAGTCACCCCAAACAACAGACAAAACATGCCCAAAACACACCTACACTACCCACCTCATATCCCTCGATCCCCTCCTAATCTACATCCCCAACTTTGTCTCCCAATCTGAATCCCAATCTCTAATCGACCTCTCAACCCCACTCCTCGAACCATCCCCCATCGTCTCCCGCGGCGCCGACTCTGCCGGCTCCCAAGCCCGAACCTCCTGGAGCGCCCCCTTACCAAGCGACTCCCACCTGGTAAATTGCATCCTCTCCCGCTCCTCCTCCTTCCTTGGCACCCTCCTCTCCCCGGGCCGCGACGAAATGGGACCAGCCCAAGTAGTCCGCTACACGGACTCTCAAAAGTTCGACCTCCACACTGATTGGTTCTCCCGTCCAAGGATCACCGACGAGGACCGAGAGACGGGTAGACGGCGGCTGTACAACCGTGTTGCGACCTTTTTTGTGGTGCTGCAGAGCAATGTGACGGAGGGGTCGGGGGAGACTTGGTTTCCGAAGGTGAGACCGATTACGCCTCAGGCTGGAGAGGGAGACGAGGTGTGGAGGGAGCATGAGGACGGGGGGTTGGCTTTTAGGCCTGTTCCGGGGAATGCGATATTTTGGGTGAATTTGTTGGCGAATGGGACGGGGGATGCAAGGACTGCGCATGCTGGCTTGCCGGTGAAGGGAGGAGTCAAGACGGGGATGAATATTTGGCCGAGGGTGTTTTTTGGGCCTGACGCGTGAAGGGTGATTGTTGGGTTGTGTGTCGTGATTTTGTTTGGTGTTTTCATTTGTCTGGGTGTCGTCATGAGGGATGAGGCGAGGCACCGATGGGGACACGCTGCGTAGGTATTTTGCGGGGGGAGTTGATGCTGGAAGGCGCCAGATTTGTACGTGATTGACTGCTGCGTTATTTAGTCCTACGGTTTTCTCTTCTTTTTAGGTAGTTACTGTTCCACATTTTGGCTCATACTTCGTCGAGGGTACCCATGAACAACTCAGATAAGATCATAAGCCACACCATAGGCATAGAGAGCCGATTCTATCACGAAGAAACCTTTACTATAATGATCTTGAGATTTGCTGCTTATACCCTAAATAAACTCCATTCAAATACATAACCCTGAACCACCGACTCCACAATAGGGGCGAAAAGGGGCAAGTCGCCCCCACAAAATAGCACCCTTCCGTCTCCTCCTGACCTCTTCAAGCCTGCTTCTTCTCCGCCTTGAGAGCCTTAATAATCCTCTTCAAATCGTCAGCCCCATCCGCCTTGAAACCCTCAACTTCATCCAATGCCTTCTCAAACCACTCGACTGCCTCCTTCTTCTTGCCCCATGCTTGATACAAACGTCCCATAATCTCATAGTAATCACCCATGTGAGGCAAAATCTCCTCCTCAGTCAAAGCTTGGATCATTTCCTTGTTGAGCTTGACTGCCTCGTCAAACTTCCCTTCCTCAACCAACTCCACGATTTCAGGGCCAAGGTCGTCAACTTTCTGGCGGCGGGCGTCTGAGGCAGCTAGAAGCTCTGGGGGGCCGGCACATAGGTTGCACGAGCAGTCGAAGCCCCAGAGTTTCTTGAGGCGGGGGAGACGGATTTTGGATTGGAGGTTGAAGGCGGTGTCTTGGTTGAGGTAAGCTACAGTTTTGACGAAGCGAGTAACAGAGAGAAGTGTATAACTCACAGCTGATTGTAATCTCTTCTCCCGGAAGAATATCCCGGAAAGCAGTGATGGTCTTGGAGAGCGCAGCGGCATTGAATCGAGTGATGGCACTTGATTCATGTTAGCGAATCGTGACAAGTGAAGCGGAGAAAGACCTACTTTGGTTTACACGCATGATTCATTCTCTGGTAAGAAGGTTTTTGTCAGCAACAGGCTTCTTCTCGTGAATCCGGAACAGATGAATTGCAAGAGACTGCCCGAGGAAAAAAACAAACCAGAAAACCCTCACCGAAACATCCGGAAACAGCGCGACATAACCATGCCCACCTGCTTCCACACTGAAACTATTCGTCTTCATGACATCCTCCGCAGCCGGCACATCCCCTGGTCTAGTGCTGCTCCTCGCCAACTTGAGCACCCTATCAGGGTAAGGCAACCGCACAACAGCCTCGCTGAGCAGCAACCTCCCCTGCTCCATTCTCAAATTCGCAGCAAAGTCCTTGTCTGCCATCAAAGTGGCGTAGTCAGTCATGAAGATCGACCCCTTTGGAATCTTCCTCGTGGCAATCAGCCCGAAACCCTTGCCATCAATCGTCCTGAGTGCATACGGTGGGTCTTCCAGGTCTTCGCCTACAGTAATGAAGTCATCTTTGGCCTTGGGAGACGCGAGGATGAGCTTCTCGATCTGGGCCAACGAGGAAGAGGCGTTGTTTGACAAGGGGGCAATGATGCTGATTCCTCGTTTTGGTCCCTGGAACTTGGATGCGGTAAAGACGCAGTATGGTGTTCCTGCTTTGGTGTCCAAGCAGAATGGGGTGTGTGTCCAGGGTTTTTCCTGACCACTTTTGAGAGTCTCGTTGGACACAAAGGCGGTTTCACAAGATGGCAAGAGGTCGTGTTTGACGGGGCCTGGGAGACAGTCGTTTACATGTGATCTCAGGGGGGGCAAGACGTGCTGTTTTGGTGGCTGGGATTGAATATTTGCTGATGCTGTCCCCGAGAGGAGTAAGAGTGAGGTTGTCAGGATTGACAGCGCCATCTTGGAGGCGGTGGGGTGGGTAAGGCAATTAGATCAAGCTAGAATATTTCAGAATAATTCGTGATGGTTTCAAAGTTGACCGCAAAATCATGTCATAAAACGATGGAGAATCAACGAAAGGACAAAACCAGAGCTCTGCCACCAAAAAGACACCATTTTGAGCCTGCTCTTCACATATCTGTCCTAACTGTCACAGCCCGCTCCAAGAGTCTTGGAGTTCTTGGAATCTGGGATTCACCTGCCACTGGCCGTCTTGTGCGTCAGAAGTTGAGCGGCGAACCAGCAGTTTAGTACTATTAGCCGCGGTAGCGATTCCTGTTGATCAGCAAAATGCCGTCCCTGACTGTGTCTTCGGATCATCCGACCGAACGCCAAGAGTCTGGGCGATTTCTGGGCATCTCTTCAGGTTGTAGATATGCTCATGCTAAGAAGGGCTAATGTGATAGAAGAACGGTATGATGGTAAGTCTTAGGTCCGATGAGGCTCTCCTTCTCCTACCAAGACCATTGACAGGTCCCCTATTATGGCGTATAAAGAACGTTCCCCCTGTTCTTATTAGAAGTAGGATTTTCAACCTACCCATACGTCAGAGATCATGCCCTGACTTATAGACATTGTCCCAGGCATTCTATGACAAACCCGACCCAAACAACCACATCCGATTCACGCGCTTACACTTCCTCATCTCATCCAACCTCCAGAGCAGTTTGATTCATGCGCTTAGGCGCCGTTTTCATCTCGAGATTCAAAAAAACATCTCATGATCACAAGCAACGAATCTCGTTGAAGAAGATCAAAATCTCAGCATTCCGGCTAAATCATCACAGGTCAAACACGGCCTACGGGCCCCAAACCGGGACACGATCCCGGATTTCTCTCTGAATCTCTCTCAAGCCGCGTCACTCTTGCCCATCGTCCTCATTTTGCCGGCTCAGTACTTGTATGTTCAAGATTGCAAATCCATCAGAGAGCAATATCCGCCGCCCGGGGTGTTGGGGAGGTCATTCTGTTTCAAACATTGGGCTGAGATGGCGAGAGTGAGAATACCCGCTGATGGGCAGGATTGCAACCCAAGGCTTAATATCGGGCAAATTTACCCCACAATCTCGATACCGTTGCTCGTCGCTGCATGGTAACGTGGGGTCCTATTCTTCCAGAGTGACGCCAAGCAATGCCGGTACTTAACCACTCTTTTCTCCGGTAGATTGCCCATTCTGGGGCTGGCAATCTGGGGGTGGCGTATACTTGCGTGTACATGGTGGTGTAAGACATCACTGACCGAGGCGTGTCGATGGCTGTATGGCTGATTGAAATCGGTGTTCATATCGACTTTATATGAGAAAAGGGGGCGAGGAAAAATGACTGTGTCAGGTATAAAAGGTTGGTGATAATCCCCTTGAATTGCTGATCATCACCACCCCAGTCAAGACACTTGGTTCTCACAGAAAAAATGGTCTCTTTCACCTCCATCTTCACGGCCCTCGCCGCGGCGGCAACCGTTGTTGCCAGCCCTCTTGAGCTTGCCCTTCGTGGCATCCAGCCTGGTCAGGGCACCCACGACGGCTACTTTTACTCTTACTGGACCGACGGTCAGGGGTCTGTCGACTACAATAACGGCCCCCGCGGCTCCTACAAGGTCAGCTGGAGGAACGTTGGCAACTGGGTTGGTGGTAAGGGCTGGAACCCAGGTCCCTCTCGCACCGTCGCCTATAACGGCACCTGGAACAACTACAACGTCAACAGCTGTATGTGTCTCCTCCTCTCCGACTCTTTCGTTCTCTCTCATGCACTCACTGACATAAACATAGACCTCGCCCTCTACGGCTGGACTGTCAACCCCCTCGTCGAGTACTACATTGTGGAGGCCTACGGCACCTACAACCCCTCGGCCGGCACGACCAAGTTCCGCACTCTCCAGTCCGATGGCGGCACCTACGACGTCTATCGCACCCGCCGTGTGAACCAGCCTTCCATCCAGGGTACTGCTACCTTTGACCAGTACTGGTCTGTCCGCCAGGTCAAGCGCGTCGGCGGCACCATCTCTGTGCAGAACCACTTCGACGCCTGGACTGCTTCCGGGCTGAAGCTCGGCAGCTGGAACTACATGATCATGGCGACTGAAGGTTATGGCAGCACCGGCTCGGCTGAGATTGAAGTGAGAGAGGTCCGCTAAGTGGTTGATCTACAGTCATGGGACACACTTGTACATACTGGAAGCTTGGGAGGCGGTCAAAGGGCATGATGGTGGTCTGGTGGTGATGATGATGGTTGTGGTACGGGAATAACATCATGTCATGGTCAAGGTGGATACAGAAACTCACAAGGCCCCCCCCATCTCCATATCTACCCTGCCAATTCCGAACTCCATCCAATTGCCGCCAAACTAGTCCGAATCCTGCTTAGGATCTCCATCGCGATTCATAATCCTAGGGACCTTTGAGGTGATTTGACCAATCACAACCTCGAACTTTTGTTGATTGTTCGCCCACGTTGCATGAACTAACGCAGACACTATTTCTCGCTATTATTCCTTGGCGGTCGATTTGATGCCCGTCGGCATCGAGTTTGGGATCGATAACCCCCTCCTTTCCGCTGTCTCGGGATTGCTTTTTGATCCTTCGTGCTATCTCTTCCCGGTATTTTTTGGTCAGAGATTCAAGAATCCGATACCTTTTTATTTTTATTTTGTTTTACCCACAATGGCTGCAACAACCACCGTGACGGTACCCCATATGGGCGGTATCAAAGTCGGGTATCGGCTTTCGTCTCCGTCAGGCTCCATCGACAAGACCAAGCCCACGGTCGTCCTCATCAACTCGATGTGCACGACTGTTTCGCTGTTTGATGACCAGTTCTCCAATGAAGAGCTGACTTCGGCCGTGAACCTTTTGGCTATTGAGCCTCTGGGTCATGGCTCGACTTTTGCTCTCAAGAGGGAAAACTTCACCTACTGGGACACCGCGGAGATGGCGCTTCAGGTTATGGACGCGTTGGGAGTTGAGAAGGCTTTTGCTTTGGGAACCAGCCAGGGCGGATGGTATGTTTGTTGTTTTATGCTGAGAAGAGAAGGGGCTAACAACAGTCTGCAGGATGGTTGTACGCATGGCTTTGCTTGCTCCTGAGCGGGTAAGTTGATGTCTCAATGTCTCCACCAGAGAGTGTTACTAACATGAGTAAGATTCTTGGCCTACTTCCTCTCGGTACATCAATGGACTCGGAGTCTGCCTACTCGCGTACTCAAGGGAGCTGGGACCCAGCTGCTGTTCTCACTCCTTTCTTGGAAAAGTGGTCGGTTTCCGAGTCAACCCCTGACTTTGTTGTTGACCAGCAATGGAGGGGCATGGTCACTGGCCTGGGATTCGGTGCTGCCCCAAAGCCAGAGCTGTTGGCTTTCTGGGATGAGACGCTGAAGCAGGTCTATGTTGGAGATGAGGGCAGAAAGAAGGTCAGGATGGCCCTGACCAATTTGCTGGAGCGTGACGGTCTCTTGTTGAGATTGCGACACATCAGGTGCCCTGTTTACTGGTTGCAGGTGAGTTTGCTCTATTGTGATTGCTTTTTCGAGACGGGATGAAATCTGACACAAGAACAGGGAGAGCAAGATCCAGTTTTTGGAGTAAAATTGCCGGCTGAGCACATTAAGTTGTTCACCAGCTCCCCCGAGGCTACCTTGACGCTTGTTCCAGGTGGAGGACACTTCTTGAATGCCACCAGTCCTCGTGAGGTTCAAGAGGCGCTCTTGAGAATGGTGAGCAAGTATTCTGCTTAAAAGGTTTGGGTAAAGCTCGATTGTCCTTGTGACTACATGTACAGTACTAGGATGTGGCGACGGACATAATGCCGCAGACACTAGCCCCTGGGGTAAACCAAATAAATCAGGGAACAGCTCTTTTTGTTGTTGTCATTGACTCCACCTGTTCGAAGCTTGACCTCTCAGATGTTGTCCTCACTGACCACCCCGCATCAACATGCATCAACGCCACCAACAAGGGTTTAATCTCCTGTGGTCTCATCACAGCGATGACACAACATTCCGCCTCTCACTCAATCAACAACTTCACAACACTGAACACTCACGCCCTGTTCGAAACATGTCTGAAGCAAAGAACATCATCATCACCGGCGCCTCCGGCCTCGTCGGCCCGCTCCTGGCCTCCCGCCTCCTCAACTCCCCAGAATACCGCCTCGTCCTCACCGACCTCCACCCCCCCATCCTCCCCCCCAACGTCACCCACCCCTCCAACGCGACCCTCCTCCAAGGCGACATCACCTCCCCTGCCTTCATCACCACCCTCCTCACCGCCGCCCAGCCCCTCCACGCAATCTTCCTGTTCCACGGCATCATGTCCGCCGGCTCGGAAGAAGACTACGACCTCTCCCTCAAAGTAAACGTCGACTCGATCCGCCTCATCACCGACCAGCTCCGCCTCACCAATCCCGGCTGCCGCGTCATATACGCCTCCTCCCAAGCGGTATTCGGACAGCCTCTACCCCAGGGAAAAATCACCGACGACGTGCTGCCCACGCCGGAAAGCACCTACGGCTGCCACAAGCTCATGACGGAGTCGTACCTCACCTCGCTGCACAGAAAGGGGTTTTTGGACGTGTTTATTGCTCGGTTTCCCACCATTAGTGTCAGGCCGGGGAGGCCGACGGCTGCGGCGTCGAGCTTCCTGTCGGGGATTATAAGGGAGCCGATGAGGGGGGTGGAGTGTGTGGTCCCGATTGAGGACAGGGGTTTCAAGAGTTTTTTGGCTTCGCCGAGGACGATAGCGGAGAATTTGGTTAGGGTTTTGGGGTTAGGGAGTGGGTGTTTGCCTGTGCATAGGAGGGTGATTCAGTTTCCGGGGGTGAGTGTTTCTGTTCAGGAGATGATGGATGCGTTGGGGAAGTTTGGCGGGGAGGATAAGTTGGGGTTGGTGAAGGAGGTGCGGGATGAGGGGTTGGAAAGGATTTTGAGGAGCTGGCCGACGGATTTTGACTTGAGCACGGCGGAGAGGTTGGGGTTGGTGGTTGATGAGGGGCCGGGGGCGGAGGGGATTGTGTGGGAGTATGTGAGGAGTTTGGGGAAGGTGTAAAGAATGAAGAGATCACGTTATGGTCGTAGATGGGTGTATATAAAGTATTGCTATCTACCCAAGTCACAGGTTCCTCAAGCTCGTCATGTACCTTACTAGACAGGTCACGAGATGACAGGTAAAGGAATTTCCGCCCCCTCGAGGCCACAGTATGCCTGTTCATGAGCCCTCCACAGTCCTCTCCCATTCATTTTTCCGGAAGTATCGCCCGATACTTTGCCCACATCTCGTACATTCGCACGACTTGACCCCTTGTAAACTCGGTCGCGCACTCATCAGAGACGTACGACATGTAGTTGTGAACAGGGTCCTTGCCTTCCAAGTGGGGACATGTATTCAGGTCCAGGTGGCAGGTGCCCTTCATCTCCTGGGTGTAATGATGATAATCGAACTTGGGGGTGTCAATAACGCCATCGTCCGGATCTGTTGGGTCGCACGGGTTCTCAGGATCGCGGACTTCAAACGTGTGCGCGAGTCCGAGCCAGTGGCCTATCTCGTGAACGGCTGCCTTCCCTTGGCTCCAATAACTGTGTCCACCTCCAGGCACCGTGTTGCTCTTGATGACACAGCCATCGAGCGGCCCACCCATTGACCACGGCAACGTGCAAAATCCGCCTTTAGTAGCATTCTTCCATGGGACGAAGTAGAGGTTGAGTGTCCTCTGATCGCCTTCATGCAACAACGACTGCATGTCCACCCAATCTTGTGACCCGGGTGTCTCAAAAGACCAGGCTTTTGTCACAAACCAATGATTTTTGGTATGGTTGAAGGTGATACCAGCGGGTGCGAATGAGTCTTTGATCACTTGAACCTGCCGATGGATGTCCTCGTCCTGTTTGGTTGAGACTTGGTCAGCATACCTTCATAGCTTGTATTATGTCGTGCATTGTACTTACTGAAAGATAACCATCTTGACGCCTTTTTGAGCGGGCAACAACATGAACTATGAGTTCGATGGGAGGAGGAAGAAGATATATTTGCCGTCTTCTCATACCGAGGTGGCTTCTGTCGATGGGTGGTGAGGGAAAGAGAGTGGCATTCTCGTTGCCACAGGTGAACATTGCCGAGACAGGCGATGACAGTGCAAGGCCGAAGAGGAGGGTATGCGCAAGTTGCATGGCGATGAGTCTTGGGCATCAGGGCACCGAGTAGTTTGAGGTATCTGGAGAGGAAGATGGCAAAGAGGAAGAGCGTGAAGCTGTGGTATTTTTGCTCGCAAGAACTGTGCAAGGCTTTATACCTGCTTCGAAAAATTGGACGAGCGCCATTGTCGAGTTTAGCATTGAGAAGGAAAGCTACCGGGATAGCTTATCAGTGTTTCCCAAAGTCAACTTTGATGTGCGTGGAAGTATCACAGTGCTTATATGGTGCGAAGGCGTTGGAGGCTCGGTGGGTGGCCAACCCCACTTAAGTGTGTTTGCTCCCCCGCTCTTTCGATCCCGATAGCATTTAGATAGCAAACCTTCTCAGCTTCAATAACTTTTTGCACCATCAGCCAGTCATCAAACACAGCAGCCTAATGACCCCACTGAGAAAGCCTTGACGCCTGTACACGACGTAGTCTGTGTTGTTCAGATGGCACTGACCATCACTTGCCATCCCCCACTGGGCGCCATCCACATCCTCGAGCCTAACCTCTCGCTCGTCTGTCTCAAAGCACAGCCACAAGGCTCGGTTCGATGACTAATATCGTCTCAAACTAGGTTCAATTCGTTGTTGGAGTCCCTCCCACCGTTAGCGACGTTAGGATCTGGCACAACTGCACGACGACTGGCGAATGGTCTGAATTAGGCCTCACCGAAGTGCGCATCACTCGTCACCTGGACACTTGCGAGAACCAAAATGTGTTGACAGCTCCTTAGTCCACAGCCTTGCCTCGACTTGATAATCTCCACGACCGCAAGTATTTCACAGGCGCAATCCTGACCCTTACTGAGGCATCCACGTGGATAGGCCTCTTCAAATTCACGGTCAAGCTTCGGGTCAGTAAAGATGCGCCATGGCTCTGGATCAAGGACATTGATGGGAGTGAAGATGGCGAGGTCGTGCTTCCTGCTACTCACACCCCAAGCACCAATTTGTCAAGCTACCTGGACGATATCAGTAGAGATATCGTGGTAACCCCAAGGCAAGCCGTCACCAGCGCGGCAACGCAAACCGTGTGGGAATTAAAAGCCAGTACACCAGCTGCTCAGGGCCAAACCTGCGGTCGTGCATTTTACTCTCTAGGCAAAGCAATCGATTGCATTCGGTGGCTTGGTATTGTTCGCCACAACGATGCTTGGTTTGGGCCGCGGCATGGCCGAGATATTTTTTTACTCAACGAGGGAGCTGTAATGCTTTCGTTTCTGAGGCGGGATGGGCTGCACGTTGTCATCATAGCCATCAGCGGGATCGACAATCTGTTGACCACGCTTGTTTCAAACGAGAATGGACAGATTCTGATTTCGTCAAGGAACGATGGACCTGAGTCAGCTCATGCCCGTGTGTTAGTTGCTGTTGACAAGACATGCGAGGAAGCCATTGCTGCTGCTATGAGGCCAGTCAGGGAATTTGTTCGGGGCCATAGGAGCAGCACTTTCGCTATGGGCCTACGAAATGCAGGCTCAGCCAGCGTTGGCGAAACAACAAGGCTTCAAGCATGGTATGACGGCTTTGCTTACTGCACCTGGAACGGGCTAGGACAATATCTCTCGCCAAGCAAGATTCTCGATGCGCTCACCAGCTTGGACAAGAAGGGAGTCAAGCTCACAACTCTTATCATTGATGACAACTGGCAGTCTGTTCAGCTTGAGCCTGGAAAATCCGACTTTTACAGGCAGTGGTCTGACTTTGAGGCAAACAAGGAGCATTTTCCTGGTGGCTTGAAGAGTCTCATCACAGCTATCAGATCAGTGTCTCCCTATATTCAATTCATTGCCGTTTGGCATGGTATTTTTGGTCATTGGGGAGGCATTGCACCTAGTGGAAAAATAGCCAAGGTGTACGCAATGAGAACGTTCAAAAGGCGTGAAGGAATCTTTCTGGGCGGTGGGGATATGACGACAGTCGATAGGAGCGATACTGAGCGGCTGTTTGATGATTTTTACAGGTCAGTAACTATCTATGAGGCGACACAGCGTCACAGCTGATGAACAAGCAGGTTTCTGTCTGACGCAGGTGTGGACGCAGTCAAAGTCGACACGCAAAGTTTCCTGGACTACGCAGACCATGCCGACGACAGGCTCGCCTTGATCACAGCGTACCAGGACGCATGGAGGCTGGCATCCCTCAAATACTTTGGTGGTAGGGCCATCGCTTGTATGGCGCAGATACCACAAACGATGTACTACTCGTTCCTGCGAGAAGACCTTCCCAAGCCGATGGTGAGGACATCTGACGACTTCTTCCCGGATGACCCAAGGCAGGTCCCTCCATCTGATGGCGCTCAAAGAGGTATGCTGACTCCAAAACCAGCTCCCACTCCTGGCACATTTTCTGCAACGCCCACAACGCCCTTCTCATGCAGCATTTTGACGTCCTCCCAGACTGGGACATGTTCCAAACCAGCCATCAATACTCCCGCTTCCACGCCACAGCACGATGTGTTTCCGGTGGTCCAATTTATATCACTGACACGCCGGGTGAGCACGACCTCGACCTGATCGAGCAAATGACTGCAAAAGCCCCAGACGGTAGACTCCTCGTGCTTCGAACAGAGAAGCTGGGGAGGACGGTGGGGATGTACACCGGGCACTCAGAGACTCAGTTCCTCCAGGTCAGAGCGGAGCATTACCGGGTCGTTATCACGGCAGTGTTTAATCTTGATAATGTGCCGCGAACAAAGCTAGTCTCGCTGAGTTACTGTGAGCCATCTCTAGCGGGAGATGAAGCGGGCTACTTATTCCGGGTGCACAGCTCTGGAAAACTTCTCAGACACGCTGATGGGAGTCTGGCCATCATGGAGCTTCACTTCGGGCCGCACGACTGTCACATCATTACCAGATACCCAGTCCGCCGGTTTCAGCAGACTGATGTGGCTGTCTTGGGACTGTTAGGAAAGATGGCGGGGGCTGCTGCTGTGATGGCAACAACTTATAAAGTTCTGCCAGAAACATCAGAAATCCAGGCAGATCTTGAGTTGAAGGCGCTGGGGAATCTTGGTGAGAAATGGATTCGTCCGTTGAAGCTACAAAAAGCTGACCCAAATTAACAGGCCTCTACGTGTCTGCCAACAGCCGCCCGCTCGTCGGTCCGGTGAAGGTGATTGTCGGCGGCGGCCCAATGGCCAAAGTCGAGCCTTTAGGATTGGACCCATTTATCCTCGAGTTTGACCTGGAAGGGCTGTGGCCGGGAGAGAACCGTTGTGGGAAGGGTAACTCACAGGTGTTAGTCACAGTGATTGTGCCACTGCTTTAATGTGCACGTTGTGGACATGAAAAATAGAGATTGGTGCCATGGTGGTTTGAATGGAGACCTTGAAAGAAAACTACTTTGTAAGCCTTTCAAGATGGTTGACTCCCAACTTCATATTTAAATCTAAACATCCCTTTATATAAATACAATCGCCTAGAAAAATAGAACTCCGCAGGGTTATATCCATTAACCGGATGCCGCCGGCCTAGCGCGGAGTATGAAATTCTCGAATTCCCGAAAATCGATAACGACACATCGTTGCTGTCTGCCTTTTCCGCCGTGATCCAAGCATTTTTCAAGTTTGGTTCATCCCTTGCGAAATAGGCTCTGAATTGTTCATTGAAGATGCTTAGCAAGACCAACTGCGCTTCGGCGGCTGTGGTGTAGGCCCAGTCATCTGATGATATTGTGCCCTTGAGCCCGGTAATCCCCATTGCATCTGCTCTCTGTAGGTTGATATTGCTTTCGCCCTGATCAGGAGGGCTCGGACGCACGACTTCATTGTTCCTCATCTTGACTAGCTAATCACGAGAATCAGGGGCAAGGGGGGAACAACGCCTGATGAGGATAAACCGTTCTGGCAAGGTAAGTAACCTGTCTGTTCTATGTGCGCCGAATCTGCGCTGACATGTCATAGTTCTGATCTACGAAAAAGAGTCAGAGTGTACTGTACATGGAGACACACGATACAGAATGATCTGGGGCCATGAGTTTAAAACATGCTACACTTCGGCGTGACAAGGGCTGTAATATCAGAGCTTGGAACTCATGGTTCAATTCAGGCTAATAATCTTCAATGGCCTCGAAGAGCGTGATACTGAAAGAAGAAGAAGAAAAATACAGTCTTGGTGATCTTGAGCGCGTATTTTATCCTCCCTCGCATGGCCCGTGCCCTTGTTGGCCTCAGGCCTTTGCCAAGTCCTCCAATATCCTACTGGGCCAGTGAGATTCCTTTGATACCCGCCATGCCTCTGATTGTCTGCCTCACTTTCGACGAGAGGCTCACGACTTGCAGTTACCCCTCCTTACGGTGGTATCGTCAATGTTGTTGGTCGTGGTCGCAGGTGGTTGGCTTTTGCCGTGTGACATTCGGGGATGATATGCCCGGCACAGGATGCGACGAGTTCCGAGGCAACGACAAGAAAGCCGGGTGTACGGGAGAGAACCTGGTGCCACGATCTCTCCGTGTCCCGAACGAAGCCTTGTGCTACTTCTATTACGAGCCTAGATGTTTGGGGTCATTTGCCTCATACGTGCCCGATCACTCGTGCATGTCGGGCGAGAACTGGCCCGGAGCTGGCGAACAGGTAAAATCATTCAAATGTGTAAGTGTACCCCCAAGGCTCCTTGCTTACTTAGTTACTCCTCATTGACATTCTTTGATAGTGGGAAAAGGCACCCTCAGAAAAAACACCCTGATAAGCGCGTTGCTTTTGAGAAGGTGCATAGAGCCTTGCGTCAATGGCAAAGCGATTGGGATGAATATTAACTATATCAAGCACCTGATGGGACATGGGAGGAGATATAACATTACTAGTAGAATGTGAGAATTAGGGTTTAATCTATATGCTTTTGTTTCCCTTTTTGTCCTTTTCTCAAACATCTCTCTTGAAGCTAGATCCACTTTCGTGTCAATGGAGCCGTGCTGGTTTCTGTCGACGAGTCGCGCGATGTCGTGGAACCAGTGACTAAGTGACGGACAATTGAGGGCTTCCCATTGGCCAACCAAAAAATCAATGCTTGAGGCACAATATACCTTGAAAGATAGTAACAACGATAGTCAAAAGTACGTCAAATGATAGCGAAAGCGATTTCTATCATCGTTCAAGGCCCCTAAAATCCCGTTGTGCCCGCCGCTGTTACCTGATGAAGGCGTATTTCCTCTGGAGACCAACCCTCGCAACTGGGCAAGGCCGCTATGTGATGGTATATGTCATATTTGCCAGGCAGCCCAGGGGTATCAAACTTTGTAGCTACATATCTGTAATTGATCGGAGGTGCTTTGCGATGGGGTAAAGGCATTGGTAACCCATCACAGTCAGTCAGCCTTCATTCTTGACAGCACCAAACCACAAAGATCAAATGCGACGCAATACTCAAATTCAGATAGCTACAGAAAAATTTTTAAGACAAAGGAAGAAGAAAACTAACTGCCTTGAGCCCCTCCAGTTTTAGCGGAAGGAGAGCCGAAAAAACCCGAACCTGATGCCTGCCCCGGCTTCGTACTATTCATAGCACCACCACTTTGGTTATTACTGCTGCCAAATATTCCTCCGGAAGGAAACGCAGCAGTAGGGGCATTGGAGAATGACGAAGGAGCGGGAGCCTTGGCGACTGATGTAAAGGCATTTGTGCCGGAGGGAGCAGAGAATAAAGACGCTGAGTTCGGAGTTGATGGATTACCAAACACTGAAGAGCCCTTGGGGCCAAAAAGCGAAGAAGCCGTTGGTGCAGGATCACTCGTTCCGAATAGCCCACCAGTGCCGGGCGTGGCTGGTTTAGTGCTAAATACCCCGGACGTGGATGGTGTGGTGGTGAATAACCCACCAGACCTGGGGGCGGGTGTGTTCTTCATGTCCGCGAAGAGTGAGCGGGGAGCTGGGGCTGAAGTAGAAACAGGAGCGGAAGATCCCGAAACACGTGGTGTACCAGTGCTTGTCGAAGAAGAGGAAGGTGTGCGGCCGAGTGTAGTGGTTGACTGTCGGCTCCCAGCAGTTGCTGTTCTCTCGGTTTCGATGCTTGGTATCGGAGCTGGGCTCTGGCTAGGTCCCCGCCTCAAAACAAGGCCGGTCCCCCCAATTGCCATCCCGTTTCTGCTCGACGCAGAGAACGAAGGCAAGCCTCTTGGCTGGAACGCTCTGCACGCAGCATGTCCACTCTGGAGCTTGGTAAGTTGGACTTGCAGCTCTTCTCTCTCCTGCCTTACTGGACGTGATTCAGCGGCAACCTTTTCGACATCTTCATCTGTCATGTTAGGAACCATGTCAGGATCGAGGATGGTTGGGAGGTGGCGCAGAAGACAGTTTTCCAGTCCGAGGACCACAACATTGTCAATGAAGATGTCAAGTGACCTCTGTAAGACAGATCTCAGCGCAGTCCATTCCAAAGACCAAATATCTCCCGGGAAAACTCACGTCATAATAATTGGCCATGCTCTCAATGATTTTGTCTGTTCCAAAATCACTAGACGGGGTTGCCTCTGAAGCTGCTTCCAACACAGCTCTCGACACATGTTCATGGGTCAACCCTTCCAGATTTGGATACACCTTCTCAAGTTGACGGGCGGTTTGCTGAACTCGCCGCTCCCCCCCCCTCCGGCTTCGTGTGTTCTTGAGCAAGGGCATAGGATCGTACCCATTCATGTAGTGATACAGCAGTTCCTGAAGCTTGACACCTAGCAAAGACGCCTTTTCTTGAAAGAATGGGGCAACGTACTCTCTCAGGAGTGCCTGTGCCGTCTTGGGGTCTCTTCCGACGATATGATCTATGAGCTTCTCGGTAAAGCCCTGACAAATTTCCGTGATCAGTTTGATATGACGTTCGGCGATGTCCTCCCAAGGCTGTGATTGATCCCGGAAGAGACGGAGCGTCAATCGATCATTGGGTGAGCCCGGAAACTCGGTGCCCTGGTTCTCAGAGGCCATGGCTTCCAACTCGCCCTTGAGATTTGCGAGCGAAACGGTTGCTGGGTCTTCAAAAGGATAATGTTCAAGAAGCTGGTGAAGATGGGCTGCAAGCTCTGGCTCAGAACATTCATTTTCTTCGTTGTCAGATTCACCGTCATCAGAGTCCCTGTCCTGGTTATCGCCGTCCCAAAGAATCTTGCGTCGACTACCTTTGACCAACAAAACGTGTGCAAAGACTCTGTTGAGGTCCCTCACCAAGGCGCGCAACTTCTTGATTCGAGCATCGGTGTATTCGGTCGAGTCTGGATCAGGATACAAACCGCCAAAGAAATCGTCAAGGTAGTTGCCCCTAACTGCTTCGCCAGCAAGCTCACGGAAACGGGAACTGATCTTGGTGAGGTACGTTCTCATGGCCTGTGGTGTTGAACGTTGCTCGCCCAGTTCCTTGAGTCGACTTTGACGTTGCTTGATCAAGTGTTCAATGTCATCGATGAGCTCTGGAAGTTTGCGCTGAATGTGTGCCAAGAGAACCTGGCTGAGCTTGTCCCTGAGAGCCTCAATGCCCCTGTCCTGAGCCTTGATTGTTGCCCACACTCCGTTTCGAAAGAAGTTCTTCTCGGCCTCATCACGTTCGCCATCTGTTGACGTGGTCTCCATATGAGTTCGGTTGCGTAGCACATGCCAGCCGAGTGCCAGTTTGTGAGAGCCTTCCTTGTTCTCCGCCAGACGCAAGTATTGGCCTTCGTTGTGGGAGCCCTGGTCAACCTTATCGGGCTTGGTGATGATTCCCAGGGTTCGCCCTCGGGTAGGATCGTGTTTTTTCGCTTCATTCAAAACCTTTTGGGCAGCCAGCTCACTTTGGGCTGAGACAACGGCGAGGATGATGCTGTTCTTCTGGCGCATATACTTTTCTGCGAGCCGATCGACCACAGCAACACCGCCGGCCTCTTGGTTCTCTGTCTCATTATGATAGAAACCGGGGAGGTCGACAAGCGTCAACTGTGGAACAACAGGGCCGGAAATTTCCACCCGGAGGACTTGTTCTGAGAATGTACTTGATCCCGAGCCGACACCCATGACATCTTTGGCTTCCTCGATGATAGCAGGAAGTTCGTCGTTGTTGAGGCCGGTTCTGTCAAAGACATGATCGTCCACATCGCCAGCATCATTCTGGATCTGGACGTTGACTTTCGTCTGGGAGGCTTGGCGAAGCACCAACTCAGTTGCAAAGCGCGTGCAGAGTCCGTCTTTGATAGGAAAGCGGACACGAGAGATGGCCTCCAGGACGGAGCTTTTTCCGGATGATTGATCGCCAACAACGATGAGTTGAGGAAGTTGGACAAATTTTCCTAGGCCAAGTTTTCGAAGCTCGTCAATAGTGTCAAGAAGGGCGCGCTGCTCAGCGGCGAGCTGCTGCACTACTGCGAGATCTAGCTGAACAGCAGCCATGTTTGGAGTTGGTTAGGTGGTAGGCTTCTGGATACAGTTTTGGGGGAACCATGATGGATATTTGTATGGGTTGGCACAGTTCGACTGACCGCCCCGAAGAAGCTAACCGCCGACCTGGCCAGGGTACTCTGCCGCGGGCTCACTTGGCTTGGTTCAGCTGAGCATTTTTAGGAAGCTCAAAGGCGGGCAGTGGTCATGGAAGCGGTTGTGACTCTGGGGTTGATAACCCAAATTGGAGGCCTTGCCAAGATTTTGACGATGGTTGGACCAGTCAACAGCCAGGCACTCTGTGACCAAACGTGCAGAGGAATGGTTTGCGTGCAGATGGCCCACAAAATGTTGGCCAAGAATGACCTCCTTCCAGACCAGTCGAGCCAGCAACTGGCACACGTCAGTGGATCCAACGGCGACACGCTCCGCATACATGCTCGAAATCGACCCTGTTGTGTGTCTGCCACCGTCCCCATCTCTCCTTTCAAGCATCATCACCTTGTACCCCCATCCAAGATCATGTTCAGTCAGATCAGAGTAGCATGAACTCTCTTTCTGCCTGAAGCGCATGTTCATCCATCCAACCTGGTTGCAACTTGATGGTTCCAAGCTCCTATCATAGTACTTTCTGCGTTCAGCCTTCAAGGGTGGCTCAACAGCTCCATTCATGTCGTCATTGAGCCGCGCAAGGCGTTTGCATTCTGTCGTATCATGTCCCAGGCTCTGATACCAAAAACCCAACATCGATTTCGTATCCCTCTGCCAATACGTTCAATTTCCTGGCAATACCAGTTCCATATATATGACCAAGAGCCAACCCATGAGAACCAGGACCAGCTGGGCCCCACGGGTTGGCTGGTCATTTCTGAGAGGCGGCGAGTGTGAAGAGGTAGAGGACACCATAGCAGAAACCAGTCGAAATAGATGGTTGGCAGCCTGCGGTAGATATCAGTATTCAACTGCCGCTTGATCTGGCGTGCCACACCAGCAAAGGCGTTGTATACGTCTGCTTGCAGTGACAAGTCTCAGGTTAACCCTAACCCTCATCTCCCGGAAAGACAACAAACAGTCGAGGACTCAGTTGGAGTTTTTCGCAGACATGACAGAGCTTGTCGCCGGGCCGAGGCGTGACAGGGCCCGGGACAAGGAGCATCTCCCGGTTGGCGTGCGGGCCTGGGTCTTGGTCGGAATCCACGGTCATTTCACTGCGGCCTTCGGATGCTGAGTTGGCGAGTCTTCTGACCGTGCTAGAAGCTGGGCAAAAAGAAAATCCATCATGGTGAGGACGGAGGACGCGAGAAAGCGGGGCGTAAAGAAAGCAGTAAATAGAGAGAAGCTGGGGTTCGTGTTAAGGGAGCAGTGCTTGTTTCTGTCCACAAGTTGCTGAAACCAGTAACGGACAATTGAGGGCTTCCATTGGCCAACCAAAAAGTCAATGGTTGAGCCACAGCTAACCCTAGGGATCTTCCCAAACTTAACCACTTGGGCTTTAACCCTGACAAGCCACGATGTTCAATGTCAACCTGTCAGACCGGCCAAACCATCGCCCGTCAGTCACATAATGCGCCCTGCCAAGTCTCCCAACATCTGGAACCGAGTCCTGGTAATCTGCCTGCCGGCGTCAAAACAATATGGCGCAGCTGTTAAAAAGAGAGGCCTCGCCAAGACGGGATGGCAACATATAACATCTCTCATCGACAGTTCGACTGAGTGTGGAGGTCTTTGGCATACACTCCTGAGAACCTCCCCTAACTGACTCTTCTCCAAGCTAATACTCCAAGTCTTGCGGCATCCTTTTAATCATGGCAAAGCGATCCAAAACATCCTACTACAGTGTCGACCCCCCTTTCGTCTACGCTGCTAGCGCCATCGTCGAGGGCATCTTTACACTCTTTTTCCTGTGCACGTTTGGCTACAGCGCCTTGCGAATCTCCAAAATACGCCCAATATGGCATTATTACGCCACTACCATGTCCGCTTTGATCATGTAAATATTTCCCTTCACCGCTGACAATATTCAGGCAACTCACAATCAGTCATAATAGTGGCTACATTCTCCGCATAGCCTCCTTCTCCATTTACGCTTACTACAACACACCTGAAGTCTATCTCTCCTTTGAAGACCGCTACCTTTTAATGCTCCTATCAGCAAAACGACTCGAACCCGTCGCTCGTCTATTCCGACACGTGGGCGCAGCTCTTTGTAGTGTTTTGCTTGTGGAATTTGGTCAACGCTACAGTTGGCCATCAAACGAGAGGGCACTTATTATCCGGGCCGGAAGGGCAGCCATGTGGACGCTGGCAGGGGTGGCAACGGTGCTGGGCTTGACACATTGCATCATGGCGGAGAGAGAAATTAATCCTGACTTGACGGTTGTCGGACGCTTGGGAATGCCACGACTGGATGATGTGTTCAACGGCAGCAAGATAGCTTCTGTTGTAATCTCTGCAACACTACTCGTCCTTTTTGTCGGGGGGCTCACTATCCTGGGAATGGCAATGTACGCATCTTGTTCAAACCCATCGAAAGGAAGGAAGACCGGGCCAGTCATTCTCATAGAAGTAAGTATCAGTTCGTATGTCTTATTACAGCTGTGGGCCCTGGTGTTAATTATGTCCACCGCAGATCCCCAGCCTGCTCCTTCTTGCCTCTGTGATTTTGGTAATCGTGAGAGGTTGGAATATGGCCGAAGTCTCTCTACTTCTACACCCTTACCGTAGGGCTACCAGGGACATTGATTGGTGGTACTGGGCTGAACTTGCTCTAGATCGCTTTGGCACCTGGATGGTTCTTTTTGTTATTTATAGGGCTGGCAAAAAGGCCGGTGGCGGCTGACACCCGGCAAGATAAACAATGATAATAATGTACCAAGATATTTACCAGGTGACTAAGAATCTGAAACAAATGACCACCACCTCAATATCTCCTGCCAAGCCTTTAATCATTTGTCCTCGTCAGGGAACTCACAATCATCATCTGACACATGATCCTCTACCTCAACAAGGCCATCAAGGTCAGACAGTTGATCGTCTGCCTCGTCAAAATCGTCGTCCTCTTCCTTATCCTCCTCGCCACTCTCCTCGCCACCCTCCTCCTCCTCGCTCTCCTCGTCACCCTCCTCCTCCTCGCTCTCCTCATCGTTCTCCTCATCGCTCTCCTCATCGCTCTCCTCATCGCTCTCCTCATCATCATATGACTCCACAGGGGAGCCAATAATTTCAAACCCCTGGGCCCCAGTAACCTCATCATCAAGCTTCTCACACTTGGTCTGAAACTCAACGCATTGAACCAACAGCTCATCGTTCCTGGCGGCCAAGACATTATGACTGAACATCATATCCTCACACTCCTGTCGGCGTTTTCTGCAGTCGTCCTTCATATCTTCCAGTTCCTCAATAAGCCTCTTTTGTATATTCTCCAGCCCCTTGACAACCTTACTTTGCTTATGATGGTCACCGTGCAATCTCACGTGTAATACCAGCAGCTCCTTGTACGCCTGACGCCTCTTCAAATACGTTTCCTTTTGTTCGGCGTGGTCGTTTTGCAAGCTTTGCAGTTTCGCAAGGAAGAATAACTTTCGCGATTCTGCCTCAGTGGCGCGCCGGTCTTCCTCTTTCAACTGCTCCTTCATCTGCTGGACCTCCTCCTCAAGACTGTGATTGCGCTCGAGGGCCACGTTCAGCTCAGCGGATTGGGCATGGTAGCGGCTCTTCAGTGCGAGGTCAGACTCTTCCAAGTTCTGGTGCTTGTCTTGCAACTCGCCGTGTTCCTCCTTCATCTGGTTGTGCTTCTTCTTCCACTCGTCGCCCTGCTCCTGCAACATGATGCAGTTTTTGCAGAGAGAATCCACCGTCGCGGTCTCCCAGCGGAATTTCTTCTGGAGTTGTTCATTAGACTTCATGGACTCGTCATACTTCGTCTTCCACGACTCGCAATCCCTCCTGGACTGGTCATGCTCCTCCTTGGACTGAGCGCACTCCTCCTCCAACTTGGCGCAGTCCCTCCGCAAGTCACCGACCTTGAGTCTCTCCCAGGCGAGTTGCGTCTGAAGCAGGTCGGCATTATGCATGGCGTTCACGGCATCCCGATGGCGCGACAGCTGATGGCGCAACTGCAAGTCGGAGATCTCCCGCTGGTGAAGGGAGTTGATGGTCGAGATTTGCTCGTCGTAGTCCTTCTCAATGGCGGCAATCTGCTCGGCGTGTGTGGTGGAAGAGCAGGCAATTTTGTGCTGGCAGGCGGCCAGCTCCTGGGAGAGCTTCAACTGCCGCTCATGCAAATCGGTAATTTCGGAGGTCCGCTGTTGGAGCTTCCAATTCAGTGCTGCCCTCTGAGTAATGTACATTTTTCTGTTGATGTCGCTAGCCTCCTCCTCGGCAGCGAGGGCTTTGGTGAGCTCCTCAACCTCTTGACGTAGTTCCTGGAGATCGGGGGCCACCATCTGGACCAGCCCGGCCAGCCTCTGTTGGACCGCTTTGAATTGATCAGGCATCATGCAGGGACAGACTTGCTAATGCTGGTAGTAGGAGAGGGTGTGGATGAAGGGTGGAAAGGAAGAAGCGAGAGAAGTTTCCGAGGGCGAATTTTTAATCCAGAAATTCTTTTCCAAACTTTTGTGGCTTTCCAGTGTTCAAAACGCTATGTTGGGCGCTGGCAAAAAACTCAAACATCATGGTCTCCTCCACACAGTCACCTCCAACGGTGAAGCTTTCGCCACCGCAGGAACGGAACGCCAACATGCCACTGATCTGAACTCTGTTTTGTGCGATGGGGCACGGATTTTCTCTGATGGTGATGTCTGCGCAGATGGCAACTTGTTTTACAAAGAGAAAAATGATGAAGACGAAAAAGAGAGAAATAAGATGAGGTCGTGTGTCGACACTTAGTTACCTTACCTAGGTATCTGGGCGCGAGATGAAGCGTGGTGGTCGGTTTAAGGTTCGGCACGTGCCAGCCTCAAGGTAAGTATTGACTTGCGTTGCGCAGTGTCGGTTGATGTTATCGACAGCGTGACTCCTTCAGAAAAAGGGCAGCCCTCTTCACAATCATAATCATATTCATTGCCTACATCGCACTTACCTTGAGCAGAAGAGTTGAGGTTCGGAAGGTTCCACCCTGAAACATGTGTCCACGGTGGACATGTTGCGTCTGGGAAGGCGCGAGTTAGGTAACTCAGCCGAGCAACAAACATCATCAAGGCATTTGGAAGCAGGTGCATCTGGTGGCCGCGGATAGGTGTCGCGAGACAAGTCACAATGCAATCAGCGTAACCACAACAGGGAAGGTGACTACCACCTCCCAGTGTCCATAAGACATTGTCTTTTCGTCTCCATTCCAGTACTTGCTGTCTTCCATGCTTTCAGAACGAAACAATCAGTTCCCAATCTGCCATCATGCAATTCCCCAACAACGTCCTGGCTTTCGGTAGCCTCTTTGTCGCCGCTGGCTATGCTCAGGACACAGATACCTCCACCTCGGCAGTCGACACCACCCTCATAACCTCCGTCAGCATCGAGCTCTCCACCACAGGCACCACACTGTCCAGTGCCACGGATATCTACAGCGGCACTGTCACCGACGCCTTGGGCGATTCCACCGGCCTCATCAAACCTCGCCCCACCACCGAGGGCGGCGGCCCTCTCGACACAGTCTACGCCTGCGGAGACACCACCGTCATTGACCAGTTCAGCTACGGCTCTCCCCTAGTGAAGGACTGCTGGGACGTCTACAACGGTCTGGACGGGAAAACCGACCCTTGGTATGCCGTCCGTGTGTTTGCTCCCAGCCAGCTCCACGTCACAATTTGTGTCTCGCAAGCTGACAAACACGTACTTTCTTTCCAAACAGGATCCTGGATCACATGTGGGAGCAGCGTGCTTTTGCGTCGTCGGGTACCTGTGTCATCGGCGCCCAGATCGTTAGCCAGACCGACTATCCTTCGTATGTTGGCAGTGAGGACTTTCGCATCGCTATCAAGAAGTCGATTGAGCAGTTTGCCAAGAAGGATGACAAGAGCCAGGAGCTTGTCGGCACCAAGGGTTATATGCAATGCGGCACGTTTTTTCCGTGCTATTCCCTTGCCTGTCAGAGTATGGTATCTTGAGCTAACAACATGGTCTTTCGACTTGCAGAGCCCTGGCATGCCACGGTTGAGTGGGGTATCTACTACAACTAAGCGGCACCTCCAATCTCCCCGGTTGATTTGAATTGTTTGAGTCATGGTTATTGCCTTTGAGATTTGTACGGATATTTGGCCATGAGCTTATAGAGTTATTGTTGTCATATCCGAAGTGGGGCAATTTGAAAGATGGAAACCTCTTGAGAAACACCGTTATCGATACTTATGCTGATGCAAGTTGTGATGCTTTTTTGACTCCCCATATGCAACCGTCTATTTGACATCCCCAAACCTCTCCTGCAATGCCGCATGCAACTTGCCAAAAACCCCATCATGCCACCCCTCGGCCTGCTTCCACTCGTCCGCAGGCAACGTCCTCTCCATAAACCTCAGCCACCCCCCCACAATAAAATCGGCATGCGAAGCCCTGTCCCCAAGCAGAAAGGGCCCGTTTTCATTCCGTTTATACAACTCCGCCAGGCCCGTTAATGTCTGTTTCAGCGACTCCAACATATGCACCCTCTTCTCCCCATAAACCCCCATATCCTCCCACGATTTCGCCCCAAGCCGTCTCACAAATTCGTCTTTGATTCCTTGTTCAAACTCCTTATCCCACTTCATCCCCGACGCCATCAACGCCGTGTGCAGGGTGAACGCCCAATCAACATTCGTGTTAAACTTGGAATAGTCCTTGTGCTGAACATCCTCCCTCTTGCTCAGCGGAATCAAGACCTCCTCCGCGCCAGGACAGACATAATTCAGGTCGGGCTGCTCGGGAAACAAATCCCCGGACCCAGAGTCGGGGAACGTCTCCTGAAGGTAGAGCGCAATGTCGAATGAGTCGCCGACAATCGCGCCGGTTATGCTGTCTTTTAGCACCGGTAGAGTGTAGTAATCAGTCCCGTCGGCGAATTTCCGGCAGGCCGACGCCCCGAGCCCCTTGCGGACTTTGGTGATGTCGAGCATCTGCACCCATTCTGTCTTGTAGGGGATGCCTTTGAAGTTGAGGGCGTAGCGGGCCTTCCAGGGGTTGGGGGCCGCGGTGTTCTTTTCGCGGGGGACGGCAAAGGCGATGTCGTAGTAGATCAGGCGAGGGTCCGATGCCATGGTGTTTGCGTTGTTGTTTCCTGCTGTGTTGTCAACGGGAAAGCTCATGTGTTGCTTAGGGGTGTTGATTGCTCAAGTTATTATTCATGTTTCCCCCACATTCTCCTCGGATTTATTTATCGACTTCCTGTCTCGGGTGGGCATCCAATTTCGGTCTAAACAGATCAGGATGACTCAGCATGATATCATAACAATCAACACACGATATCCACCCCTTGGTCCAATCAACACCTCAAGCGTTGCGGGGGAAGCACCCGATCGGTTGCCAAGCCACGGGGCGATGCCTTGTCATACGAGGTACCATGCGGTTGGCAGCGAGCAGATATTCTTCCTCTTCACGAAATGAGAAGCGATCGATTTTCAGTTCTGCACAAGGCAGTAAAGTGCTGATTGGTGAGACATTATTTTGGTATTGAAACAACTCTACGCTGTACCCAACACCCCTTCATGATCCCGTCGTCGTAATACTTCAACTCTTCGCTGTGACCATCCTGCCTGATCGTATAACTACTTCGTATCCATGTCCAATGTATCAAAAATAAACTAGTCAACACCTCGCCATGCTTGTTCAATGGCAACAAAGTGTAGGGTCCTTCGTGGCAGTTGTTTGTCCCACGCTGTGAGTTGTTAACGAGTCTGCACATGGTGCGAGGTAGACGAACAACAACAAAAAAGAAGCAGGACTTACGCATCACGCGCACCGAGTGGCTCCCAGTGAAACATGAAGGACCCGAGATATGCCCCAAGAAAAATGCATATAATGATGTACCCATTGTAGTACATCGCCAACCTGTGGTCCCAAGTTCTTGTTAGCTCACCACCCAAAATACCCAACCAAGAGAAAGGTGGTATCAAACTCACAGCATGATGAAGTATCCCACCGCAAACTGTACCATGTGCAAGGCTGCCCTGACCGCTTGCTCCCAGATCTTCGGCCTGTACCCCTGCGTAACGTCGACATTGTGCTGCCCAGCCAATGCCTCACGATGTTTCTTGACCAGGTACCGGTCATACTCCTTCGTCAACCTCCTCAAGGCTTCCATCGTGATGGCGAGCAACAAAACGCCGACGCATGACCCACCAAACATTTGGTTTGAGGTGATTTTCCACGACGAGGAGATGAAGCAGGAGTCGATCGTGTTCCAGTTCCAGAGCATGCTAATTTTGCAACCGGTGCCGCCGCCGTGGCCATGGCCGCCGCCGGCTGCCGCAGCAGCAGCGGTCGAGGTTGTCGTGGCGATCACACTGGTGATGGTTGAGGTGGGTGTCATGTCGTGGTTGGCGTGGTCCATTTTGGGTGTGTGGATGCGGAATATTAACTGTTGTTTGTGTCTGAAGTGAGGCCGTAGCAAGATCGAAGCTGTAGCAAAACTGAGTCAAAATTGATCAGCAGATGGATTGGTGGTCAAAAGTTGAGCTGGATAAGGTTTTGTAGTAATTCTTTCAAGGGTGGGGTCCCCAGGGCAGGTCCAAATAAGGTTGAGAGGGAAGAACGCCTCTCGAGAAAGTGTACCAGGAAAGAAAGAGGCTGTTGGGGCGGGCAATCAGCGGCGGACAAGCACCACATTAATACCTTGTTTTAAACACAACAGGGTGGCGCTTTCGTGAGACGTGAAGTGTTCTTTTTTGGGTCAAAGAAACCATCAACTCCTGAAGCACTATCTGTTGTGGATGGAGAATGAGCATGTTGTGATAGGTGTATGCTGCAGCAAATATGATGATAACTGGTGAACATCATGGCCTCACCCTGGCTTGACCGAGATGGGGGGAGATGGGGTGGGCCCACACTGAGCACGTTTGAGCGAGTAGATGGCTCGTTAGACCCCTGTGGCCAACGGTTGTGATGTGAGCAGTACCAATGAATGCAGAACAACCGATGGGAGCTTGCATGGAACCATGGCGTTTTCGTGTTCTGGGTTTCTGGATAGCAGCTGCAATGTGGTGCCTTCTTGGCGGGTTGCACAACTTCACACGGAAGCATCGAATGAAGTTGATGATTTGCAGTCAGCGTCGTGGACTCCGGTCGGGACTCAGGAGATGGAAGTCGGAAGTCGGGAGCTGGTCACTTGGCAGGAGTGCTTGGGTAAGGACCCTGATGGCCGCCACGCCCTGCCAAGAGCAACTGATATCTCCACCGACCTCTATCTTGCTCAAAGCCACTCAGATGCATACGATCTTCTAGCTTGTGAATACGGCGCACCTGACAGCCCTGTTATCATCGAAACCCTGTGTCTGAGCTGGAGTTTGTTCGCCATTGGGTGCTTGGAACGAGATTGATGAGGCTACAGAAGCTTCCTCAACACCTCCTTATTCATGAGACAACACCGACAGCGAGGGGCTTTTCTCTTGGGTATTTCTATCCACTCGTACGACTCTCGATGACGGCGTGACTTCTCACAGCCTTCCATTTCAATGATGTTTTCGTAGCCTCGATGTGTCCTTTGATAGATGTTCGCATATCTCCTATTTAGCTCGCCATTGAGTGGTTCCCGGCCCGCCTCATTGGTAGCTACCACGCCGATGGAGTTCCACACGTTCTGCTCGTGCCATCGCAAAGGTAGCTGCTTCTCCGCAAAGGCCGGGATCGTTTGATTGTGTAGATGTGTCGCCCCGGCGACCGCATCTGCTGAATGAATCCAGTTAACCGAAGTAGAACGATCGGTGTTTGCTTGGTGGAGTTGTGTTATTATTTGGAGGACTCTACCTTTATAGGACAGGAAGTGTTTGACTTCCAACTGATTAGTGTCACTCAGGGAAGGCATCCCGGAATAGGATCCATGTTCGTCGACTGGGTTCAATCGGAAGAGAGCAGAGGCTTTTGGGTCGGAAGCATTGTGTTTCACACCAATATCAAATTGATCCTCCTCTCCCTCCTGGATTTTGATGAGATTACCCTGCGGGGAATCCTGATCCTCACCAAATCTTTGCAGGTACCCCGAGCTGATTTCGACAGCCATCGCCGTGCGTGGGTTGGTAGAAATGCATCGCAGCTGGGGCAGCCAAGCGACATACCCGTTACTGGCGACGGCAAGGTCGTTGGTCTCTATGCCAGCCGTAAAGTTCGCAGAGCTCGTAGAACTATAGCCGAAAACCTCGACGCCAGGTACTAGAGAAGCCATACAGGAGCATCGGAGTGAACCAAGTGTTACGCTCTCAGGAAGTCGGCGCAGATCCGCGATAGGCACAGGTAGATCAGTGCAATCTCGGAGTCCCTCGTGCCACACTACCCAGTACAGTAGATCCATACCAGCCTGACGGATAGATGTCCAGGTACCTGTGCGAAAGAACCTCACTTTTGGGAACTTGGAGCAGATCTACCCGTAGAGAGACTGGGGTGCGATATAGATGGCTGCCTCGATCGTGCTAGGCCCGGTGTGTTTGTGCTTTTCCTCTCCTGCGTCCACAGCCCTGCGTTGCTCGATGAAGTTCAAGATCCAACTCAGCTTCTCGAAGTAGGTTTGTATGAGGGGGTGGCCGGATTCAATCTTCTCCTTCTCAAGTCCCGGAAATCCGGTTTCGGTCCATGTTTTGATGTAGTCTGCAAGCTGTTCGGCGCCGCATGTTTCGTCGCCCGTCCATCCGTAACACTCCATGCATTCCATTACATTGGAAAGGTAACAATCCTGACAGATCTCCAAGTTTGCATTCCATTGGAGCTGAACCCGGGAACCCCCAGTTGACATAGATTATACCTCTCTCCACCGCTACCAACACAAGAGCTGTGGCGAGCTGGCCTACGTACGCCATCTTCTCATCGCTGAGGCCATACTGGGCGCTGATGACTTGTTTTGCGGCTTTTGCGTGGTTAGCGCTCGTTGCGATGGGCTTATCCGAACTTGCGACACCCGTTACAATCAAATTCGAAAGGGCTTTCCCTTCCCTCCACTCTTGTACCGCCCAAGCATTCCCTCTCTCACCGCCTGTCGGGATATTGATGAGTATCTTTGGTTGTGCCACTGCTATGACAGTCCGATCGCCCACGGTAAGTTGCACATCATCCCCATTGATCCAAAGAAAGGCTGAGGCAATGATGGTGCAATTCGATGACCCTTCCAACGTGACAAACTCAACCTCCTCATCCTGAATTGACCCGAAGACCAGAGAGAAGATACGCGCAAGCTCCTTTGAGTTTGGTGTTCCAAAAGCCCTTCTCATATCTTGAACATGCAAACCCGAGTTCCGCAGTATGATTACCACTGAATCGACGATATCGACAGGAATAAGTTGATCGCTGTAACCGGCGGTAGCCCCAATGGCATTTGTGAGTTGACTTCGAGAACATCGTAGCTCCGGGATTTTGGTGAGACCCTGGTGGACAAGCATGTCGTAGAATACATCATCGATCTCTGCGTCGGTCAGGAACGCCTTGAGGCTTGTTGCCAAAAGGAAGGAAGTGACATAACAGGGTGCGTGCTTTCGGATAAACTGAGAGATTCCTCCTGAGCTGACTCCAATGTTGACCAGAAAGCTACCTAGTCTCTCATTTTGGCCTCTGCTCGACAAAGCTTGCATTCCGTCACTGATCCTGTCAGGGTGAACAATGATACTCGACCCGAGTGCTTCGAGAGCGAGGACCGCCGAGCTTTGCAAGTCCTCTTGCTGCGACGCACGAAACAGGCCCCAAAAGAAGCCGGCTGTCTTGAAGAGTGTGTTGTCAATCGACCATTGTGTTTGTACGACGTCCGGATTTCCCGGCTCGGCCATGATGTGCAGCGCGTGTCCGTTAGCAAGGGAGATTTTCGATAAAATATGTGGCAAATGGCTACCTTAGCGAATATTTTGTTCTTGATCAGTCGGCTGAAGACGGGTCGGTTAGAAAAGCCAAGACCAAGAGAATACCTCTATCGTCTGGTTCTGCAGGGACAAACAGTGCCAGGGAAACCTAGCAGGGAGAACATGGTTCTGTTTTGTGGAAGGGTTTAACAATTGTTATCTAAATCTCCACCGCTGTTTTATTGAAATTGCACATGTCGGTGCAGGCCAAATGACCAATGGGTGAAAGACAAACCAGTTGGCAAATATCCAGGACGCTTGACATTGGTTCAAGACAGGCGTGGCTGCATGTGCGAGCTTTGGTCACCCAGCTCGGGCGAAAGTGACGTCTGCATGGGATGACTGGTGATGTTGCTGTTATTCGTTATCCCACGCGGAAGCGGTCAGAGGAGTAGATATACCCCCAAGACTGAGAAGGGCGGTGATCAATGCTGAGGCAATACCGACAAGGAAGAGTCCGGTGTGTAGTGATTGTATGGTTTGTGTCTTGAGAACCGGAAGGCAGTCCAAAATCGAACTGAGCATGGTAGCCGACCTGGGTAAGCGATCATAGAAGAGCACATTGATGACTTAACGAGGTGGCCCCTCTCAGTAGCTGGGCAACCGGCCTCGCCAGCTGCCAGCCCGCCCTGCAATGGCTGGGCCAACCAAGTACTTGAACAACGAGTGGGTCCACGGCCAGCACTCTAGGTTCAAGTGACAGCCTCACAGCTTCTTTTATTGCCTTAAGTTTGAGAGGGGTTAGTCTTTGGAGTCTTGCATCTCCCAGCCATGGTGTATGGCGGCCGGATCAGTGCTCAGGTGAGTGACTACTGGGGAATCCCTAGTGTTGTATGTTTTTGCTATCTTTTACTGTTTTCTTTTATGACATTTTATGAGGGACCTGACAAAGGGCCCGCCTTTTCACCAGACCCAAACCCGGTTGCTCTTAAGGTGGATTTTCCTATTTGTTTACTTTTGAACTGAACAACCAACAACCAATATTGTAATACCAATTGCCAACCAATTTCTGGCCTTTTGGCCCTCATTTTCGCGGCCAGTGACTTGCCTAGGCCACTAGCCCAACACATGTTGTCGGCCGCCTCAATATCTTGTCGCGGTGGGAAGTTCAAATACCTGCCTGGGAGCCTCAAACTCATGTGCATTTGCCCTGGTTTCCATTTCCAATCCCCCCATGTGTTTCTCCTGGTCTTTTGGAACATCATGTGGAGGTGGTGGCGTCTTTGATGCACGCATGAACCGGATGAAGAAATAGACTGCTATCCCAACTGCAATCATGGCTACTCCTATCGAGACACCAATTCCGATTTTGGCCCCGGTCGACAGGTCGGAGGATTGGATCGCGGGCTGTGGCTCGGAGGTGCTCGATGGTGTTGTACCCCCCGAAATTGTCGATACTGGACCACCTGGTTCAGTCACCGGTCGAAATATCGTTTGACCGGTTGGGGATGTGGAGGATGTGGTTGTCAGTGCGGCGAGAAGCGGGTTGGCGGTCTTCCACCAGTTGACGACTTCGCTGTCACTCTCCTGCCACATTATCGGTATTCCCTTGGCCAAGACCATCAGCCTCGTGCTCGCTATGATGTCGGACAAGGCCCCAACTGGCTCAGTGGTCACCCAGACGTTCGTCATGGTCGAGTGCCGTGGTATGGTTGAAGCGCAGTCCCTTGTGTTGGCCCAATTTGTTGACGCCCATGGCCTATCAGGAGTGAAACCTCTGTTTGCACGAGATGTGAGATGGATATTCAGAAGAAAGGACCAGATCTACACGCACGAGGGGCAGCACAGCCAAGCCGTCGTTCCTTTTGGAGCTAACGCCTTCTGCGAGTAGTCAGATGCTGTTGTTGGAAAATCGCTTTCCAGAGAAGCCACAGGTGCCCATCCGCTGGGACATATGCCGGGCGAATAGTAGTACACCGTATGCAGATCCAGTGACTGAGTGCCCGGTGGATAGCACTCAGTGGCCTCTTCCCAAAAGGCCGCGACGTAAAACCCCGCAATGCCACTTCCGATGAAGGAAGTTGTGGAGAGACATGTTGATGGCCCGGTGAAAACCGTCGTGACAGGACCGACGTTGTCCAGTGGCAAAGCCATTGACGCAGTGAGGAGTACCTAGCTGGCAGACCACAGGAAGATGTCACGAACGAGGAACGAGACAGAGGAAGTTCAAAACATTAAGGTCGATGCGGTTGGTTATTTAGCCGTCTGACCGACAGACAGTATAGCTATTAAACGATGTAGTATCGAAGTCTAATCCAGGGGTCAAAGGGGCCTGAAACCGAACCTGATTGGACTTTATGCAAGCTATCGGAGATATACATCAGCGCAGCCGGCCCGGCGGCTACTACCTGCAGCTCTTCCACTTGAAGTAAAATAACACCAGACGGGTACTTAGGCAGGTGGTTTATTTGACTATACCAATCTGCATCTTGATATCATTAGCTTGGCCATCATGGCAATGTGTTATAGACCACCTCATCAAGTTCCATGCCAATGAGCAAGCTTGCCGAGGTCGGTACCCATGTCACACAGATCGAACTTCTCGCGTGCGCTGTGTAGCGCCAACCACCCCTCCACCAGCAAACGGAGGCATATGGCTAGACCTGGTGATGCATTTCACATTTCGGATGGTCCATTCGACTACACAAGTGGTATCATGATTTGACGCTCGAAACAGACTTTGTTTGCCGGTGTGTCTCATTTTCGAACTCCTCCGATATGTAGAGCCAGGAGCCAGCAGGCTCCTACACTAAAAGGCAGGCAAGATATCACTGTGTCTGGGGAGGGGCATCAACCAACTCATCACCACATCCTTCAACACATCAACGAATCAAGTACCAACACAAACAAATGGCACCTATCATATACTCACCATGGCCGACCAAGATAAGGGCAAAGCCGACTCCAACAAACTCGCTGTTCCAAAAGGTGGCAACGGTGGAGGCGGCGGTGGTGACAACGGCGATGGCAATGGCGATGGCGGCGGTTCGAGCGCTAACTCTACCTACTCTGGCTCCACTTTAGTTGGATCCGATACCTCTGGAGGCTCTGACATATCGGGAGAGACCCTCTCCGGACAGTAACCGGGAATGGAGCTGACTGGGCATCTTCGTACCTCGCGTAAGTGACTATGGCCGAATTAAAGGTGCTCTAGATTGATCTAACCGGTCGTTCTGCAGATGAAGGGCTGGAACCAAATATGGAGGATCTCTTTAAAATGGTTTCGGACGTGATTGATGGTGGCTGGTAAGGGGATCGCAGAAAGGAGGAGTCTGTGGAAACTAAGAAATAGACCTGCCTAGAATTAGCACGACAAAATCCACCTTATGAACCTCAATTTCGATTTGTACTGTTTATTCGTGACACTTAACATGTACACAGTTAGACACTGTCGTTCTCAATCCTTCTGTAGGCCTCCGTCACTGTTCTGCCAGTTTCCTTTTCAAACCCTTCAGTTGTCATGAAGTTGTGGGGCGATAAGTGGGGAATGGTGGAGGACGGTGTTTTATAGGCTTTGCTGAGCTTTGGAGGATGATTCTTCTTTTTCAACAATACAACGCTTTCCTCCTCGATTTTGATGATATATTGCCTGGTCATTTGAGCCCACGCCAACGGACCACAAAGTCTTTCGCGTCTTCGAGAGACCCGAGTGCCGCCTTCCTGCCCTGCTCGAACACTTCTTGCTCATATCGGCCAATCGCATTTCTGAGGATAAGCTTTGAGCTCTTGACATCAATGGACACCAAAAGCAGGTTGTCGACATCTGCCAGAGCTTGGTTGAGGCCTTGACCTGGAGCTATGTACGGTCAGCTTTCCAAGTCCGAAAACAGTAAGCCGTGAAGTAGAACGTACCAGGAAGCAAGGCAAGGCATGAGCCGCATCTCCCGCCAGTGTTACCCCCCCTCTCCTGCCATCCCATGGGACCGTGACCCAATACTTAAGTTGTGACACAAAAAAAGTCGCGTCATTCGGCATTTGATCGATTGCCGAGCGGAACAGCTCAGCGAAGTTTGCTTCGGCAGCGCGTTTCTTGACCAGGACACGTGCCTCCTCTCACCCACGATGGGAACCTTGATGGGCTGGGGTTGGGTCCACATCAATGCCGTGTGGAAAAGTCCAAGTTGATGGACCATTCGGATTGAGAACTTCTTGGACTGCGTTTCGTGTTAGTGCACACCCCAATTTGTGAACAACAGGGAAAGAACGAAGCAGCACTAACAAACGTCTTCCCTGGCATCGTAGCCACAAAACACACCTTCGACTATTCCCTCAAATTTTCAGCCAACTTTACGTCCCCATATCTCACCAAGCCATTTGCAATCGCAATGGTAGACATCACTCCTTCCATCAAACAACCACCTCCTCACAAAGCTGCTCGCCCCACTTCGGCACCAATCACCACATCCACCTCTTCAGCTCTCCCCATCACGCCCAACAAATAGCCCCACTGGCCTATCCTCCCCCACCGCCTCCAAGTCCCTAATCTCAACACCCCATCGTACATCCAACCCTCGTGAACACAACTTCCTCATTCTCGTCCTCGACATCCGCCTACAGTCAGGAGCCGGGATCTTCGCCATCAACTCCCCTGTATTGCCGTTGTAAAACGGAATCTCTTCCACAGGTTTGTCATATGGGTAAGTCGAATCGCCGTACGCGGTGTGGATGCCTGAGTGGAGGTTCCCAGGCAGCATGCGAGTTATCACGGGCCAGGCCCAGTGCAGGATCATAGTCCATTCACGGGCATATGTGGTGTGTTCGGGGTGTTTTTCAAGTCGTATTGCAGAAACCCCAAACGACGCGCCTTACGGAAGGGTTCGGCAATAATTGCTAAAAGTATATGATATCGAGATTCTGCTAAAATATGGCCAACAATGTGCCAGGACGATTTGTTCACAGTCACTCCCAGGCACATGTGGGTCACCTTGTATTTCTAATCGGTGCCTCGGGAGTTAACCCGTCTAGTAGAAGACAGTATTCCACACAGCCATCGTTGAGCACCATTCAAGGTATCTCATCACAACCCGGCATGGGCGAGAAGACACCGCAGGGAACAAAATGCAAGCCGACTTGGGCAAACGTGTAAAAGCAAGTGTGAAGACTGATGTGAACAGGGAAAAGATCGAGAACATCAAAACACCGGAAAGCCGTATAGCTGCGAGAATAGTCCCAGTAGCCGACTCCGACGGTAATCTCCTCCTGCACGTAGTCTCGGGCAGCAATATGGACCCTGCAACAGTAGTTTCGGTGTGGTCGGTGGCCTCCGTGTTTGATGTGCCCCAGTCTGCCCGTCCATTTCCAGCCAAGAGGATCGAACTGGCGCTGGCCCTACACCAACTGCAACAACTGAGCGTCTTCTCACCGAAACCTAGTAAGGACACTTCCCACAGTACCCGCACTCGTCTGCCGAACAAGCTGTGTAATCGGGCAGCTCCTCCTCATAGTCGTAGCCGTACAGGTTGTCGTGGCTGTACCGATGATCTTCATCGCTGTCGTCCTCGTTGACATCAGTCTCGGGGTCAAAAGAGTCATGATCAGATCCCTGAGTTTCAGGCTCGCCAACCCCATCATCACTCTCATCTGTCAAGGCCCCACCCTGCAACCCCCACCGAGCCTTGACTGCATCAGAAAGCGCATCGTTCACATCCGCAAGCCGCTCACGTACTTCTAGCCCGCCAATTCCCGCATACCTCAGCTCCATCTTCTGGTCAGGCATGTCGGAGACAACCTCGATGATCATATCAATGAGACTCTTGAGCTGTGCAAGCTCAGCCTGGTGATCCAACTCCCAACGTTGGACATCCTCCCTGACGTCCTTGATCTGAATATCCGCCTTTTTAAACAGCCCCTGGGTGTGAAAGGCGAGAATGAACGTGGGGGTTTGGGAGACCCATAGACGGGGCAGTTCCTCGGCAAGATGATCCTTCTTGTCCTTGGTGTAGATGCTACGGGTCTTGAGATCAAAGACTTGAGCTTGCGGGATAAGCTCACCGCCGAATTTGACATTGATGGTGGACTCGGCTAATGTAGCAGTGGTCTGGGATGCAAGTCCCATGTCAGCTTCAGAGAGTAAATCCGCAAGAGATGTCTGATCCTTGACGGTTGTGGACGAGGTGCTATTGACCGAGGAAGGGCCTTGAGCATGGGGCTTGATGTATCCATCTGCTTCGAAACGAACTAGGATGCGATGACCACCGAAGGTATATCGAACGATGCGTTGGTGCGAGGCCGACCCCTTGACATCAGGCTCCCAGATGGTATTAGCCTCGGGAAAGCTGTGACCATATCCACGGACTCCGGGAATGATCTCGGTGGGTGTGTTCTCACGTCTCGTGAAGAAGACGGTATTGTGGATTTTTTCAACGAGGATTCGGAACGGCTTGTCTTGCCGGCGAACAAAGCGAAGGAGGTTGCCCAAGGTGCTTCCACAAGCCACGATATCAACCTCGGGAGAGATGTTGTTGTCCGCCTCCATGGCAGCGATAACACACGGCTCCAATGGGTGCTTCGGGAATCGGGCGGCGTTTTTGTCTCGGAAGTAAGTCCCATTGTCTTCGTTGAGACGCGACGGAGATGCAACTGGAGCCCACAAAGGTGGCTTGCCTATCGTCAAGAACAAGCATTCTGTCAGCAACATCTCTGATGCACGGATAACGGCAGATTTACCAGGCACAAGGATCGTTGGTGCGGCTTCCTTCCCCTCAAGCCAGTTGTATGATGTGATGAGTCTGCAGTCGCGGATCGAAGGTGAGGCGATCTTGCTGTTGAGATTCATATCGAGATCAGATATCTCGATGGTTTGAACCAGGTTCCCCAATGGCGGAGGAGGAGATGCCTGGGCCTTCGAAGCGTCATCATACTTCCGGTTAGTGTAGCGGCTGCGAGATTTGTACCAAGTCGAAGTCATGGTATGGTGTTGGGCAATGGTGAAGATATGGGAAGAAGCGATGCAGCAGAGGGATCAGAATGAACGACGTATTAGTTGAATTTCAATGCAGGAAGGATGCCGAGGACAGAGTATAAATGTTGGCTCTCGCTAGTTGACCGGCGACTCGATGCCGTTGCGTTTGCACCTGGGGTGCAGTGCATACCCGTGTTGACTCACACCCCTTTATTTTTCACAGCGGCCCTTGCCACAAAATAATTGAGACTCTAAAGCAGGTTAAAATGCCTTGAAGGATGGTCCACAGGTCTTTACAGATAGTCAATAGGCCTTAAAACATAGTTTATAGGCCTTTGAGGATAGTTAATAGGCTTTAGAAGATCATTCAAAGGCCTATGGATTTACTTTCGAGGTATAGTTTATAGTATAACATGGGTTAACTTACTTTTGAGTGTCAACTATTTTGTGGTGAGGGTGCTAGGTTCGGCGTGATGAGAGGAAAGGAGCTGGGCTGCAACGTGGGGGAAGTACACCCAGACTATCAGTTCGAGCGAAATCCAATGCTGATTCTGGAAGACATACTGCCAAAAATTGAGGAAGATTTCTCTTCCCCTTTTTTACATTGACTCCCCCCTATCTTCCAATGGCCTCAGGCGCATAAGCGCCAACGGAAAATAAAACTTGAAAATAAGAACGGGGCGGCAAAAATAAATTTCGGGATTCTAGTGCCAATAAGGTATATATAGAGAATACATTCCCAAAATGCATGATAGTCAACTGCCCAATTCTACTCTTTTGACTGGATAAATACTAACTTTGCCAGCCCGTTTTCATAATCGTGCTATGCTGCTTTAGTTGAAGATTCGGCTGGATTTATTGATCCCTGCGGCACAGCGGAACCCCTTAGCCTAGCCTCACCGCGTATTAGACAAATATAAGGTTATTTATTCCTTCGAGCTTAGCTATAGATCCTAGATCCCAGATTCTAGATTCCTAAGGATATAGATTCCACTATTATATAATAAAGTAATTTATACTACTAAACTAAATTAATTAGTAGTTAACTTTACATAAAGAGCTATAAACTTTTATTATATCGTTAGTTCCGTGTTTCTAATATAAACGTATTTATTAATAAATAACAAAACTTAACAAATTACTAGATTATAGCTCTCTCTTTAATTCGAACCTTTATCTCTCTAAACTTACCGACTCCTTTTGCGTTTAATAAAGACGGTAATACTTATTACGTAATAACGAAGAGCCTATACCTAAAAACACTACTAGGGGAATACTAATAAGATTTTGTACGGACTAATTATATCCCTACGGTAATTAAATACCTTAATTAAAGAGCGACCTCGGTTTAATATTAATCCACTAGTTCCAAATCTCTATAGTAAGCTAGCCGGAACGTATAGTAACGCTACGCCTCCTTCGAACTACTATTAAGGCTAATTACTATTACTATAAGCTTATTTTACGTTATTAACTTATCTATCGTTTTAAAAAAAACTATAAACTATAATATTACTACTTAAACGGAGAAATATATATTGTTTTTACAGGATTAAAAATATAAGAAATATTTATTATATAAATATACTTAGTCCCTTACACCCCTTTAATAGTAAACGAAAAAAAAAATAAAAGAAAGAAAGAAGGCGAAGGTTAAAATATTAAATATTTCGAGAAAATAAGAATATTATAATACGTCTTGAGTAACAGCTAAAAACTATTTTACGCCCTTCCACCGTAAAAGTATATATATAGTATTTTAGTAGTAACTATAATACGTTTTTATTATTATAAGTAATTTAGCGTTTATTTTCTTTTAAACTATATAAATAATATACCGGACTACTTAGCTGATTTAGACTTTCTATAGTAGCCGTGGCTATTTAGATACGCCCGATATTCGTATTAATATAAGCGTTAGTATAATCGAACGATAGATAGGTAGTAACTAAATTAATATTTATCGTCTGTGTGCAGGATCCCGATACCGTATCCCAGATCTTGATGGTATTATCGTGCGAGCCCGATGCCACGCGCTAGCCGTCCGGCGAGAACGCGACCGACCAGACCGAGCCGCCATGGCCCTCTAACGTCTGTGTGCAGGATCCCGATGCCGTATCCCAGATCTTGATGGTCCTGTCGTCCGAGCCCGATGCCACGCGCTGGCCGTCCGGCGAAAACGCGACCGACAAGACCGAGCCGCCATGGCCCTCTAACGTCTGTGTGGAGGATCCCGATGCCGTATCCCAGATCTTGATGGTATTATCGTGCGAGCCCGATGCCACGCGCTGGCCGTCCGGCGAGAACGCGACCGACAAGACCAAGCTGCCATGGCCCTCTAACGTCTGTGTGGAGGATCCCGATGCCGTATCCCAGATCTTGATGGTGTTGTCGTGCGAGCCCGATGCCACGCGCTGGCCGTCCGGCGAGAACGCGACCGACCAGACCAAGTCGCCATGGCCCTCTAACGTCTGTGTGCAGGATCCCGATGCCGTATCCCAGATCTTGATGGTCCTGTCGCTCGAGCCCGATGCCACGCGCTGGCCGTCCGGCGAAAACGCGACCGACAAGACCGAGCCGCCATGGCCCTCTAACGTCTGTGTGGAGGATCCCGATGCCGTATCCCAGATCTTGATGGTATTATCGTGCGAGCCCGATGCCACGCGCTGGCCGTCCGGCGAGAACGCGACCGACAAGACCAAGCTACCATAGCCCTCTAACGTCTATATGTAGGTATTCTATTATATTTTTATAACTAGTCCCGTACTAAGCTATCCAGGCTTTTCTTCCTTAAAGATTTTCTTTACTAAGCTATTAGTTAGTATAAATATAAGGGTTAATATATATATTTAAAGAGGGGCTTACTCTATTATTTATCTATAGGCTAAAGTAAACGGGTATATATCGCGAATAAAGCTTATTAACTACCCCCGATTTTCGTATTTCTATAATAATTTTAATTTAGTTTTTTAGTATTTAATAATTCGGTACTTACTAGTAGGCCCTCGAGCCGCCCTATAAGCCAAGGTTTTCATCGGATGAGTCGGA